GCCAAGGTTTCTTTGCTACTTGATATTCAACTATATGGAACAGACTCTCATTAATCCTTCATTGCAGTGAAACTATAACCCAATTCAAGATTCTCCTTGATTAATTTCCCCAGCGGTTTGCGTCACTTATCAAATACCGTCATGATTACCAATGATTTATACCAACAAGTTCGGATCTCTATCTGATTGACTTTAAAACTAAGCGAAAGTTTTCAATCTTTTTAAAGTTCTTTCGTGTAAATAATAATATAATAACTGCTTCCTTAACAAATTAAATATACTTTTGTTTTTCTCCTTTCCATCTACATAAATTTCATTTCCACCCGCTCAGAGTTTCTAGTTAGAAAGACAAAGTCTTATATTAGACTTACTTATATAGATTGACCTTTCAGATCCATTTCAACTTCACCGTGTATATATGACTCATACAATTTGATATTTATCGATCATTCTCCGCAAACTAATAAGGCTTTTGCCGCGTCATTCTAAACTATTACTGTCGAGTCGCGGTTGACTATGATCACCACTATAGGGAGACTACGTTTCAAATACCAGGTCCGATCTCTCGGTAGACCAACTATCAGAAGGCAATTGAAGATTGTAGTAAGACGCACTTGTTGGCGATCTTGTGGTATCGAAATAATACCGAGAACATGCCAAAGTTTACAAGAGGGACTACAGAGTGTGCGCGGGTTCGTGCAAGGTCACATGCAATGGAAGAATGTGTGTTTTTAGTACACTTAAAAAAACAGGTACAGCAAAACAATCACTGGTACAATTGGTTATAATAATAATTGGTTCCATTATGCCAATCGCGTTCTATTCATAAAAGTAGGTCACTACAAACTCTTATTCTACCATCAAATCTTATTGCATTCATGATTTGTTTTGTGGTTCCTTCCGTAATATAAGTTACTGTTTATCCTTATTATTTCAATAACATAATAAGTTATCTACATATTTCACTTTCTTTCCTTTCTTATTTCTCTAAAGCCAACTAAATATTTTTAAATGCTACAGAAACTGTTTAAATGAGGTGATACTGCGAAAATATTATTGAACTTTGTGTATTATTGAATTTCTGAATAAACCCGAAATTGTTTCTTCACAATAATAATTGTAATTATTGTTATGAAGTGAAAATTTGTAGTGGTTATAACTACATACATACAATTCTAATTACGAATAAGTACATAATCAAATCTAAAATGTTCTTAAATTTGAGTTTTATTCTTGATTTCAAAGGTAGCAGTACTAATAGTCATTCTAAATAACGGTAAACCTAGCATGCAAAGTAAGATTTAGGGAGAAAATGTGACAAAACAAAGATACTACTCTAGATATTTTTTGTCTTTTTGCTATTGGAACTTATATGTAACCGCATTTCTGACGTAACCAGGAATGGTTTCTTTACAACACTTATGAACCAATAAGTTGTTTGTGAATAATAACATTAATTACCGTGAACTGGTTGGGGTTGTGCATTTTTCGACTATGGATTATGGCATGCTTGCAGAGCAGGAAACAACTAATGTTTTAGCAAATAAATAAGTTTGCGGTTCTCAGCAAGTTAGCTACTGATATTTCCATGGATTAAAATATTTTCTTTTGGACAAACTTTACGCGACTCATTCAGAAAGTATTATTCCTGAGCTAGTAGAAACGTTTGTTTCTTGGAACTGGTAACAACCCTATGTCCCTAATGAACTCATCTATTTGATGTAATTCAGGTTTGAATGCCTGAGCTCAGTGAGCAATAGCCGGTTGAATAACTGAATGGTCATATTTCTTTAGGTAAACACGTGCGTTTAAGTTTAGAACCTTGTGTCTTCCCGTTTCTTCTCCAATCATTTTGTTTTGTTTACGGACTGGCCAAGAATATGTGTACAAACTAACTTCCACGGTTACCATCTCTATAACGACCGAAATTCCGGGATTCGGTATGAATGAGGAGTTATCAAACCTACGTTATTTGATTGGGTCAAACTACGTTCTTCTGTATATCTTACGAAGCGTTTTTTAGCAGGTGGTGTTAAATTACATCAAAACACAAAGAATATGTATAATTTGATCTGTTCTTATCTAAGAACAGAAACAAATTATATAAAAGCGCAAAATACCTCACATGGAATAGCTTGTGCATTACAGTCAAAGTTTAGTCTATGATGTAATGACGTGCCAAACAGGAAAATGAATGGTTGATAAATAAGTATTCGGTACATGAGAAACAATAAGAGTATGTAGTGGCATTGATACAACTTGTGTTCTCCCTGAGCAGCTCTCACTGTTTATCACCTTGTAAAGATTGATTAAGCCGAAAACATCGTTCAACACCATGTAGCCTATACTTGTGACATATAGGCTCTGTCGATTTCAACAACTTATGATGACTCTATTCCAAATAAATCGATCTTTACCTTAATCCAAACTCACTTCTTGCAACTACCTTGTATGCACCATCAGCCCGTAAGTGTGAATATAAATAAAAGGTTTAATGCACATCAAAGCACTGAGTCTGGAAAAAGTCTCTCCCGGATCCACTCATGTCTAACGGATAAATGTTAGCTATCTATCGGAGACTCACATGATTATCATTACTTTCATGTATTAAAAGGATTTTTGATAACCATTCATATGTATTGACAGTTTTATCCAATCGTATCACGGTTAATCAATAATGTGACCGAGATCTCTCCACAACTAGATAGACCGTTCTAAACTTGAGAATCTGACAAAAACACTGGTTGGAATTCTTCCTCTCCGCCGTTATACTTTTGTGACCGGAAATCAAGTCATACGGACAGCCAAGCACAAAGTACCTATACCTCGCACAAGCCAAGCTATTAACGAACGGTTATTACTATGCATCTTAATTATTCTACATTATTACAATGCATTTTTGTTTAACACTTGAATTTTATGCACGTACATTTTCATTTCGAGTATGCGAGAACTAAACCAAACATTTCGGAATTATTGAACTTATTTCCCGATCAGTTAATGCAGCCTTCTTTTTTATTTGTCTTATTATTCTTTTGGTAATCTCGGGTATGGCTTAGCCTTACAGAGGTAGTCATCCTTGTAACAAATCCCTATTCAGATTGAAATAAATTATTATATCCCCGGCCCAAATGCTTTCATCAGAAGTGCTAAAAATTGTTATGCTGTGTCACCATACAACGAGTTAGAATAGATAATGCTGTGACCTCCACGCGAGATCTTGTAGATCAGGTAGTCACGTCCAGACAAATTTACAATTTTGGGACTAGGTCTATTATCATAGTAGTGATAATGCCGAATAAGACCATAATTCTACAAGTGTTTCCGACAAAATAAGATGAAAATATCTATCTGCGTAATTTCGAGTAGCCGTTTTCAGCAGGCAGCCAAAGGTCAACTGTTATTAGCTGAACCATGTTGTGAACCTGACTTTAGCCAAAAACTGCCTTGTCGTCACCAGTCCGGTTATATGCAGCAGTAAGATCAAGTAATGAAGGTAAATCCTTAACCAAAGTCAAATAGCAAAGGCCAAGACAAGGAAGACTGAAGAATATGTCGTGGTTACAAGAAATATGGGTAAAAATTAAAATATAGGACAGGGAGAAAGAACAAAGAAATAGAAGTACTGTCCAGTAGTACACTTGAGAAGGATCTTCAGCGTAGTCTTTACTGTACTCTGATTCCAAGTCGCTTTAGATTGTCACTGAGATATATACAATTGCCGTTACAACATCAAACTGGTAAGCCCAGCTATAGCATAGTACGCGATCAAAAGATTAGCAATATTTATACTGTTACCTGATAGCGAGTAGTGGAGTGGTAAATAAACTCATAAAGAAAATAGTTTTGCAAGGCTTCGAAATTGGTGCTGATATGATCAGCTTTACCCGACACATTATAGCTGAAGGTCCTCTGTTACTCATACTCATCAGATCACCAACGTCGTGCTGTGTTGCCCTCTCAACAACCAGACAGCCATTTCTCAATACGCAGAGTACCTTAATACTTCTTTACTGCTAATTTCCGGTTTGACTTCGAGTAAGACATAAGTAAGATAGTGGTCAGTAACGTCAACAACATAAATTCTGACTACTGTTCAGAGGTTGTAAACAATAACATAATTGTAATCCTGGAGAAACTGAAAGCGGGACAGAATATATGTTAACACAAAAACATCAGAAGAAACGATATACATCCAAGTCGACTCAATCTATAAGCCAATAAGGAAAAAAAGGCTAGCAACTCGACGAAGAGAGGTCAGAAATTCAAATATCTCACTTCTTATTGAAATGCTTACTGATGATTCCGTCAAGAAAGACTGTGGAAGCGTCACGAAAAATCCTCAAAATCCTCATTCTGAGCTACAAATATTCACCCCTATCCCAACTTGGTTCTTGGCTGATAAGGGTTGTCAGAATGAGCCTACAAATATTTTTTCCAGAAGGTGATAAAAATCACATGTCAGATACGAAGATTTTGCTTATTAATTTGAAGAAGCTATTTAGTCGCCTCGACTTATTTTGTCTGACCAGCGGAAATGGTTCATTTTAGCCAGTCGATCTTCAGAAGACAGATTTTGTGTTCCAGGGATCTGCTGAGCGCACTATGATATTTTGGATAAAATGAAATACCCGAGTTTAGACCGATTTCGTGGAAGTCTAAATATACGCTCGACTAAGTCGCATCAAGTACTTTTAGAGCGTCGTTCTCAAAAATGGAGATAAGGTACTTGTAACATTCCTTTCAAGGGTATGCATCTGTCGGATCCTTACAACGAATAACTCAGCTGAATCTTTCTCCATGCTCAACTCTGCTTATAACTGTCTGAATGATCAGTGAACAAGGAGAGACATTGAAAATATGTAGGAGTTGTGGAGTTTAATATGTCAATTAATACATATTTTTAATAATTTCAGTGGTTGAAAGGTGTAGTGAACCAAATTGTATCTTGAAAGTTTGTTGACCTTACTTTGTTTTAAGCAAGCAGAAAGACCTAGATTAACCAATAGCTTTTAGACACATTTGTTAGTCATATTTTTAAGTCTTGTTTCGCGTTGTGGGTGTCAGGATCTTCTAACAATGGGGAGACCATGGGATCTGTCCGTGGTACATAGCCTAGTGGTAGTTAGTAAGTTATGGTTTCACTTTTTTATTCGATGGAAATAGCTGTATTGGCATGTGTATTGTGTGATCCGTCATCGTTACTGTCTGATATTCCTGTATCAAAACCTAATGAGGGACTTTCAACAGCCTCAGACACTTTAGCTAAGTAAGTTTCACGAATAATACTTTTATATCATGCTAGAGAAGGGGAGGCAATCAGCTTGGATGGTCTAAGCGTTGAACAGTTGAAGCAAGCACGGGAACATGCTGAAAAACGACAGTTTGAAGCTGAGGTTGATCGCATGATGAAAATAATAGTTAACTCTTTGTACAAAAATAAGGAGGTAATGTTGGTTTTTTCTTTAACTGTGTAGATCTTCCTTAGAGAATTAATATCAAATGCATCAGACGCTCTGGATAAGATTCGCGTTCTTTCGCTTACTAACAATGAAGTTCCTGATGAGTCTGACGAAATGAGAATCCGAATAAAAGTAGGTTTTCTTAGTAAACATTTAACAACCCTTTAAGGCCAATAAAGATGCACGGACACTTCATATAATAGACACAGGCATAGGCATGACAGAAGCTGAACTTACCTCTAACTTGGGGACCATTGCTAAGTCTGGAACATCTGAGTTCTTGACTAAGATCTCTCAAAGTAATACGGCCACAGAAAAGTCTGACCTTATTGGCCAGTTTGGTGTTGGGTTCTACTCCTCTTTCTTAGGTTTGTACACATATATAATTTGTTCATATCTTAGTTGCAAACAAAGTTTTGGTTGTATCCAAGAGCGATAATGATGACCAGCATATCTGGGAGTCCAATTCCACTTCATTCGTAGTTTACAAAGACCCACGTGGAAACACCCTTAAACGTGGGACTGAAATTGTCCTTTACTTAACGGAGGAGGCAGAAGATTATTCACAATCTGAAACTCTTAAAGAAGTTGTGAAAAAATACAGTCAGTTCATCGATTTCCCCATTTATGTGTGGTCGAGTCGAGTGGAATCACAGGCTGCTGAACCCGAAGAAAAGGAGGAGTCAAAAACAGCTGATTCTGAAGCTAGCGTAAGTGTTTCCTTTAATTAAGACTTCTTTTAGGTTGAAGAAGAAAGTGGAAAAAAAAGTGAAAGCAAGACCGTAGACAAAGTCGTCTGGGACTGGGTACGTGTAAATGCAAATAAACCTATTTGGAAACGCAAACCGGCCGACGTTACTGATGCGGAGTACAATGATTTATTCCGTGCCTATTCAAATGATAATGACGATCCTCTCGCCAAGATTCATTTCAGTGGTGAGGGAAATGTGTTATTTAGTTCAATACTGTATATACCAAAACATCTTCCCTCCAACATATTCCAGATGCACAGTACTCATAGTGATAGGATCAAGGTAAGTATTTCATACTATGTACTAAAATATTCTGTAGTTGTACGTTCGTCGTGTATACATTTCTGACGCAGCCGATGATCTGCTTCCTAAATACTTGGCATTCGTTTTTGGTATAGTGGATAGTGACGAACTTCCTCTAAATGTTTCTCGTGAAATGCTGCAGCAAAACAAACTCCTTAAATTGATAAAGATAAGATTGGTCAAGAAAGTTCTCCAGATGATTAGCGAGCTTTCTGAATCTCAGTTTAAAAATTTCTGGAAGGAATACTCTGTGAACATAAAACTTGGTATAATTGACGATCTTCCAAATCGCACTAAATTATCCAAGTTCCTACGGTTTTGGACTTCAAACAGCACTGAAATCCAATCAAGTCTTGCAGATTATGTTTCACGCATGAAAAATGGTCAGGAAGATATATACTATCTTACCGCATCTTCAATAGCTGAGGCGAAGTCATCTCCATTTGTAGAAAGGCTAATCAAGAAAGGCTATGAAGTCATTTATATGATCGATCCTGTTGACGAGTACATGCTTCAGTCGCTAACTGAATATGATAAGAAAAAGTTACGAAATGTGGCAAAGGGAACGATCGAAATCGACAAATCGGAAGAAGCAAAGACTCGTAAAGAAGAACTAGAAAAAGAATTCAAACCTCTCTTGGAATGGTTTAAGGAAAATTTGAAAGAATATGTCGATAAGACTGCCTTGTCAGAAAGATTATTGAATACTCCATGTGCTCTTGTCGCTAATGAATTCGGTTGGTCCGGAAATATGGAGCGCATTATGACTGCACAAGCATATCAAAGGGGTGGAGATCCATCATCTACTTATTACTCTACTATGAAAAAGGTCTTTGAAATTAACCCACGCCATCCAGTAATGAAAAAGTTAAACGTTCTTATAAAGACCTATAAAGATGATCCTACAATAAGTCATACTGCGAATTTGCTCTTCGATGTTGCGGTCCTTCGTTCAGGTTTTTCTGTTAAGAACCCTGTTGCTTTCGCAGAACGAGTTGAATCTGTTGTAAAGAAAAGTTTAGATATTGATCAAAGCGAGTTGCTGGACGAAGAACCTGAGACTGATGAGGAGTCTGTAACGGATGAAGTGAATAAAGTAAGTTGATAATGTAAGTGTAATTTATACATAGGAGTCGATTTCAAATGAAGATTCAACGAACGAAAAGTCAGAAGCATCTTCGCAAATTGATGTAAGTTCATTATCTGGTGCTTGGTATTTTTGCATGTTGATTTTCGGAATGCTAAACTTAGTTTTTTCATTTTTCATGGATAGGAAAATCAACCAAGTTCACCAAAGGATGAGCTTTGAACGCATTTGTATTATCTCGCCGATCCTGTCCCCACTTTTCATTGTTTTTGGACTCATCTTCAAATTTCCAAACAGCCTTTATCCGCATGTGACTTGCATGTTTTCTTGAAGACGTAGGAATCGTTTGTTGTTCATCTCGTTTTGAATTTAGAAATATACTTTTGTATGCATTACCAGTTTTTTGTTCCACTGACAACACGACTAATATATGATACTGCTCAATAACCAAGTACAGATTCATGTACTCAGTTCAGTTACATTCCTTACTTAGAGGCTAGTGATAGTATTTGACCGTTAAAGTAGAGTTAAGTGAAGTAGAAACCAAACATACTGTCGGGGTAGTTTCAGTCTAAATGTTCCCTCATTGCATATCTCTCGGTTAGAATACACTTACTGCCAGTGGAGCGGTGGCATACTCGTTAAGGCGCTTGACTTTCAACCAGTAAGTTCGTTCCGTTGGTCTAATTAGTGTGGAATTAAAATTGTGGTAAATGAGTGTCTCAGTCTAAATTTTGGATAGTAGGACTATCTTTTAGTAACTGTATGATGATCGTATGGGAATATCTATCAAAATCAATGGCTAAGTGCTCACTTCAATAAGTTTCCGTCAGAGATAGTCACCAACTTCATAGCTAACAAGCTTATCAGAAATCTATTGATTAGCATCATTGGCTGGAGCATTTTCTTAACGTTTGACACTATGTCAGTTCTTAGAGTAACTCCCTCCACACCTAATTTAGTGCGAGCGACGAGGCAATAACATAAGCCCTCACACATGAGGACCTGATGATTGAGTAAATTTACTTATTATTCACACTACACTGCGATCCTTACAGCTGTGTTTTGGATATATATTGCTTATGCAGAGTACTGTTCACTTAATACCCATGTGGCAACCCTAGTACTAGTTAGAAGGGTGAGTGATAAGATACCACTTGGTTCATTTACTAGAACTAACTATGTTAGTTTTAAAGTTGGTCAAAAAGATATGGTTTAGTATCGTTAAACTATACGGGACCCAAAGAGTTAGTTGAAGTTAATTATGAAGTTGTAGGAGGCGAAATATGAGTTATCATAGTAAAAGTGATTGTTACCTTAGAATTACGTGACCCAGATTCTCTTGCATCTTTGTGAGGCTAACTTTTTCGAGCCAGCTTAGTTTTCGCCGGGGTTCGTACTAGTAAGCTTCCTCGACCTATTTAAGGGTACATTATTTATTTGTTTGAAGTTAACAATGATGTATATTAAAAGGTGGGTTTTTTGTAGAATTCTAAGAATAATTTAATCTTCACTGAGAAATAACTGCAGTCGATTTGTTGTTACTTATTGGCCTGAAAGTCGATCATAGATTACTGCCTTATGTTTCACTCAATCATTTGTATTATGGCTCTGTACGTTTTGCGATATGGGATACTTTTGTTATATTAGTGATGTAAAAGAGACATACCGTATTCTCAGTGTTAAATCTTTCTCATCGTCATTGCTACATTATTTTGAGTTTCTTTGGTATTCATCTTGTTGAATTAATTCTGTCATGGTATAGTGGCTTCTATCAAATCAGTTTTGTAACAAGTTGTACACTAATTATTACTGACTGAAGGGAAGCCGATCTTTATTAACGAAAACCCACTTATCTATGACCATTTTTGAGGATTTCATAGATCGTCAGTTAATCTTAGTATTTTAGGATTGGGTTATGACTAAAATGACGGTAAAATACAGACGTCTTGTAAGTTTGGGTAATTTTTTTCATATTTTCTCTTCATTTGATTTGTTGTCCGTCTTTACATTATTGATTAGCATATAATCGGGTTGTATTTTGTTGGATTCTGGAAGTCTAAATAATATGCCAAACCTCGTATTAATTATATCTGAGTATCTTTGCATGACCGACACTTTAATTGTACATATGTGAAGACGAATATGTCATTTCATGCTTATATTATTTCCAACCACAAAATGTAAGGTTTATTTAGCATTTCTCACCAAATAATTTGTTTTATGTATATTTTCAACTGTTATGGAGTTTGTAATAATTATTTCATAACTCATTCACATGTTATTATTAGCTCCAGTTTAAGAGGGTTTTGTTAATTAGAAATGAGAAGGAATTCATTTACTAAGTACATGTCTATGTGCAAAACTTTTAATCATACTGATACTGTCAGTATCAGTTATACTGCCTGAGGGATCACGTCACTTATCTAAAAATCACGGAGTATCATAGTGTATTAACATATGGATAAGTTGGGTAGCCCCTGAAAATAATTTCCATATTGGTTCGCTAATTGCCGACTTAAAATATCTATTATATGTGCTGCGTATAATATCCATTATCGCTTAATCGACTGGACATGACTGAAAATAGATAGCCTAATCTTATTCCTAACCATACTATGTACAACACAATCTACTTTCGATAATGATATTAGAAGACGAAGATTATCAGAACTATCATTATCGAAATTTATCAAAGGGACTAATTGTTTTAAATTTCTTAAAAGAAGACTCCCTGCACATACAATCTACTTTATTTTAGTTTAGCATACCTGTATTCTGTCTAAAATATCCTGGTTACTTGAGACAAATATAAGACGTTTCATCTTATTTTTACTCTACTACAGAATTAGCCTCTCATGTACTTGGTGAGAAGTGTAAACTTGGTATTTATTTCCTAAATGAGAAATTTGAGGGGACGAATTTCACTTAAAAATAGTCTTTGTTAAGGGCTGATAACAGGTTTGTTTTTAATTTCCATTGAGCAAGAGCATGAGTATCTGAACTAATCTCCACAGTCTTCATTAATTTAAAACCGCTTTAGTTCGGAAACAACAGTCCCACCAGATCTACTTCCTTACTAGTTTGCTACTTATCTTCCGTGGGAAATATACCTACCAAAGACAAAGGAAGATGGTGGCTCAGTATTGTGGATTGACTGAATCCAGACTTGTACAGTAGTGGATCTCAGCTGATTGGTCTAAAAGTTAAGTGTTCGAGTTATACCCAAGTCCCTAAGTTGGATTCCCGGTTAAGGATTCGTGTATTCGGATTGGGACAAAACGGCCATCCAGTGCCCTATGGCTTTTAATAGTTGTCTAAATTATATCGGTTTGGGATTCCGATGAAATCCATCTACCTCCACAACTGCATGCCGACAATTAATTTTTTGTTATCTAATTGGCTCTTGTGTTGTATGAAGACTTATAGTGATCAATAAATATTAGTTGATGAAACTAATGGAATTTCTGACGTCCGATCTATGATCGTTATAAAAGTCCTTTGAGAGTGTGTTATGCAAGAACAGACAACTTGAAAAGTTTTCAAAATCATCTCACTTCAAATTTTCCCAACAATAGGAATTCTTTTTTACTACACTCATTAATTTACTCCATACCAATAACTATAACTGATTGATCTCTTAAATGATAGGATGGTAGGATAACGTTCTTAGGTGAAACATTTAAGAAATAGATTAAGTGTGAATAATAAATTCCCTACAATTCTAACTATTGAAGAAAAAGAAATGGTTTTGAAGCATAAACTTAAAGTGTATGGAGTAAAACCATCTCATATGTAGTGTTTCCTCTGTGTGTGTACAGTGTTTCGGATAAATATAGTGATCTTGGGGTTGTTTAAGTAAGAGCACAATTATATGAACTGATTTTTAGCCTTTGATACAATAATACCTATGAATCATACATGAATTATCCGTCACTATTACAATATAGATCATAGCACATTTTCATTGTACAAAAGATATCAGGATCAATGAAGGGTTGTGGAGGTTGTTGACTTTTGATTGAAATCATGAATCGATCAGTGTTATACCACTATTGATCTCAGAGTTCTAGTGAGAAGCTTTGAATAATGGAGCTAATCCGTGAAGACAATGGAACCTGGTCGCGAAATCTCTTGGATTAGTTGAAGTTGGACATTAACAACTTTGGATGCCGGCTCAATGGTCAAGAGATGAAGCGTTCGTGAACGAGACCGAAGGTTCTGGGTTTGTTTTCCGCATCCGGGCCCGTGGATACACACTTCTGAGTAGTCTCATACTAGAACGAAATGGCCGTCCAGTGTTTCCAGTTTTCAGTGGTAGTCTAATATATCAGAATCTTTTAAACATTCAAAATAACCAATTTATCAGCTTTGAACAAACTATCAAATTTTAGAAACTATAGAATTCGAAGCCTTGAAGATTTATTGAAGATTTCAAAGGTAACACTAACTAATATCATGTCTGGATACAACGAAAGAAATACTAACCTTTTCTAATGTTAAGAGGTATGAGTAAAACGTCAACTAACGTATAACTTTTTCAATAAAATATTTTCCTGTAATAGCTAAAATGATGAAAATCCAACCAATACCTCCACCAGTTGATATCTACCTCAGTATATTTTGTCCAAAAAGGTAAATCGATTTATTTTAACTCACTGTTTCAAATATCAGTTGGTCACTTAAATTTCTAAATTTTATTTTTATTATTTTCTAAAATCATAAATGATAACGCTACTGTCATATCGTACCAGTCTAGTGAGGTTCAATTTATTAACAATGTATAGTGGCTTAGTTATAGTAAATTAGCATTATCGGATGATGAATACAATTTCTTCTTGTTGTCATGATTTATACTTACTAAAGTCCAGTTCCGTTTAAACATTTGGTTAAAAGGAATGAAATAGCAGAGTAATTTTAGTTTTCTGTGTGTGCCGACATCAAATCATTTCAAGATGTTTTTGATACAATTTAATGAAGTGCTGTGTTTGTGGGCGTAACTGGGTAGGGACTGAGTCAAAAACAAAGTAGGGATTTTTTCAGTGAAACAATTTCGAATGTCACTTCAACCTTTGAGTAACGGTAGTTTCAAACTGAAAGTTCTGTTTACTTTGCATGTGATATTAGAAAAATTATTGTTTTATCCCATTATCTCTAATATACTGAGTAGGCTACATTCATCCATAACTGACTGCCATAGAAATATCAAGTGTATTGTGGTGCCCAAAATCCTCAATGAGCCGTACAAGTTTCGTAAAAGTTAGGACTCGAAATAAAATCTTTAATAAAGATTACACTCGAATACGTAATAATCACCCAGTGAATAAACAAAAAGGAACAGAAAGTGTTGGGTTAAATATACTTAGTTAACATGAAAACGTTACAGATAACTTGAGATTATGACCTAAAATGCTTATAATTAGAAAAGTACTGTCACAGTGCTTAAGCGAACGTAGATTAAATAGAAAAGTAGTTAGATTTAGATAAGTTAGTTATGATGGCCGATCAAATCAGTTTGAACTTCATTACCGAAATTTAATGCTTATTCATTAATGATAGTTTCATGCAACTGTACTTTCATCATTACGAATACATCAATATTCAAATTAAGTAGTTTTGAATTTTGATAGGATATCGTTTGAATATAATATCATCAATGTAATATAATATTAACATAATATTAAAAAATTGGATATTTTGATACTCGCATTGTTAAATCCAATAATAATCCTAGTGAGATGTCGTTACCAGTGGAGTTCAACCAGGTCTGTTGTGAGATATTAACTCACTGAAGACAATGGTATACGGTGGCGCAACTTCATGGATCGGTTGAAGTTAGACATTAACACCGTTGGATGCCGGCTCAGTGGTCTAGTGGTTAAGTACTCGCGCGCGAAACCAGTATGCCCTGGGTTCGAATCTCGCAAGGGGCGACGTCGTGGATGCGCACTGCTAAGGAGTCTCATACTAGGACGAAACGGCCGTCCAGTGCTTCCAGGTTTTCCATGGTGGTCCAGCTTCAGTTGACTCATGATTTCAACCAGTGAAATTTCTAAAAATCTCCACAAAACCCATTCTGATAATTTTTTAATGTTAAGTAAGTTTATTAGTATTTTAAATGTAAGATGGGAATTTTGAGAAACAATATATCAAGTTCATGGAAATATCCTATTAGAAATTGTTAAACAGTGAAAATGTTTGGTCGTTTATTTATCTAATCTAAAGGCCACCTTTTATCTCATCCATTAACATCATCTAATGAAATATTTGAAATTTAAATAGAATCAAGCAGTTGTTGTTTGACATCTTGACAAGATCGATGGTCGTGGATTTAATTCCCAACTGTTGGATCAGGGATTCTTACTACTGATGAGTTTCATATTAGAAAGAAGCAGCTATTCAATACTTTCATGTTTTTGATAGTTGTTTAATCTCGATAGATTCTTGATCTCAATATTAATTAACTGTCTACACAGCCCTATCCTGATAATCATCTTCTTAACTGTTAACCTTTTCATATGTACATACCCACTACACAAACAGTCGACTTGTACTACTGAATATGACGTTAAACATTAACAAAACGAATGAACCATTATACACCGAAATGACTTTAGTTTGTAAGTAAAATGTGTTTGTCAATGAATGCGTTTGAATTGTATGCATTTATTTGTTTCTTTATTTTTATTATGATTATATTTTTGCATGAGAATGTTAACTTCTTTGCTTACTAGATCGAATTTAATTGCAATTTGTCGTAGTTTGAATTTTTATGCTGTAGCCGTTAATGAACTTTGAACGTATATACGATGAACTGTTATGAAACCATCATGAGGTAGACCATTGAAATATTAAATGACTAGTTCAGTTGTTTCAAGTTTACATCATTATTAATTTATTCGAAATTATTTAGGTTAACTATCTGAGTCAATGCAAACTGAATAGTTTTAGTTAATCAGTTACTTTGAGTGTTAATACCAAAGAATATTAGAAAGATATTGAAGTGCACAATATGGTTTCTATATAACATGAAAATTATCTTCAGTTGTCACAGTAATATTGATATCAAATAGAATACTCTTTATGAGTCATGGTTTATCGAATTTGGCGTTTGATTTTAATTTAAACTAGGTGGTTGTAGGCTGTAATTCGCAGTTTACTTTTGAAGGTTAGATAGCTAGGTATCATTATAACCCATTGATATAAATGATAACAGAATATATTATTATGGTTGTGGTATTATGTTTCGGGTGTTTGACAATTCACCAATTACTCTTAAACAGCAAATATAATGTTCTAAAGAGTAGTGACAATCACGAAAGCTTTGTGTCAAAAAACCCTCATTAATTGCTATGTAATATGAATTAAGAATAAACTGTATTTCTTCAAGTGAATGTTTCTCTTAAATATATGTGGTACTGTGAAAATAGTAATCTCAAGAGTATTTATAGTAAATAGACCTTATTTGTACAAAATCTGCACCTGATCCAGAAGGATGATACTACTTAATACCTACACCTGTTGACCCTCGTGGAGGAGCATAGGCCGCTCACCAACATTCTCCATCCAACTCTGTCCTGGACAATTCTTTCCATTGGTTTCCAGTTGCTATTAACCCTTTAGTGTCTGCTTCCGATTCCGGAGGCAGTGTGTTCTTTGGCCTTCCACTTTCACGGTTCTCATCAGGATCCCAAGCTAGTGCATGCCTGATGATGCAGTTTGATGATTTCCTCAATGTATTTCCCATCCACTTACGTCTTTTCCTAATTTTCGCTGTAGCTGGAAGCTGGTTTGTTCCCTCCTGCAGCAGGTAGTTGCTGATGTTATCCAGTCACCGGACATTGAGTATCTTGAGTAGAAAATTGTTTAGAAATGCCTTTGCCTTTTTGATGATGATTGTGGTGGTTTTCCAAGTTTCAGCTCCATACAGTAGAACGGTCATGACGTTCGTATTGAAGATTGTGACTTTGATATTGGTTGAAAGTTGTTTTGAGTTCCATATGTTCTTCAACTGTAGGAACACTGCCCATACTTTGCCAATCCTCGCCTTTACATCTGTATCATATCCTCGTTCATCGACGATGCTTTCCAGATAAGTGAAACTTTCCACCTCTTCTACAGATTCTCCACTAAGTGTGATTGCGTTTGTGTTCTCTGAGTTATTTTTGAAGATGTTACTTTTTCCCTTGTGCTTATCATGACATGTATTTGCTCACATGTATGGGATAGATGAGCCGGGTCATCTTCGAAGAACAAATATTCTAATTGATTCCGAGCTGTCTATTGTGTTCCGCGCTCCCAGTCAGATGTAGAGGTCTTCTTAAAATAGTCAGCCGCCAGAAGAAACAGGAAGTTAGAGAGTAGACAGCCTTGCCTGACTCTGGTCCTTACTTGGAATGCATCTTTCAGCTGTCCTCCATGCACTACTTTGCACTATAGTCCGTTGTATGAATTCCGGATGATATTGACGATCTCAGATACTCCCTAGTGTCAAAGAAGTTCCCATAATGTTCTCCTATCTACACTGTCAAATGCCTTTTCAGAATCAATGAACTTGATGTATAGTGGCGAGTTCCACTCAACTGATTGTTCGACGATGATCCGTAGTGTTGCGATTCGGTCTGTGCACGATCGATCCTTATGGAACCCAGCCTGTTGATCTCGAAGTTGGGCATCTACTGTGTCTTTCATCCGGTTCAGCAACACTCTGTTAAAAACTTTCCCAGGTACTGACAGTAGTATGATGCCTCTGTAGTTTTCACATTTGTTCAGATCTCCTCTCTTTGTTATCTTAATAAGGTGCCCTTCTTTCCAGTCCATCGGCACTTGTTTCTCCTCCCAAATTTTCCTTAACAGAACGTGAAGTATACTTGCCGTTACTTCTATGTCTGGCCTCAAAGCTTTGACTGATGCATTGTCTGGTCCTGATGCTTTCTCGCATCTGATGACCATCCTAATTCCTTCAATCGATATCAGCATATACATTCCTAAAATATAAGTTATTTTATTCATACTTATGTTAAGATTAAATTACAAAAAGAGAATATTAGAAGTTGATTACTTAGATCATTTTAGATCAATCTTACATCCTATCTGTTTCGATATGAGTCAATTAACTTTCTAGTGTTTATAGTCCGATCTCATATAAATAGTAACGAAACAGATTTGCTATTATCGTCAATATCCTAAAACAGAAAACTGTTTAGGTGAACTATTTAGTTTCCAAAAAAATTTTCATTCACTACTGAGTATAAATTTATTTATAACTTATTCACTTTAAAGCCATAATGTTGGCTTCAAAAATACGTAGCTTGAAATATCTACATAGATATTAATGAATTTATTTGAACTAATAAATTGTAATAGTTGAGATTATGAGTCAATTGAAACTTGACTATCATGAAAAACTTGAAAGCACTGGATAACCGTTTCGTCCTATTGTAGGACTCCTCAGTAGTATACATCAAGTGACTCATGGTCTCAACTATTAAAATTATTATAATATCCACAAAAACCTCTTCTGATAACAAATTTTAACTATAGATTTTGTTTTACTATGTTATATTCTGTTATAAAACAGGAAAATAAATCATAGTCATAGTGAATTTTTATTTAATTAATAATTTTCTTACTAGATACATAGTTTTACTGATTTCTTTGACAATGAAAATAATTGGAAAATGAACAAAACAGAAGCAAATCAATTTTCGGAATTCAATCATATTACTGAATCTTTTGAAGACAGTATTACTCCTAGTTTCGTCGTAAGTATTTTTTTGTTTTATAGAAATTATGACTACTAACAACTTATTCATGAAACTTGATATATATATATATATATATATATATATATTTGAAGTAGTAAGTACACAATGCTTCATCCATGTTTAAAACTTGTTGTCCCTCATTAGGATAATGCCATGGTACGGCCGAGAAAGGGTAGAGTTAGCTGTCCCCCTCGAAGTGCTCTCATATGGCCACGTGCCTATAACCACTACCAGGGAAGTCATACTCACTGCTTTCTTGTGGCATCGCTGTTGTTTACAAAATTGAGAGGACGATAATTGAATGTCCGGCACTTTAACCTTGTTAATAGATATAGAGGATCTACCTAGGGGAGTTGGAAAACCGTGATTATAAACCAATGGTGCACATGGCTCCAGTATTCTGAAGCAACAAATGGCGTATGAACCAATAGTTGGTCACCGGCTACCATGGGACTGCATCTTCCGACATTGCTTTACTGCCTTGTGGATTAGACCTTTAGGTCTAAGGCTCTGGGTGTGGCCTCCCAAAGAAGACCACCTGTTTTTGGTTTGGGCACCCGGGCAGTATCTCAGCCCTCACATAAACCGAATGATTTATGTCTCGTATATCTGTTTGGTGCCTCATTGTACCAATGTCTATGTGTTTAAATAAATAAATAAATTTGTAAACTTGAATATCTGGTTACTTCTCCGAATGGATTTTAAATTTTATTATTTATTTCTGCAGTATTATCACTGACTAGATTTTTTAAGTTTTGGATGGTCATCTTGAAGGATCTGTTTAGGTTTGACCAAGCTTATTTATACAAACTCAAGATTATTAAGTCCTGAGAAATGATTTAAATTTGTGTAGATCTTATTACCACTAGTTGTGTTCAGTTTTCTTATATACTTGTATTGGAATAATATAGGTTAGAATTTCGTTCGTTTAAAAGTATCTAATTAACTAGATTTATCTAAATTCCTTAAAAGATCTAATGTAAAGTTTAGATATTTGTAAGATAAGGGACCGCGAGATGATAGCAACCGATGGTTAGAGACCCTAAATGACATGGCTCAAAATCGTTTGCAATGGCGCAGGTGCATCCACTCTCTGTGTTCTACCAAATTCTAATCTTCTGAATTCTTCATGTCCCTTTTTCCTCTTTCCAAATTTATTTCACTGGATTATACTCTTTAAATAAGATCTCCAAACCCTAATCTTCCCGATTACTGCTTATACTCTTATTACCTCTACCACTACGGGATTTGAATCGACAACTGCATCTCTGTGCTAATGTGGTGTGGCAACTCGAACTGATGTACGTACGTACGAAGTTCTACGTTGTTACTGACTGACTGACTGATTTGTAAGATAATCTTATCATTAAAATTTTATTGATTTTAAAGGGAACAATCAAGTTTCTTTAATAATTCAGCTTAATAAATTCATCCAAAATGATGAACAAATTTGTCAACAATAAACTAAGTCCATAATATAAATAGATTGTAGCTAACAGTGAAATTCAAGATGTGCCTTTTGTCCTATTCGGGATTTGTTAACTGAATTCTCTGAACTATAGTAATTATTTTCACATGGGTACTCTAACCCATTAACTTTGATTCTAAAGACTAATGCTTTCTCCCCTGAGTTAATAAATCTAAATAGCCGCTGACTTACTTAAGTGATATGATGATATCTCCTCATTTATGACAGTACTCTTAGTGCATTTTCCTTTCGGTTGTTCATGTGTGATTTGTCATCTTGAAACAAGTCACTGGTGAGCTATCTATAATTTTTTCATTGAAAGGTTTTTGTGAGGATAGATTTAATCTGTAGGTTGTGTGTTGCATATTGAGTAGATACCGTTCATGAAATTTCAACTTAATACCAGCTCAACAAAATGTCGAGCATTAAAAAATGAGTACTCTTGCATTTGACATCAAAGAGAGAGAGAAGAGTGAGCAGTTCTTTAAATTCCCGAATGAAAACAAAATAATTAATCCTTGATTCTTAATAGTATTTCAGTTAATAATAGGTGATACTTCAAGTTTCAATAACTCAGTAAACCATATTTTGATTCAAATAATTGTTTTTTGAACAATTCTTGAAATAAATCTTCTTTTTATTTTTTTGCTCCACAGACAACATCAGATTGTCCAACATGCCGTCGACTTTTAGGGTGTAGTTCACGAGTTCATAGTCATCAAACTGACAGAAATCCTAAAGTGGATCAAATTGATAACAATGAAAATGATGACCAAGATGAAGATGAATACAATGAATCTGAAACAACAGGAATGATCAATGATTCTGGTAATGATGACGATGATGATGATGGGGAAGATAAGGATGACGATTTCGGGAATTATCTAGGTGAGAAAATTTCTGAGTCAAAGATTAAATCAACATTTAGACATATGCGTAAATTAGAAGAGTCTAAAGATAATGATGATAATGGTGATGTCGACAACAATACTGAGTATAATGAGTGTTTGTCAATATGCGCTTCTAGGCATGGGAAAAAATTAGATTTAAGACATACCCTTAATATAGAAGATGATGATAGTAGAGGAGAAGAAGATGAAGATCAGTTAAAGGAATCAACGACAGAAAACAAACTTGTTCATAATGAAAATAAAAAACAACTTCCTAATCTAAAAAATATACCTGAAATACATAAAAACAAATTAAAAGCTGATGTTAAAGCTTTGAATCAAAAACTGCAAATAAGTAAAGATCATCTTGTAAAACATAATGAACCAAAAAGTGAAAAGATTACAGAAGTAGAAACTACTGATGAACTAGACGATATTGATGAAGACGATAATGATGATAGCAATGATGATGATGATGATGGTGGTGGAAATAAAGATTATGAAGATGATATTGATGATGATCAAGATGGTGAGGATGAAAAGTTTGCAGATAATTACAGCGATGATAATGACAAACATGACACCACTAAAGTAATAAAACCAGGCTGCGAAAAATCTATTCAAGAGGGTCAACCATCAATAAATGAGAATACGAATAAGAAGCTGAGTAATGACGATGTTGAAGACTATGATTACGATGACAGCAATGATGATAATGATAATGATGATGATACTAATGAAGTTGGTGACGATAATGAAAATGATAATCGTGATGTAAACAGTCAGTCAAATGATGATACATCTAAAGGAAAAGATTTTAAAATCGACCAGCATAAAAATATAAAAACAACAGTTGATCAGTTTGAAGATGATGAAATTGATGATTTTGATCCAGATAATGATATTGAAGAAGAAAGTGAAGATGATCAACCAGAAGATTTAGATTTGGAAATATCACCTGAAGAAGGTTATGAAGATGTTGATGATCCTGATTACAGTGATTGGATAGAGGCTGATGAAGAATTAAATCCTAATTGGCCTGGTAAGCTTAGTCAAAATGTGGAATATGGAATGATAATAGTACTGATGATAGTTGTAGTAGATATATCCTAGTTTCCTTCCAAATTCATCTAGTATATATGTGTACGTTGATTATCTCTAATCTTCTCATTCTAAACGCTCACTTACTAACAAGTACTCAAGCAAACAATTAAACATGTACACAATTGTACATAAAATTTTCCAATTATCAGTGTTTTACAAACAAAGGATTGTGAATTCAACATGTAATGGGATGCATGCTGGTGAATTATAACAATTAGATTACCTTATTTATTACAGATGCCTTAAAACGTTGTTGATTTTTTTCAAAACAAGATTTCATCAAATTAGCTAAAAGTATATAGTGAGATTCTGATTGATAGAAACAAGTTTTCGTAAAAAAATTTTTCTTGCCTGTTTAGAATTCTTTCGCATAGAAATCCCTAAACAGTTCTTTATTTCTACCTTAGTATTGACAATGTTTAACTGAATATGACATTTTCCACTGCATAGTTGGATTATTTAATACTGTATTACATTGATATTTAGATGGATATGTAATTTTTAGTCTAGTGAGTGAAAACCAAGAATGTATTTATATTTGCATATATGTATAGGTATATAACTAATTAAGTAATCTAACCAGACACATTCTTATCATAGGAATATATCAAAGGTACTGATCATTTTTCTTCCCTATATATATATAATTTTGATTTATTCATGTCATTTGATGTTTACTTACTTACTTACTTACTTACGCCTGTTACTCATCGTAAAGGAGCATAGGCCGCTCACCAGCATTCTCCATCCAACTCTGTCCTGGGCAATCCTTTCCATTTCCTTCCAGTTGTTATTCCATTTAATGTTTAACAGATAATATAATGCCATTAATTTTAATAATTTAAAGAACCCTCCGCTTGACATATGTTTCAACTCCATAAAATAGCAATATGATAAGGAAATCTATTTAATAATAGATAATTTAATTTTGTATTGAACACTTGGAATAAATTTTAATTGGAAATATTAAAATTGTATTGAGATGATCCTTATTCAGATTTTGGGCCTTATAATTATGTATTTGTTGTAAAGGAATAATGTTTACCAGAATACTACTTACCAATTGCCTTCAAATAATGTATCCGAAGCTAAATCTAGTGCTTAATGTCAAAGTATTTTATCTATTGACCTTGATCCATTCTTCAACCAATAAAATTCTCCATTACGTTGTATGAAAACACGTCTTTCTTCATGTACTAATTACATTTCCCGGTATTCATGATCATTAAAAAAAGTATTGAATCTATAGGTGTTTATATTCTCTCGTCGATATTAACGATTGAAATTGGCTAGTCACTTTTGACACATATGCATCCAAAGTCGATTATCTCGATATTCCCAGATATTTTCCCAAATATTTTAGTAAGGGTAGGTAGAAGCTATCAGCGAAATCAATGACGGGCGTTTCTTCATTTTTGAGACTCGTCCACTTGTGAATATTAGTATTGAGAGGCATGCACATCTAGATATCACAAATAAAATAAAATCCTTGTCCAGGATTCGAAAACTTGTCAATATCCAACTACAATGTTTAAATTAAACGACATACTATCCTTACATTTTATTCATTTGTATGCGTTTATTTAACTATATTTCCTAAATATCATATTTCTCTGATATATATTCAAATGATTTGGTTATTATATCATTGGTATAATTAAACTGTTTATTACAGTTAAACAAAAGGTTAAACTTTTTAATAAACCATGATAGTTTTTATGCTAACTTTCTGTGTAATTTGAATCCAGGTGTAAGGAAATTAATGGCAGTTAAAACAACAACTCCTACTACTTCATCTAAATCCAAGTCTCACTCAGAAACGGCTACTGGACATACAAAGAATAAGAAAGTTCCATCAAAAACAGCAACACATGTAAAAACCATTTCTAAAACACCATCATCCAAATTATCTGAAAGTTCTAAAACAAAACAACCCAAGGACAAACCTTCTTCTAGTCATCATCAACAAAATCAACCAGACAAGTTAAAATCTTCCACATTAGCATCATCAAAGCATGCAGAAGATCATCACTCAAAGAAGGCAGTGCATAAAACTGTTCCGTCACAAGATAAATTAAAAACACCAATTCCAACAAATAAAAACCCTAAACAATCTACACAAAAATCGAAACCAGTACGAATTATTGGAAATATAAACGATCATGACTGTGATGGTATACCAGATGATATTGATGAAGATATTGATAATGACGGTCTTTTGGACCGAACACAAGATTCCGATTGGGATGGATTATTGAATCATGTTGATGAAGACGATGATAATGATGGTATGAAAGTGTTTGCCGTTTTTTATTAAATTCTTAAGCAGTTTTTGTCTTTCTAATCCTGATTTTTTATAAACATACCGTTGAGAAATTGATGAATGCGTGATCAAAACATTCAACTTTTAAAGGTTAACTTAACATTTTCTTATCATTCTAAAAATCTCTTGAATTTAAAACATTTTACTGTTTACTTCCTTCACTAAAGGTATCCCTGATGTTGAAGATGAAGATGCTAATGGTGATGGAATACCAGACTGCCGTTCTGATGTTTCTGATTTAAAACTAAAAGTAAGATATAAGAAGAAAATGCGTAAAGTTGACAGCGATTTTGACGGTGTTCCAGATGATGTTGACGGAGATGATGATAACGATGGTATTCCAGATATTATGGAAGATGAAGACAAAGATCAAATTCCTGATTTTTTAGGACTTACTCGTGCTGATTGTAAGTGAAGAGTGTTGATTATTTAAAACATTAATATGTGGAATTTTAATAAACAATGAGCTAGTATTCTAATAAATCTTATTCCACCGTTATATAATCTTGAATTAAACGAATCACTGACACAACCTTTATCATATTCATTAAACTTGCTATAAAACAATTCTAACTTAGACAACATTAATGTTCATAATAATTTTTAAATAAGGGATTCAAAATTAGTCGATTTTATGCAAATCTGTTTACTAAGGCTACACAGCTTTGACTCACATTTTAATCTGGCGAAGGTTAGTAATGCCCAACCAATTTGACGGAGCAAGGCTTAAAATATTTAACCCACTGATTGAAAGTCAAGTGCTTTTGGTCATAAAACCATAGCTGAGAAGGTAAATTCAACCATAGATATTGAATACATTCTCATGGGATTAATTCATTAACTGATATGGAGGATTCATGACCAAGTTTATCAAGTTGTATTAAACTGTAGACGAGGAAATTAATGGATTCATTCAGTTCACTATATGAATAAATAAACTTTCTGTCATCTTTAAACAATTTGAGTTTTAATAAATTAACTTGAAAAAACTTCCCAATACAAATCATTGTTGTTTTTAAATTGAACAAAGGTCTACTTAGTCGACTAGTATTGAGATCAGGGAGTGTAGTGTACACTTAAATGAATATACTACGGCATTGTGAATTATATAATGCTATACTAAGCTCGTTACTGTCAATTTAGTAGGCTCTAATTAGTCAGGTGATTCATTTTGTCACATTTAATACGGTACCATATTCTCAGTCTTCAACATTTCGAGTGATAAAATTAAGAGGTTAATGTAAAAATTACTCATTGTTATTCAAATGGCGAGAATTATTTAGGTACATAGTAATAAGGATAAATTTTATTAGAAATAACGAAGTTAAATACCGAAACAGTGGTCTACACTATGAAATTAATATATCATTATAATATTCTGGGTCTTTGTAGAGTTCAGCTTCTGGAAGGAATGAGTCTAACATTAAAGAATAACATTAAAGTAAATTTGTTTTACGTTTATCATTCACATCTATCCCTTTATTAATGATTTATTTTTTAACATCTTTATCTTTTACACTCCTTAAACCTAATGTCCAGTAATATTAATAACTATAAAAATGGCGTAATCAGCCCTTATTGTTTATAAATGATGGTTATGAAAGCCAATAATTTGTGCAATGATTTCCTTTTTTAACAATTATGAACTATAGTCATCACGATATAACCAGTTTAGATTTAAGTTCGAATGGGGTTCCAGTCAGAGATAATTCAAATGAAAAAAGTTGTTCACCTAGACATATTGTGCTTATAAATAAAGAAAAAGAAGACATTTCTAATATCCCAATGTTAGAAAAAATTAAGCTTTCAGATTTCCTGAAGTTTCGTAACTCAGTGTAAGCCCCTTATTCGGAGAGGTGTTCATTTCTCGATAACATTTAATCGAATGACTAATTTCTCAACATTTATAATCTTATGCTCAAAACTTATCGTTATTGTAACAGCAAACTAATCACAGTTGTTTTTATATCAGCCTTTTGATTACATATGTATACTACAAAAACGTAATGCTAATTTACATACAATTCCGTTTTGCAATAGTAATTACGGTTAGAATTTCAAATATCATTATCATTCTAGAATTAATTTTATTCACCTTTTTCATTGAGGATAAATTAACTTGGGTAGTTTATATCTGTTAGACCTGATCGACTTTTAAACACTATTTAGAGGTTCATATACAAACAAAGTTTGAAAGAATAAGAGGTGAACAATTTAAAAGTATCTAACTAATAAAACTAGACATCGGATTAGTGTTTAGTTGCCCGCAATCTGATTTCAGTTAGATCGTTTGCTGCTTATTATCAAAATATACATGTCGCCAATCCTCGTATATAATCATCGACATAAATCGCGTTAGTGAATAACCGAATTAAGTGAGTTAAGTAGGAGAATGGATTTTTGAATACGTATTTTTTGTACAATCGTTGGTCTGAAAGTGAAGCAAAACGAAGTGGCGTGCCGTGAAGGAGAGTGAGCCAATTCGATTTAACCAAGAGTCAACTGATATTTATAGTCAGATAAAAATAAGTTACAGACATTTGAGTTAGGTAAGAAATGAACACACATACGATTACATAAAAAGTCAGGGTTGATAAGAGAATAAGTGACAAGGTCAAAATGTAGCTTAAGAAGAATAGATCAATTGGTTCGTCCAGAAGTTAGAATAACCTATGTGGGCTTGACATCCTACCAGTCCATACAAGTGTACTGTAATTATTCAGCCGAGATTTGATCATTATGTAATGTTAGTAGAGGAGCATGTACATTTTTGAAATTGCCTATCAGACTAAATACTAACTAAAAAACACTGGAAAATTGGATCTCTCAAATGATACATTATCTAATGAATCTCGTTGGGATCACGAACCTATCTAAGCTGGATAATCCTTAAAAATTCGAAAATACTGGATTGCTGATTTATCTTAATGTGCAGTGGTCATCCATCTGGCACCATGTTGAGTGTTCGGCAGGTCACTAACAAAGAAAGTGGAAGATGTCCACTCAAAATCACAAATTGATTGACGTAGGACTTGTACAGTATTAGATCCTTGCCCAGAGGTCTAGAGGTTAAGCATATGTGTGAACTGGATACCTGGTGACAGTGTCTTGATTGCTTACTACTAAGGAATCGTATAATAGGACGGAACGGACATCTAGTGACTTCTAATCATTGTCTAACTTGGATCCGTTCTTGACCTCAGTAATATTCAACGGTCTCCATAATCCTTCTAATGTCTAATGAACAGTCCATTAAAACCGCAATTACAATGTAATTCTTATCAACTATGATTGGATTTCAAGGTTTCTAATAATTGTAAATTTATGGTATATTTGTGAAGATAAGAAGATATGCATGAAAAAGAAACTATATACTAATAGGTAGCTTTCTGATAATTTCCCAAAACATATAAATATATCATTAATATATGGATTTACAACAAGATTTATTAAAATAAATTCAGCCAATTTTTAAACATCCAAGTCATTGTCATTCATTTGTAAGGGTAGTTTGATCCTTCCTGATGTTAATTTTTGAACTACCGTTACAAATGAATTACAATTCATCCCCCTTACACGATTCAGTAGCTCTTAGTAACTATGCGAATTACACGTTAGGTGTATGAGGCATACAACTCTGGGTTTCAGTCACTTTGTAAATATAAACACTGGTGAACAAGTACATCTAGTTGACAAGTTCCAGATAAAATTGGACGCATATCTTGAATCCTACTTCTAGTCACTATCATACGTTACTGAAAAAATTTAACTTGTTATAATGGCTAGTCGTGTAAATAATTAGATTTTTGGTTTTAACCTTATTTTTAGTTTTACAGTTTTTGGTTATCCTTTTTTTCATATACGGTTTACATAAATGATGATCGATAAAGTTATATTTCATATGGGATAAGAGGAAAATAAACTTTAGTTCATATGCATAAATATCATTCTTTTGCACTTATGGTGTAGTATAATGTTGATGCAATAACACACAACTACACTTGAATACACATACCCATATATATATATGTTATACATTTGATACCCTAGTTTAGTACTGAAAGTAGAACATATCCTACATTCTTTTAATATTGATATAATAGATGAATAGAAGTTGCAAATACATGTAAGCACTTAGCATATTTCACTAAATGACCTTGAATTAATATTTACTCATGATTGGCTGAAATCAAAAAGTGGGAAAAATAGTGACAGCTACAACACCATGATTATGGTTTACTTTTATCTTGTCAATTGTTATATGTACATTTTAGAAAAAAAATATCGACAGTCAATTTTAAACAGAATATTTCCTCAAATAAAAAACCGATTGGTCCTGGGTTCGAATCTCGCAGGGGGCAAGGTCGTGGATGTGCACTGCTGAGGAGTCCCACAGTAGGACGAAACGGCCGTCCAGGGCTTCCAGGTTTTCCATGGTGGTCTAGCTTCAAATGACTCATGATCTTAACCATTGAAATTACTATAATATCCACAAGATGCATCTGATGTTTAAAAAAATATATTTTAGTAAAAAATGTGTAATAATGAACCAAACGCTAAGGTGAAATTTTGATATTGGCAAAGAAAATAAAAAAACTGTACTCTCAGTTATCTAATAATTGCTGACTTAAAAATAGTATTAGAAATCAACATAATAGATAACTGATATCAGTGTACTTAAAAGTTTTTTGGTTGATCAATGTAACTTTTGGTGATTTGAAAGAAAGAAGATGATAAACGCTAAACATACATAACCCAATGTTCACCTTCATGATTTTGGACAATCTAATAATATCAATAATTGTTTCAATTAATGTGCTGCAGCAAACCATGAAAATGATACTATATTTGGTTAATGAATAAGCTACTGTCAGGTAGATGAAACATTAGAAGGTTGTGAGATAGTGACTTACTGATAACAATGGCGGATGTGCCGTTCAATTTTGTGGATTAGTTGAAGTTAGACATTAACAACGTTGAATGCCGGCCAGCTCAGTGATCTAGTGGTTAAGTGCTCGCGCGTGAGACTGGTAGGTCCTGGGTTCGAGTCCTGCGGGGCGCGTTCATGGCTGCGCAACGCTGAGGGGTATCACAATGGGCCGAAACGGCCGTCCAGTCCTTTCAAGTTTTCCATGGTGGTCTAATTTCAATTGACTCATGACATCAACAATTGGATGGTTAAGTTTAACTATTACGATGGACTTTGGCGGCCGATAAAATGACCTTGAGAAGATTTTCACTACTTCTAGCCAACCAAATAACAGTTGATTTGAATGTGTAATTTATAATGCAAAATCTGGTAAACATCACAGTATACATTATTTTTACATAGGTTATAAATATTTATGAACTCCCCATTAGTTCTTTTGTCCTAAATATGATAAAGAAAATCAACCATATAATTTCAAAATATCTTCACTAAGGAGCTTTTTTGTGTCGTAAGTAGTTTTCTAAATAGATCCAACCTTTTAGGTATATACTATGAAAAGAATCTAACTACCATTTATCAAACAACTATACTGTAGATTATTTCTGCACATCTCTCAGAGAAATTGTAGTTTTTGCTACCCAATCCACAACAAGAGACGTTGAATGACAAAAAATGTAATCGATTCTGACCTGTTTTTTTATTTGGTAGTAGATATTACAATCAAATATCACATCATCTTGTACTTCCCAGCATTTAATTGAAAGCTTTCTTGTTAAGTGTATATTTAACAGAGTTGTTATCGTTCATTACTTTTGATTTGCTTGTTATCTTCCAAACATATTGAAACATTAAAATAAAAAAATTTGAATTCACGTCTAGTACTTTTTTAATTTCAGCGCAACTTTTGAAAAATTAGATAAAATGTTTTTGTGATGATTGGATTATTTGTAGGTTGTATTCTTCACAGATTTATCTCAGCTAAGGTACTATTTTAAACCAGGAAGTAGTGGATAGCTCCTTCACTCTAATAAAGGACTTCCGAGAAGTGGGCACCGAAGACCCTATCAGAGACTGAACTCAAAACCTTGAGCTGTCGTGGGTAGCGCTTAACCATTAGAACTACTGACTCAGAGTCTAATGCTATAATTATAACTTTAATTAATTTGCGATATGCCCTAACGATTAATCAGTGCCATTAGGGACAATCGCTGCGCTTCTGACATGTTTGAAATCTGAATTCTAGTGAGAAGTCATAATTTAAACTCTATTTTTGCGTTTCAAATATGAATTCGTCATCTAATGTTGTTACATATATTGTAAATTACCTCTCAAATATAATGTCCTTCTTTTAATTTTTACGACTTCAAACATTATTTTCAGTTTTAAAAGGTGTCAGCATTAAAGAATTAAACAGACGAATGAATAAACGTGGCTGGTTTGATCATGACTGTGATGGTATTCCAGATAATCTCGATCCAGATGATGATAACGATGGGTATTTCGATTCAAAACAAGTAAGTTTTAATGAGACTCATGGTTTACATGCTTTTTTGTATGCTTCTGTTATAACGGAGCAAAATTGTATATTAGTCTATACGTATTGTAGACCTTCTGAATTTATGTAAATACAGCTGTTGAGCGGTGTTTTGTCACAGAGATAGATTTATTGGCTTGTAGTCCTCAAAAAACAGATATCAGAAGTCACAACACTGCGATCCAGCTGATGAACCTACTAAGTATATTTTCTCGACAATCAGGTTTTGGTAATAAGCTCAGTAATTAAAAATTCATGTCAACTCAAACATATTCATTAGAATGACATAGAAACATTAAAACTTTAAGTGTAGTAGATAGTTCTTTTGTCCATGTTTGAAAATATTTCAACTCTATGATATAAATCTAAGAAAGTATTCATAAAATTGTTTATCATCAGATCTAACAGTATACTGATCATCTTGAAAAAAAGTAACATTTCATATTCACTTAGAATTACTAAATGAAATTAGTATTCATTCTTTATATATAACTTAGGGTCATTATAAATAACTTATTATATTTTTAACATACCAATAAATAGAAAAATAAGATTTTCGGATGTTTCGTAACTCAATGTCAGCTACTACTTCAGAGAATAAACATTGATTATTTATTCTCTGAAGAAATGGCTTAATTGTTAGATCCCTGTCAAGATCTTAAATAAACACAACTAAAGTGTTCTACATTTTCAGATTAAAGGTCTGTTCAATATTAATTGACTTGCAATGGTATTTCAAATGAGGCCGATCTGTAATGAAAATCATCGAGCAGTTAGACCAAACACAACAGAATAACCCAACTATAAGAATTAATACAGATAATTTCTTATCACTTTTTTCTATGACTACATCGTTTATAATTGTTTAACACTATTTTCTGGTTGCTTAGCTAATCTCTACCTTTCATATCAGAAAAAATGTATGCTTAAATTTAGGAAATTTCCTTTCAAACCTATAAATCATATAAGTAAAACAGAAATTTACTGATCATGATCTTCACTATGCGTTCAGATTATGTTGATCACTTAAAATGAAGGTGTATAAGGCTAATAGAAACCGCCAATAATTTAAAAGGAACATTAAAAAAATACCTTAAGCAAGAGAACATGATAGTTCGCTTTGTGGGGTGTGCTACTGATGTCAATAGATATAAGTAGTATGTAGCACCAATCGAAAGTGAAATGCTTGGCGGCAGAAGGTTAAGAAAACTGAAGAGAACGAGAACAGAAAGTGATCGGTGTGGAAACGAAGTAACAATCAAGTCAGATACAATTGATTGACATTTTTCAAATGAAGTATTAACTCTATGGCTCTCAGATTTTACTAAGAGATTCTATAATTGTGTTCACATACATTCGATTGTCCCCACTTGTGTTCTCGTTCACTACACTTTTATAGTACTGGATTCTCATAAACTACTGGTTAAAAATTGTAATATTTTAAAAAATCAACATTCCACATAAAATTAGGTATATTTATAGAAATCCAATTAGTTAGTAAGTGATGTGAACACACAGAATAATGTAGTGAATATATAGAATGAAGTCATAAAGTGATCTTAGTTAGACCACCAGCAGCTAAGGAATCCTATACTAGGATGAAGTAGGTGTCTTGTATTTCCAGGCTTTCACTGGTGGTCTAGTTGAGATCGATTGGTGATTTCAACTGTGATTATTTTATGATGTACAAATCTCACCTAAAACATATCAATGAATACTGACAAATATCATATGTATGTTTCATGTGTAATTTTTAATGCCATTACATCCACTTATTCAAATAAATAAATATCGAAATAATGTGAGGACGGAAACGACCATCTTTTTCATGTGACACTTACTAATAGTTATCAATGTGATACCAATATATATCTTTAACAGAAACATTACAATGAATATCTTAGCCAATTAACTAAATAATTTAAACAATGAAAGTACAAAATAAAAGGAACTAGATCTATTCGAATCTATTATCATTAATCTTATGGTTACGCCTATTACAATCATACTATTAAGATGTAGATCTTTTTTGTTTAAACTGTTTTTTCTTCCTGAAAAACAGAAAACTTAATTTTTATTTTATGTGAATTAGTTAATCTATCATCACATAGTTGATTAGTTAGTTAACTAGGAAGAGAGAGAACTAAATGGATAGATAATTCGCTATTTATCTATTGATATACACAATCCTTTCCTATTTTTTTCCTGATTAGCAACTATAAATGTTTTAGTATAATCATTTGGACATAATATGAATACATTATTGTATGTACAAGTTCTTCCTGTTGAACCAGAGACAAATTATCATACACGACACTCATACACACACATACACACACAAACCAATATTTCTGATAACTAGAATACATTTATTATCATGGAATAGAATACATGGTATTATGTGTCGATTTGAAAACAGTTACGTTTTCGTTCAATGTGATTATGTTCAATTCTGCTAAAGTGAAATAGTTTAAATCGGTAAAGTTCATCTGTCCATTACTTTCCCTATCTTTAATCTGTTAGGACAAACAAAAAAAAATACATTTGAAATGAAAACTGATCATTTGATATATATAAGAGAAGTCTGATTAAATCCTTGTAATAGTTCATACTTCTTTTTAAAGATTAGACTTCAAAGACTAGTACTTTACCACTATGCAAAAATGTGCGTTTATCATGAAGTCTCTGATTAGATTGGTAAAATGATACAGATTTGTTTCGTGCTCCACTTGATTAATACAGAATACGATATACAACTAACGGCACCCGAACGTATAGAACCCTACAATAGTAAATCAAAAGACGGAAGAAAGCAGAAGTGATTGTTGGGTAATAATCAAAAATGTACGGAAAATACATGTATTTATAGTTATTAGCGTTGGTTAAATCAACATCAGCCAAACTGCAAAGAGGCAAGTTATGCCATCATCTATCCTATGTTGATATTCTAGAAAGTTCCATCAGTTACTGATTGGCTAGAAACTCTTCGGCACCTTTAGGACCCCTAAAGCTCGTCTTGCTTCTCGAAGACCGCCCAAACATCATTTATATCTTGAAAAAAGTAACAGTGTTTTCGCACAGAAGTTAGACGAAAAACCATTATGAATTTTCCAGAAATTTCATCAACTCTTAACTGTCAACAAGACTGCTGTTCGTATGACATGACTTGTTTTGTAAACTACAGAATATTGTCAACTCTAATTTTCTTGGTCTCATGTATTCTTCAAGTAAATGAAATAAGCAAGAACTTTTATTAAAACTACACCTCTTCAAATTACCAATCCTATTAAGAGTAGTGAAATATATAGAATGTAATTTTTAGCATATTTGTCAGCAACTGAAGTACCCTATGTAAGAATCAGAGGTGATTAGTGTACACGGTTCAAAACAGAATAAAATCAACATTGTTTGAAGCCTAATAAGATTACATAGAATTTCCAACGTCCAAAACTCAAGTTGAAACTGAATCGAGTTGATCGAGTCTTGCAAATCAACAAAGAAATATAAGATGAATATAAATTTGATATGAAAAGAGAAGCTGTTCACAGTATCAGAACGTATAATACATAAATAGTAAAACACAAACATTTTATCCAAGATATAGTGACAGATTTTGAACTCATTTTGTATAGGACCTTTACTAACAACTAGTTTATTTTGAGTCGTCCGCTTAAGGCACGGAGTATCCGAATACACCGTAGACCAATACTCACTCGTTTTATGAACTGATAACATGCCTCCTTAAGAGCTCTTCCAGGTTTATTTCGACACACTTGCTGCCCAACAAAGTATATTGGGATATAAGGTCACTGGAACATGTGCAACGCATGTCACAGTGATTTCAGCCATTGAGATTTCACAGTCTCATCAACCGACATAGGATTTCTGCCTACCCCTAACTTTGATGGTACTCACTGAGTGGTTCCATCATCATGATTGAATACTAACAACCTACATTTAAAAAGTGGGTTTCACAGTATACTTGTTCTCTGACAGAAAAATAAATATCTCGAAAGCAATATAGACGATACAGGCCCATTAAAACCAGACTATTTTCTTGTGTCTATTCAAATATATAAATATGAAAAATCTAGTTAGAAATACATTTTTTCGTTCACCAAAAATCAATAACAAAAAACAGTAGCAACAACAGTGTATTAAACCTCTTACTTCAAACATTGTTCTCTCTCCTATACACACACTATGATTTACAAACTAAAATGATGTCCAAACTGTATACAGCTGACATAATTCTCTTATAATTTCCCTCCTTTTTCTAACCTTTCTAATATTTCCTTATTTGGTTTTAATCCTGAACAAATCATATAGTTATTGTAAATGTGCCGGACACTGATCTTTATAAAGAATTGTTTCGTACATCAATTCTGTTTTCCCTCATGTTAATGACAAACCAATATTGTCCTTAGAAATTATGTCATGTAATATCATCAGTAGTGACAACCAGAATGTCATTCAGCATACGAATGTGAATGGTGTGTTCTGCTTTTATTGATTACTTTGTTTTCGCCATTTATATCGATAAATTGAATAACATTTGATTTAGTCATAAGCAACGTAGAACATGGTGAATTTATGTATCGATATAAATCTTAATAGTAACGGTGTTAGTTGCAGTAGAAAAGATTAGGCATAGAAGATGTTATTTGAAAAGAAAATATGGCTTCTCGGAATAATAAAAGTTCTGGGATAGTTAAAAAAAATCTAAGAGGTTATAAAGCGCATATGCGCGTGCGCAGTTGTGAATGATTCTGAATTATGTTACCCAAAATCTTCAATCACCGGTTACTGTAATTTGGTGGACCTAATCAGATGATTTGAAACTATCTACACGAATCAGTCCAACTGACGATGATGCCAGTGCCTGATGCCATATTTTGGTTTGGCTGCTTCTATCTTTCTTTCAACCTGCTTCTACACTAGCCATCAATTTCCATCGTGGTGGGCTGTGGTTGGGCACACAAAATACATGTACCGACATCATCAGTCTGATTCCCATTTTTATCTGTTACCCTTCATCTAACCTCAGCCTTGCTATAGCCTGATGGTATCTATGATTAAACGATAGCAATCTAGTATTCTCCTGCATTTTTAAAGGCTAAGTATCACAGATATGGTGAAGTGCTAGAAAATACTCTTACTACCGAAAAATTCAAAATTGGTTAAATGCCTTGTTTGAAGATAACCAATCGTGAATAATATTGCATTATCTAGCATTTTCCCGCCCTTTTAGTTGATCACTACTGCATATAAGGACCTAATCTTCACGAAGGATTTCACCTTAATCATCTAAAGTCATCTATAGATGCCTTCTATGAAAAGGACGTTGTAATACGTGCTGAATCCTCAGATGGAAAAGCAAATAGCGTGATAGTTATGACTAGGTAACTGGCATAAAATAAGACATTTCAGTTATTCACAATTAATTAATTTAACTATGTGTTTAATGGATTCAATTGCAATAGTCAAAACTTGTTGAAAACTGGTTAATATGATTTTTCATAAATGAATGAATCAATCAGTGTTTAAGCATAAAATATATGATGATTCATTTGTGTTGTATATGACCTTATGTGTAATATACTTTTATTTTCAGGATAGTGATCGTGATGGTATCCTGAATGAATTCGATGATGACGATGATAATGATGGAATACCAGACAGTGAAGATCTTGATGCTAATGGAGACGGTATACCTGATTGTATTGTTAAGGTAAGAATGAGTACGTAAACAATTCTATGTTATTTATAAGTGTTCATTACTGTATCTGAAAATGATGTCTGCTTTTAGAAGTGAACCTTAGCCCTTACATAACGTTCCTTATTACTGCATGTTTTGGTGTACAAATAGAGAGAAGTTTAATAAACAACCAATTATTCCTTCCGTAATTTTTCTAAAATCAAACTGAAATCATTTACTGTAAAAGGTTTTATTTTATGATAGTTTTTCCAATTGTATACAAATTTTTAAACTAATAAATTATATCAGAAGGGGTTTTGTGGAGATTGTATAAATTTCAGTAGTTGAGATCATGAGTCGGTAAAGTTAGACCACTATGGAAAATCAGCTCAATGGTCTAGAGGTTAGGCATTTGCGCGCGAAACCGAAGGTTCTAGATCCGAGTCCCGCGAGCGGGATCACGGATGAGCAATACTGAGGATTCCCATACTTGGAGTTATTTTAAGTGTTTTAAATGTATTCAAGCGAACAGATGATTAATAAAACGATAAGTTTAATAATTTTAAAACCTTTAGGTATGGATATACCTGTTATCGCCATATTATATCCTAACGAAGAACAAATGGATAGTAACTGCTAGGAACTATTTATGGACTGTTATTACATATATTCTTATTCATGTTATCATAAGCTTACTTTTTACCTACTGGCTACTATTATACGATTTACCATTATTAACTTATTCCCAATCGATTAGTTACAGTCTCTTATACCGACAGCCGCCTTTGGCTTGATCTTGTATAATTATTATTTTCTATTTTATGGTGTGATGAGGTTTGATTTACTTGTATATAGACCATGTATGTCTGAAATACATGATTAGCACGGTGGAAGCCGAGATTGTTTTTTGGACTCAATGGGCAGGGCTAGGCGAGAAGGACCAATAGCGATTCAAAATTGACTACTCTAGGTTGCTCGTGCTGGTTAACGCATCATCAGTTTAGCACAAAAACAATGTCATATAAGTTGGTATTAGGATTGGCGATTTTCCCACATGATAATTAATAATGCAAAAGTCATAACACACAGAATACTTATTCTAGAAAGTTGCTACATATCTTTAAGCTGTCAAATTTAATTATACACATTTCATTATCCGTCTTTTCAAAATTGCCCAGATAAAAATATAAATGAAATTGATATTATGTTCATTCGACCTAATACACTAAATAATATCATTGTAAAAAATGCAGCCAACCTGTTGTAGATATTACTGTTATGAAGATAATTATGATTTAAACTGTTCGATAGAATACTATGGTAAAGTTTCTATTTACCTTTTTACTCAGATTCTTTAGTAAATTCTTACCATCGGACTAGTTAGTCAGATTTAATATAGATTAGCAAAATTCATTCACATTCACTTAACTAAATAGCGTTCTGGCATTTGAGCCTATGTCAATTTGTAATAAGAATTTTAACTCTAACTTTTAAAATTAATTTCTCTCACTAGTTCAGATCTTTGTTATAAACCTAGTAAATGGTTGAAGTTTATCAAGATCACTTTATTTTTACTCAACGGTCATCTTGTAATTCATGTCTCTCTGAAATTACTATTCTCCAATGAGATGAACTACCTCAATAATGCATATCTTTGGTTTCAGTGTCAGCTTATGTAATGAGTAACGTGTGATCAACTTACTGAACCACGATAACTTAGATGATATTTTGTAACCTCAGTCAGCTAGCTAGATAATACTGTCGTTCTTTAGTTTTAAACAATAAACTGTGTTACGACTAGCGGGATAACCTCTTTGCTCTAAACGATATAAAGCGGGTTTCGAACTCTGTAGCTAAAAGCCAAGCAATTGAACAAATTACTTTATTATTCCACACATCACACTCCAATATCGATAGTTCCATTAAAACATGAAAATGGCTAATTTAACTGAAATATTATTGACTTGTACATAAATGTTGGAATAGGTGTAGTACACAAACCATCAAAATCATTTCAATCAATTCTATGCAAACGAAGAGATGTAATGACAAAAGAAGGAAAACCGAACATCATCTATAAAATCACCTTTTTCAACAGCAGAAAAACACTACATCGGACAAAGTGGACGACTCGATTTTCGCCTACAGGAACATCAATTAGCTGTCAAACACTATGACACATATCTTCGCTTATATCAATGCATATGGACAATTGTGGACACATAGTCGACTGGGAAAATGTTGAAATCTTGGATAAAGGCAATGCTAAAAACGCCAGAAAATTTTTAGAAGCTTGGCAATTAGCAATCAACAAACACATTGAAATCGATCCAATTTATCAACCAATCAGAAAAAAATTCTGGACAAATATAGGACCAAAAATCAAATCAATAATGAGATACAATCAAAATAAAAAAGTAATCAGTGATAGGTTAAAGGTCAACAATAACTAATGTAGAGATCGATACCAACAGGACAAGCTGTGAGCTATATGTGAGGAAATTGGAACACTTCAGTTCTACTCGAAGTTTGTGCTGATGATGTTGTTCAGAATAACAATGAAAGCTTCACGACTAAACCATCTATTTCAGAGAACAAAACTCTATCAAAATCATACCACACCTGAGCTACAAATCTTCTCTACCATCATATAAATGTCTTAATCTATAGTGAGTGATATCCGCTAAAAAAAGAGTCATCTACAAACCATAGACACATATTTATTTCTATACAAATAAACCCACAGCTGACATGTTGATTCATTACACTTTTTTTTGGTCAATCAATCTTCTATTGAATGTGTCTTACAATTTCAAAAGTTGAAATTGAGTTGTATTGTCAATTTAAGAATAAAACAAACAAACAAACAATCAGTAATTAGGCTTATTTTATATTGAAAGTAGAACAATATGTAAAAAGAAAATAAATTAAGTTTGTAGTGTTATGACACTTCAACTGGAATTGTTTATTAAACGTTTTTCAATAGTTGAATTCATGAGTCACTTAAAGCTAGACTACCATGGAGAATCTAGAAGCATTGGAAGATTGTTTCATCCCAATATGAGACTACTCAACAGTGTCCATCCATGATTCCGCCCACGGGGTTCGAACCCAGAAACCCCGGTCTCTCACGCGAGCGCCTAACCTCTAAACCACTGAGCCGATATTTGACGGTGTTAATGTCTAACTTCAATCAATCCACGAAATTGCGCCAACATGGTGGCAGGTGGTTAATTGACTCATGAATTCAACTACTAAACTATTGCAATCTCTACAGAACCCCTTTTTGATCAACGTTTTTCACAATTAGACGTAAAACGTTAATGAAAATATAATTAGTCATTCAGTAAATTATCAGAAGGGGTTTGGGGAGATTTTAGAAATTTCACAGATTGAGACCATGAGTCAACTGAAGCTAGACCACCATGGAAAACCTGGAACCACAAACCCCTTCTGATAATAATCATCTGCTCACTGGTGACTGACTTCAAGAGATACTGCTGGAGTTCTAGTGAGGAGCCATTACCAATGGAGTTCAACCAGGTCTGTTGTGAGATATCAACTCACTGAAGACAATGGTATACGGTGGCACAACTTCGTGGATCGGTTGAAGTTAGACATTAACACCGTTGAACCCCGGCTCAGTGGTCTAGTGGTTAAGTGCTCGCGCGCGAAACCAGTATGCCCTGGGTTCGAATCTCGCAAGGGGCGACGTCGTGGATGCACACTGCTGAGGAGTCCCGTATTAGGACGAAACGGCCGTCCAGTGCTTCCAGGTTTTCCATGGTGGTCCAGCTTCAATTGACCCATGATTTCATTCAGTAAATATTTACTTCTTAACTAGGATCTCTTCATTGTAGAAATTGAGTGTTTTTACAATTTTTAACTAAAGTTTAATATAATGGAAAGTAAGAAATACTACTTTAAGATTATTAAATATTAATGTGTAAAATAGTGAATTAGTTGTTCAAGGTATTGTTTATTAACTAGCAGTTTTCGAAACCTGGTTAATTTCCCTCTTAGGAAACGATACAAAACCATTAGTCCTTGTACATAAATATATAACTCAAGTCAGGTACATAAAACTATATACTTTTGTTTATTAAGGTCTATTATTAGAGCAGTACTACTATCATAGTAGACCATAGTTCTACATACTCCTATGTTTGAACTGATAAGGTGAAGTGGAAAGTTATAAATCTATTCATTTATTTGGTTATATATATAGATTCCTTTCAGTACCATTGACCATTAATCTTTATACTGGAATTTCGGTTAATATTTGGAGCTCAATTAATTTTGCTGTCAACGGTATAGTTACTTGATACAAGTGAAATAATCATAATGGTAGCCTCTTTTAACAGAAGTTGTATGTAAATTCCTATCATCTTCATTAGCTCATAGCTAGTTTAGAATGTTCACTTTAAACAACACAGGAAACTAATTAAGCTAAAACCAATTGGGAACAAATACGTTTACAATGTTATCGATATCGTGAACCGGTCCAAGTCAGATACCCATTGACTTTCAGGAGGAACTGAATACTTAATTCATCTTAGTGCAAGACTCCTCAACATTACTCATCCGGATATCGGGATATTCAGTCTTGCGTGCGAACGCTCAATTTATAGACAATTGGATGTCTTACATAGATCAGTTTGTGATAGGAATAACATTCAATTACCAACAAACCTCTAAACATCTACGATATCTCTAGAAACTTAAAACATTAAAATGTTCGGAAATTAGATATGGAAAAACCTATCTAACTGAAAACTATTTGGTGTGGTGAATTTCGGAAGACGAAAACACAAGTTCAAACTCGTAAATAATAATTAGCGAAATAGTAAATACGTGTTCGGAATCAATTATCCTTAACATCCAGTATGCTGTAATTCAGTGTACGTATTGATATCAAAATGTTATATAGATATATATTTATTATTTCCTTTCTTACCTATTTGTTTTGAAGTCAGTTAAGTCATCCTATAACTAGTTTTCCGAAGAGATGTTAACTATCAAAGGTATATTAAGCACAATGACTTATCGAATTGAACTAAACCTAATGATTTTTGATGGTTGAAGGTAGTCAACAAAAGCCCTATGTTTAGATTTTATAAAGTGTACCTGTAATCTTTAAAGAACTCAAGCTTCCTAACGGATTCAAACCTAGCTCGCTTAGGTTCACATTCAGAGAAATTATCATTCAGTCCTTAAACTAACTTCTTGTAAGATCAATTTGTTTAAACTTATTGATGTTATGTTTAAAACGATTACGAGTTCACGTAATCTGAGAACGGAACAATGACTATGTGACCAAAAACCAGTAAACTAGCTATTCTGACGCGTCCCAGCCCCGCTGACTAGAGAGAGAAGTCCAAGTTCGAAATGAAGAAATATATTCCGCAAACAGTCAGAAGTACAAACAGTAACAACAGACACAAATCAAACGTATATATGCAGCATGAAATTATCCTTGGGAATAGCATACTAAAAGATACAACGAACCAATAGCGTTTAAGATCCTCCCAAGTTGAAAATACGATACGAAGGTGAAAATGAGCGCTTTTGGCGCGAAAACAAGGAATTCAAATTTGCAAAATAAAATTACAAAAACAAAGTATTTACTAAGTGAGTTCTGGGTATCTAACATCCCCAACAATTGATCACTTTGTAGTGACCATAACAAATCAACTATATGGTGAAAATATTCATTAATGAGAAACTAATCAGTTTGTAAGTTTCAAATTGTTTTTATTCGTCGATTTACATTCTTTCTGTGTTTTTCTTTCTTTCTTCTTCTTCTTCTTCTTCTTCTTCTTCTACTACTACTACTACTACTACTACTACTACTACTACTACTACTACTACTACTACTACTACTACTACTACTACTACTACTACTACTTACTACTACTACTTACTACTACGTGTACTTATCAATTTTTTTAACTTGTCTCATGTCACGATTTTTTTATTACTTTATGACAGGTACATTTTTATCTTATCCACTTAAATGACTTGTCAGGTTTTTAATTAAATTAGTACTAAATTTTCTTGATTGGTAAACATGTGCTGACATTGTTGTCTAGCTGGATTATAACCATGTTAACTCATTGAAAATGAGTGATTAGTACAAGTTTAAATATTTTACAAATTATTTACAATGTCGTCTTCTTTTTTTTTACTTTTACATTCTTTCATTTTAAACAGGATTCAGATGGTGATCATATTCCTGACCATATTGACACAGATGATGATAATGATGGTATACCGGATTTACAAGATCCAGATCATCCCAATTTCGATTACTTACGGGATTCGGATAAGGTAAGTTATTTATAATAATAATAGCTATATTACTATTTGAGTTGATAATATAACATTCGATAAATAGTACGTTACTTAACGGGCAGCGGATGGTAACTAAGCCGCGTTGTATCAAGTAACTTTAGGGAGCGATGCTTCAATAACTAAGATATGTTTCAGCGCAACAAAAAGTGTGAATAAGGTATATGAGAGCTTAGTTTGTACAAGTTGATATTTAAAAATTCTGAACGTTAACAAAATAATTTGATAAAATATGTGCATATGCAGTCGGCGGACAATCAGAAAAAGCATAGGAAATATGATCTCACCGGTTATAATTAAATATCAATGTGAAACCAAAACCTTCTGAGATATACGGCTAGAATCACATGAATTTCTGATTCACTGTCGGTATGCTTTTAGTTAATCCCAGATTTACATCATTTATGAGAATTTACTAGCTAAATAAGAATAACTTTTTGTTTGATACCAAAATTTCCAATTGTTTTATACAGATTGACTGGACGGTAGCAGCTTATTAGTTCAGATAAAGTTATCCAGATCATCTTATTCAGTACACTAAATAAGAAATAACACAACTACTCACAGCAGGTCATGATTACACACCGATGAATAAAAACATGCACATGGGATCTATTGACTTCGGTTAAAATAAACTTAACAACTGAGTTTTCGTTTGTAAGTATTTGTATTAACCTATTATCGATAGTCAAAACTGAACTAGATCAGCTTCTGATGAGACGTAGGCTCGTTGAGCGAATGTTTTAAATTTGACTATAGCCGCTAGTTAATTACAATGTCGAATAGTAGCTAATAGTGGAATCTGGAGAGCGTTTTTTTATTATTTCGGATCAGGCTGAAGAATGCACCTGGTTCCTAGTGCTGATATTCACACTGACACTGAAAAATACTACCCACTGCATTAAAAGCCTTGTGCATTATCCATTGGCTCTTTCGATCACCACGGTAATATTGTACATGATTTTTATTATAGTTTCGTTAATATTTAAAGGTCTATGGTGTTGTTGAGCACTGTAACTGATCAGTTTACTTTGAAATATGTTTATCCAGAGCATTCAACTTTACTCTGTAACTTAATTTAAGATTAATATAAATTTTTTAGTAATTTTCCTAAAAATTTCACCTTTTTGTATTTTAAGTATGGGGATTTGTGGAGATTGTAGTATTCTCAAAGTTAAATTCACAAGTCGATCTAAGCTAGACCACTACTGAAAATCTGTAAGCTCTGAACGGAAAATTCGTCCTAGTATGGAACTCCTCAGCAGCGCGCATCTACGATCCCGCATGCATGACTCGAAAACAGGACGTTCGGTTTCGCGCATGAACTCTTCACCTCTAGACCACTGAGCCGGCATCCGATGGTGTTAATGTTTAACTTCAATAGATCTTGCACACCTCTTCATCTATTGCCTGAAGCGCATGACTCTCCCATATCTGACGCAGACTGAATTCCAATGGATAAGCACTACTGAAGAGTTTCATACTAGGACTAAAAAGGCCATCCAATGTTTCTAAGTTTTTAATGGTGGTCTAGCTTAGAGAGACTCATGAATTAAACTTTGAAAATATTCATTTATCGAAACATAATTGTTTTCCATTGTCCCCATCTTAACTGAAATTATTGTAGACCAATGAAAAAAATCCACGTTGACTTATATGTTCTGTATCAATTGGTCAGTACAATGTTACAATGACATTACAATTTAACAATGAAAATTTATACTCCCCACTAAGTTTGTTGAAATGAAACATAAGAAAACAATAATAAAATTATTTTCACCTTGTTTACACCCATAATAACATAATTCTATTCAATAAGCCTTCAACCGGTGAATAAAATAAAGTATATTCCGTATAAAATATTTTCTGAAACTCCATATATAGTCTCTTTGTTTATTTTCTTTATTCTTCTTACATTGATTAGCAATGTTCTCAAATGTGATGATTGTTTTAGTTTTCAATAATAATCGTCTTCTCAAAGCGCACCAGGTTTCTTAAATAATTTTAACGTATGAATATGACAGAAGTATAAAATTAAGTTCTATACCGATCCCCATAGATTATTACCAAACCTATATGACTAGAGGTAATAATATAAAGACCTATCTATCAATGAGAAAATATTTATGTATAACAAATATTCCTAGAAAGGTTAGTGTTATGAATTTGTTCGGTAATCTGCCATCTTGAAAGACATCTTTAATGCTGAAGCACTACTTGTAAGATGAAATGCACAAGTGTGGAAGTTCAGATACATTAGAAATACTACTGATGAAACTTACAGTAATACTGTAGTGATAATGTTAAATTCGTTAAAACGGAAATTTTTATTGTTAAAAGTGAAGTTTCTCTTTAAAACGTACAATGCAGTAGCAAACAATCAATAAAATTACTAACAATTTAAAAGCTTCTTTTTGTAGCTAAGAATGGAGCTTCAGAAAGTTATTTAAAATTCACTAGATTTCTTAGAAGCAGTATGTCAGTAATAGGATGACAAATACATTGTCTATATTACTAGTTACATACAATGTCATACAGTTATGCATCAAAATTGGTATGATTTTAATGACTGAAGAACTTTATACAGAATAAATAGAATGTGGCTAGTGGTATAATACAAGTTACGTGTTGCTGTCTATTTAGAACACTTTAGCAAGTTCTTGTATCTAACTTTTAGTTTTCAATGGTTTACTTGTTGTCCATTCATGCTGTAAACTATTTTTAAACATCACAGTGAGAATTTATTAGTATAGGTTTTTGAAGATTGCTGAGTTTTGATTAAGATAAGAATCGATCAATGTTAGACCATCATTGAATACCTGGATATGTTCAACGGCCATTTCGTCCCAGTATGGGACTCCTCAGAAGTGAGCGTTCACGGCTGTCCATAGCTTCCAGGTTTTCAACGGTGGTCTAACATTGGTTGGTTCATGATCTCAATCAAAACTCAACAATATCCAGAAACTTATACTGATAATTATCATGTGCTCACTAGTGACCAGCTTCGACATGTGATTCTCAGAGTTCTAATGAAAAACTGTGACCAGTGGAGCTAATCTGTGTCGGGTCTGAGATAGTTACTCGCCGAAGACAATCAGAGGTGGTCGCTCAATATCGTGGATCAGCTGAGGTTATACATTAAAACCATTAGGTGCCGGCCCAGTGGTTTACAGGTTGTGCGATCGTGTGCGAGACTGAAGAACCTAGGTTCGATTCCCGCATGCGGGATCGTGCATGCACAATGATGAGGAGTCCCGTACTTACTTACGCCTGCTACTCCTCGTGAAGGGGCATAGGTCGCTCGCCAGCATTCTCCATTCAACCCTGTCCTGGGCAATCCTTTCCACCTCTTTCCAGTTGTTATTCATCCTTTTCATATCTGCTTCTATTTTCCGATGTAATGTGTTCTTTGTCCTTCCTCTTTTCCGATTCCCTTCAGGATTCCAAGTTAGGACTTGCTTCGTGATACAGTTTGATGGTTTGCGTTATGCATGTCCTGTCCATTTCCATCGTCTTTTCCTAATTTCCTCTTCAGCTAGAAGCTGGTTTGTTCTCTCCCACAGAAGGCTGTTGCTGATGGTGTTCGGCCAGTGGCTGTTGAGTATCTTGCGTAGATAACTATTTATAAATACTTGTACCTTCTTGATGGTGGTTGTTGTAGTTCTCCAGATTTCAGCTCCGTACAGTAGACCTGACTGCCTTGACGTTCGTATTGAAGATTGTGCCTTTGATATTGGTTGAAAGTTGTTTTGTGTTCCATATGTTCTTCAATTGTAAGAATGCGGCCCTTGCTTCGCCAATCCTCACCTTTACGTCTGCATCTGAACCTCCTTGTTCATCGATGGTGCTTCCCAGGTATGTAAAGGATTCCACATCTTCGAGAGTTTTGCCATCAAGAGTGATTGGATTGGTGTTCTCCGTGTTGTATTCGAGGACGTTGGTTTTCCCCATGTGTATGTTGAGACCTACTGATGCAGAGACTGCTGCTACACTGGCTGTCTTTATCTGCATTTGTTTGTGTGTATGCGGCAGGAGGGATAGGTCATCTGCGAAGTCAAAATCATCCAATTGGTTCTGAGCTGTCAAGGTCTTCATAATCCAGTCGGCCACCAGAAGAAAGGGGAAGGGAGAGAGTAGACAGCCTTGTCTGACTCTGATCCTTACTTGGAATGCGTTTGTCAACTGTCCACCATGCACGACCTTGCACTGTAGTCCGTCGTATGAGTTCTGGATAATGTTGAAAATCTCAGGAACTCCGTAGTGTCGAAGAAGTTTCCATAACGTTCTTCTATCTACACTGTCAGATGCCTTTTCATAATCAGCGAAGTCGATGTACAGTGACGAGTTCCATTTAACTGATCGTTCGACGATGATCCGTAGTGTTGCGATTCGGTCTGTGCACGACCGGTCCCTACGAAATCCAGCTTGTTGATCTTGAAGTTGGGGGTTTTCTGCATCTTTCATCCGGTTCAGCAACACTCTGTTAAAGACTTTCCCGGTTACTGAAAGTAGTGTAATGCCTTTGTAGTTTTCACATTTACTTAGGTCTCCTTTCTTTGGAATCTTGATGAGGTGTCTTTCTTTCCAGTCAGACGGCACTTGTTCCTCCTCCCAAATCTTTTTGAATAGAAGATAAAGCATGCTTGTGGTTGCTTCGATGTCTGACTTCAGTGCTTCAGCTGGTATGTTGTCGGGTCCTGCTGCTTTCCCGCTCTTGATCTGTCTGATGGCCATTCTGATTTCTTCCTTAGTTGGTGGTTTGACATCTATATGAAGATCTGTGTGTGCTGCTTCGATGTCCGGTGGATTCATTGGAGCCGGCCTATTCAGGAGTTCCTCGAAGTATTCTACCCATCTGTTCCGCTGTTCTTGAACTTCAGTGATTGGCCTGCCTTCTTTGTCCTTGACCGGTCTCTCTGGTTTACCGTATTTCCCTGCTGGTTTCTTCGTTGTATCGTAAAGTTGTTTCATATTTCCTTCCCTTGCAGCCTTTTCCGCCGTCGTTGCTAGTTATTGCATGTATTTCTGCTTGTCGGCTCTAATGCTCTTCATCACTTGCTTGATTGCTTCAATATACTCAGCTTCTGCTTGGACTTTCTCTGCTTGTGTTCGACTGTTGTTGACTTCTTTCTTCTTGTTCTTCCTTTCTTTGATCCTGTCCAGTGTTTCTATAGAGATCCATTCCTTATGATGATGCTTTTTTAGGCCTAGAACCCCCTGAAATGTTGAAGTTAATGCTTCTTTGATACTCTTCCAGTTGTCCTCCATACTAGTTTCTTCTTCTTTCAGTAGATCTTGTAAGGCTTGGAACCTGTTGTTGAGAGCTATCTTGAATTAACTGAGTTTGTTAGTATCTCAAAGGAAGGCTATATTGAACCTTTGTAGTGCTGTTTGTCCAGTTGTTCAGTTTCTCTTTAGCTTCAGTTTTAAATTGGCCACAACTAGGTGATGATCTGAAGCTATATCAGCTCCTCTCCTGGTTCTCACATCCTCCATTGTCCTTCGGAATTTTTTTATTGAAACAAATATGATCTATCTGGTTCTCCGTAGTGTGTTCCGGTGAGATCCATGTAGCCTTGTGTATACGCTTGTGTGGAAATATTGTGCCTCCTATGACCAATTTGTTGAATGCACACAAATTTGCAAATCTTTCTCCATTTTCGTTTCTCTCTCCCAGTTCATGTCGTCCCATAATATCTTCATATCCGGTGTTGTCTATTCCGACTTTGGCGTTTAGATCTCCCATCAGAATGATGAGGTCCTTTCTTGGGCACTTTTCTATGATTGATTGCAGCCTCTTATAGAATTGATCTTTAATGTCGTCATTGCTATCATTGGTGGGTGCATAACATTGGATAATATTCATTGTGATCCCTACCTTCTTTGTTTCGAATGATGCTTTGATGATTCTGGATCCGTGAGATTCCTATCTTACAAGTGCATTTCATGCTACTTTGGACAGCATTAGAGCAATTCCCTGAGTGTGCCGAGCATTTTCCTCTTCGTGACCGGAGTAAAGCAGCATCTCTCCCGTACTTAGCCTTTGTTGTCCAGCTTGGGTCCAATGGGTTTCGCTGATTCTCAGTACTGCTAAGTTGTATCTCCTCATTTCCGTTGCTATTTGACTGGTCTTCCCGGTCTCCCATATTGTTCGGACGTTCCATATACCTATAAAAATTGTTGCTCTGGTTGTTAGAAGGTGCATCGGCCTCGTGGCTTCCGAAGGAACTCGGCTCATACCATGAGACGTCATAGTTCTTCTAAATGAAGACCTTCTAACTCCCAGGGCAGAGTTTAAATGGTTTGAATTATTTTTTCTGGTGAGCATTTTTCAGCGAGTTAGTTTTCTACAGGATGGGGTAGCTAACCCCATGCCTAACCCTCCTCCTTTACCCGAGCTTGGGACCGGCAGTAACTCTAGTACGGCCGTCCTGTGCTTCCTGGTTTTCAGTGGTGATCTAACACTGATCGATTCATGATTTCAATCAAAGTTTATTATATTATGTAAAATCACACTGTATTTATAAAATATGAAAACAATACATCAAATATACTATTTACCGATCTTTCTTGAGTTACCCCTTGAAAATTTCGTCGTTCTTTCATTCCTGTTGTCAATCTGATTACTTCCTTCTTTCCTTTCTCTTCTTTTCATTTCCCTCTTCTGTCTGTATAATTCCACTTTGAATTCCCGATACATACTACTTATATCTGTTTCATACGAGTACCATATATCACACTACTAGACTACTCTTAGTAAATTCATTTTGTACAAGTTCAATGATTAATTACAGGTTGTACCGATGGCAAGTAATAACAGAAAACGAGAGTGAATCGTTGATGAACTCAATGCAATCTAACTAGTTTCTTTTTAAAAATTGCATAACCAAGTGTCAGATACCAGTGGTTATTATATCGTCTTTAATCGATTATTTCGTCTTATGCATATTAGATTAATTGATTAGGTAATGTATGACATAACAATTAATGAATATTAAATACAAGGATATCTATTCTATGTTATTTCATATATAACTAACGTGAAATTCTGTTTAACATCAGATAATGAATTCAATTCTTACATTTAACCAAAGAATATAATGTGTTATTCTTACATAGAAACATTATGCGTTAACGTTACACTCTTATTTCTCTCTTAATAAATAAACTAATGATGAAAATTGACATCCTAATTGAGAAAAATATTTCACTTACTTCAATAAATAATAATCATATGGTCACTGGTAACCAGCATCAAAATGAATTTCGCATAATTCTAGCGCGAAGCCATGACCGATGGGGTCAACCAACTTGTAGGCTAAACAGGAGCCTTGTATATAATATGAATGTAGATCAATTTATATCATATCACCAATTAGAGTTAAAAATATGAGCAAATGAAATTTTTATTCACTCATCTAGTATAGTAACAAGACTTGAAAGTGATGAGTTGAATCTAATATAAGTGGACTTTTGAAGATATTATATGTATATAGGGCTTGACAACATTATCGTACAAAAATCTCTTCTTATACAAGTATCCCCCAATGAATCAAACCAGAATTTAAAGGTGAAGGGATGTGATGATATATTTGAATCCATGTCAGTGGATTGAAATATGTGCAATGTAGACTGATTAGTTATCATAAGAGATGCTCAACATTTTGTATCCAAACATAGTTTAGCGTAGTTATATAACAGAGTGCATTCAGCTTAGAACAGGTCTAGTAAAACTAATGAGGCCAATATCGATTTCGAAGGTTTACAAAACCATTTATTTTTGGAGTTTTTTTTACCACTAAATGGTCTTGTACATTGACAGTGGATTCCAAAGCCGGATAAGAAAGCTATTTATTTCTTCCTAGTTTATAACAATTCGTTGATGATGAGAATGCCTTCAAACATATTAGTAATGAAAAGAAAAAAAGACTAAACAACAACCACTTCCTTTCGTAATTCAGCTTTTTCTAAAATTTCTATAGGATGGTATTCCTGATACACTAGACATGGATGATGATAATGATGGTATACCAGATAGCATGGATTTTGATTCAGATGGTGATGGATCGGATGATCTGTTTCAAGATATTGACAAAGATGGGGTACCGGATAGTGTAGATGATGATATGAATAATGATGGAATACCGGATCATAAACAAGATCATGATTGTGATGGAATCCCGGATATTGTTGACCCTGATGATGATAACGATGGTTATTTTGACACAAAACAGGTAAGTAAAATTACCTTTTTTTGAAAAGGGAAATTAATGAATTCTCTAAAATTCTATCAGAATTCAAGGAATTACAAACAACGTGATTATCAGTATTAATGATAAATTGCATAGTGCATGCATATATTTACATATCAATGAATTTAATGTATTGTTTTTATGCTTTGAAAACACACTACTCAAAGTCAATTTTTGTTAACAACCCAATATTGAATTTTTATTCCAAATATTGCGTATTGCCAGTAATGCATACAATTCATTGATTCATAAGCAGTGTAGAACCCGAGTTAATTCAATTTGCTACACCATATACGTACACACAAATAAAATTATCAAATCACCTTCCGAAGTAGCAACAGTGTCAATAGAAGTAGAAAAGATTGGGAATAAATGATATGGTCCAAGTATAATCAATGATTTTGTGAAATAAGTAGTGCAATTTAATAAATCTAGATTGAAGTGAAGATAGGAATCAGTCGTATATCTTCCATTATGACAGATTCCAGGACATGTTACAACAACATCACTAACCGTTGGTTATCAGAATCATACGAACCCCAACTAAGTAGTTTGAACCTACCAATATGAATTAGTTTAACAAAAAATAACTTCATAGCCTGACATCAAGTTTTGGTTTGAGTGATCTTAGCTTCTTTTCAATTCACTAGTCGTACCCCAGAAAACATCGTGCGTTAAAGTAAGCAGTAATTGAGCAAACGTATTGTATATAAAATAAATCTCAAAATAGATATACCTAAACGCATTATAATAATTATTTTCATGTATATGAAACAACTGAAAAATGCTTCATATAATTTAAATTCTGAAAGACGATACTAATGATCTAAACATTCTTCAATATTTCACAATTGTATAATAACGTTTCTTTGAATGCATTTCACTCTAGAATGAAAGAGACACTCTATGCACCTTTGTATTTAAATAGATAGATAGATAAAAACTTTAAAAAGAAAATGTGAGTTAGAGAATAAAATACTGATTATTAGTCCACAATGGGATAACAAAATGTTACATGTATTCTTAGTTACATTTTCTCGTGCACTTTTATTTATGCAGAAAAAATGTATGAATACACAGATGAAATGACTGACGGTGTAAATAAAAAAATTCTTTGACAGTCTTTCACTTGTACGAAATCAGTTTGTTCCGTTATTCCATTCATTGATCTGGGGTAGTTTAACATTTAGATTAATAATACTGGTATGGTTTTCTTAGTCTAGAATAAGGGATACTAGTGGAAATGCCATATGTTATGTCTAAAAAAAACTAGCTCATGGTTGTATATTATGTGAAATACCAAAATTCTATTATAGAATCAACTTTTCTTACCTTTCTGTTTGTTTTTAACTATACATTTTTTTTACATTAAAACTATTTTTGAAAGTACCTTAAATGCATTGTAAATCCAACTAGCGAAATATTTTGTATAATAATATGAACTACTGATATGATTATCAACAGTATAAAATTAAACACAAAACTGTCAGATGAAGAGGTTGAAACTAAAGATAACATAATGTTCATAATCTGTGTTTGTTCAGTGAGTTTTACTTTTTTTATGGTACACAAATAACTAGTCTTCAGCATGAAAGCAAAATCTAATGTAGTTTATGGCTGTGCATCGCATTCAGACGTAACTCGTCACCCAACGAAGAGTCATTTGAAATCTAAGAGGTAGAAACATCACTGCATTATTTCTGGGTAGGATGACAAGATTTCATGTTCCTTAGTATTACTTTCAAATAACTAATCCACAATAACGCGAAGAAAATTCCTCTCAAAGAGTCAATAAACACACACGGTCATTTGTCTCTCAATATGTACTAACCTTATTTCGAACTGCCTTGTAAATTTATTAAATGTTTACTGATTGTAAATCCTAGCCTTGTTTATATGAATACGGATTACTTTCTGGTCAATCTCTTCAGATTTTAAAATTAATGCTGTAGTCTTTGGTTTATTCTGTTGATTTGGTCCGTCTGAAGTATTTTTTTTGTAACATCTCACATTTCGATTTCTGCTTTCACATCACTGATTACCACTGGATCGTCAATGTTCTAATCATTTGATGATACAAACTAATGCTAAATAAGCTCTCATTGGAGTCAGATTTTACTGCTAAAAACATAACCATCGACATTTTTCCCATCAAGTCTCGTTTCTAGTGTAATCACTTAGTTAGGTTACAGAATAACTGAGACGTTTAGAACCAAACTAATCATACGCAAATGATATCAATCTAAATATTTAAAAACGAGTCCGATCAATCTAAATTCAGTAAATTGATCTGTACTGGTGGCGGAAACAACTAGACAGTTAGTTCCGAAACACTTACTCAAAACAATTAAAAGAATTTAAAATTGTATCTGTGATAAAAGATAATGAATGATTGGATCAATATGTAACAGATATATATGGATGAATGAATGAAATTCCATCAAACTCTAATGTCCCAGTAAAAGCAACAATAAACAGAAGTCTTTAACTGATGAACAGGTATTTGGAGATGCAAGAAGGAGTTACCAAAAAGGTATTTTTGTAAAATAAATAAACATAAGCATTCAGATATCATATTTAAGGTTAAAATAAACATGTCAGTAAGCTTATATCAAAGATAACCGAATATCAATAATTAATTGGACCAGTGGTTTGAATGAAGAGTACGTACGGCGCAAAACCAAAAGATTCTGGATCTAATCTCCGGTAGGATCAAGGGTACATTTTTCCGAGGAGTTTCGTACTTTAAAAAATAGGTGTTCGGTGATCCTTAATTTTTACTGATTGAAGATAAATTCAGTTTGTGGTGCAAACAATCTCTACAAACCTCTAATTCTGGTAACAATTAGTTACTGAAGTTCAGTCCTGAATATTAGTTTATTATCTTATATGTTTATTGATAAGGAATTGAGTTATCCTGTCGTTGATATTTTAATCTTTCTCTATTCGCATACGAACATCATATGAGGATGGCCTTAACACAGTTGTTTCCTCACATGCAGTTTTAGAACAGATGAACTGTATCTAGTAATGGAATTTTGCTCGGTTCTGCACTTATGAGACTGATGTGACTGCATTATTATGTTATTATTCAAAATAGTAATTCAACTAGGTTTCTTTTGATTCAAGTGCTAATCCATTATCTATTAAAATAATGAGTTCAGAAAGCTAGAAACTTGCTCACCAAGTACGATTTCTGTAATAATTATTAGTTAGGATCAGTATGGGGATTTGTGGAGATTGTAGTATTTTCAGAGTTTAATTCACGAGTCGATCATTAGGAATCATGGATGATTACTTATGAGGAGTTCTATATTAGGACGAAACGGCCGTCCATTTCTTCCAGGTTTTCAACAGTGGTCTAGCTTAGATAGGCTTATTAATGCAATTGTGAAAATATTAGTTAGGACTTAAGTTATTCCGTTGTTAATATCCAAAGGCTGAATTGAAATCAATGTTAGTTAACAATAACGTAAAACTATTACTAAATGGATGTAGAAAAAAATAATCGATATAATGCACTTTTCTTCTGTACTTTTTTTCCTAAAAAATTACATTTCAGGATAGTGACAATGATGGTTTATTGAATGAATGGGACGATGATGATGATAATGATGGTATTCCAGGTTAGTCACTGTGTTTGATGTATTTTTAGACAAAATAATCCATTGAAAGAAACGATAATCTTTTCTATGTATTAATTGGTGCCTTTATCGGATTATTTTTAAAGTTTGAACTAATTATAAAATCAGTTTTAGACAATCTTTCATTCTTGCAAAACCTGAAATTAACATTTGAATTAGTTTGATCAAAGGTTCTATAAACTTTGAACCAACTTATCTTAGATCCCTGTATTACCATACTGTAGAAATGATAAAAATTCATACAGTCATATCTATAGGTCATAATAGTTCGCCATTATTTGACACAACTAAGGAGGACATAATGTGTTCTTGGTAAACCAGCCAGATTTGTATATTATCTTTTTATGTATACTGATTTTTGTGTAACGCTCAAAATAGTGATCATTTTCTAAATAACATGAGAATGTTAACCCCATAGTTGAGTAAGATGTTTATTCTAGGTTAAATATAGATAAGATGCAGAACCGATATCCATTCATAGGAATTTTGATAAACTGTCTTAATATTACGGTAATGATTATTTATTTTACTATCCAGTTAATTCCTACTAGTATGCAAGTGAAATACTGCTGGTTTCAAAAATAAGCCTGGCACTTCTCATTGAAGTATAGTTCTAAAAAGAGAGGTTTTCATTAACTAATCCAGTTAATAATAAGATAGTGACTCTGTAAGCTGTTAGTAATAAAACTGAAAGTCAATAAGCTATATACTTTTTACCATCTTATACTTCCTTTTAACTGATCAATAGATCGATTTTTAACATAACTTATATTTTCTTTTGTAGATGTGGATGATGAAGATTCCAATGGTGATGGGATCATTGATTGCCAACCACATGATAGTGATAATGATGGAATACCCGATCATATCGATGAAGATGATGATAACGATGGTATACCAGATCAACGAGATCCTGATTCAATGTCATTTCTGCTGTATAAACATAAGCGTTTTCTTGAAGCTATCCCAGGTATACACAATAATCACTCATACTTTGATTTGAATTTATCCGTTTCAAAGTAATTTATCCATCTATATGTTTCTTTCAGAAGTCAACTTGTCAAATCCAATAATCTTTTTAAATAGTAACAATAAGTATCCCTTTCGTGAAACATATTTACTGATAACTTAGTTGCTTAAAATAATTGTTTATTTACATGAGGATATTTTCAATATTAAATGTGAATTCAGAATTAATAATTGTATTTAGCTCTTATAATTCAGTGGTCAAAAGTTTTGAGAAAAAACGCAACACTGAAACATTATTTGTCAATACAAAAGATTCATCGAATATTCAGGTAGAAAGTATTCTTCCCTGCTCCCCGGTGTTGTTTCTTAAATCACCCAATCCCCCTAACTCTCAATTCTGACTACTTGACCACATTTTAATTAGCAGAATTGAATAGTGGCTAGTAGTGGAATCTAGGTCGAACATTTTATCCTATTTGAGACACGTCGGCAGGATAAAATGCGCGTTCAAGATTCCACTACTAGCCACTATACATCTCTGCTTAATATGTTTGTGACTTAAAAGAATATTGAAGCGATCCGCACACGATGCACATATGCCAACAAGACAATAGTGAACTACAGTCCCAAACGTCAGTGAGACGATTCGAACAACCAATAAACGAATTAAATTATACATCAGTATATCATTTAATTCGTCTTTTGAAACATTAATAAGAATGAAATGGCTTGTATTTTTTTTCGTTTTCTATTCCCACCGTTACTCTCTCCGAATGATCTTATAATGATATCCACTTCTCGATATAAATCCGTATGAAATAAAACTAACACTAATTTAGCATGCATACATTTTCCAAAGTCAAATCAAACATTTAGACCAATATAATTGTCAGACAAAAATTGAAGAAAGTCTTTTATATTCAAGGGGAATGATTTAAAAAAGAAAGGGATTGACATTTGATCATTGAATATTGTTGGTAGTGCATAATTTAAAAAAATCGAAATGAGAGAAATAATTTAGTTAATTGTAAAAGATGTGTACCCATTTGTTGTAACATGTTTAAATTATAAATAGTTGTTATATTTACAAACTACAACTATTGAAGATTAAGATAACTGACATTTCTGAATCCTCAGAGCTCACTACTTCGATTGATTTATCTGATGATAAACAATATAATACATTATCTTTACTAGCACCTTATATTTTCTTATAGTGTCATTATTAATGTAGAAATAAAAAGTAAAATGCAATTTATCAGACAAAAGATGAATATCATTGAAATGATAAACTGATCAAATTAAGACAACTGTTGAAAATCTGAAAGCATCAGACAGTCATTTTGTCCTTTTATAGAACTCTTCAGCAGTGCATATCCACAATATCGCAAGACAAAATAAATGAACATTGTGTTATATTTGACAAATATTAGTTGGAAGACGCTTAGTTAACTTTGAATCAGTTTATGTATGAAAGTAAACAAATAGTAATTTAGACAAATAGAGATAGATAAGCGTGGATACACAAAAATATACTTAAAGGAAAGGTTAAGATTAATTATATATGAATACATAAAATATAACAAATCAGATTACAATGTCATATGTTCATGACAGATAAGTTGAAATAACAGCTTGTATCAGTCTTTTATACAAGTTCACGAAACGATTGTTAATTCCGTTAAGTATGCAGTATGCCTTAAGTGTATATAAGCTCGCTAAAACACAAAAAACTACAATCTCATACATAACTATGTGCTACTTATATTGACATAAGTAGTATGCGATGTTAGTCGTGAACAGAACGTCTGACAGCAGAGAGGCATGAGGATCGAACAGTAAAGAATGGAAACAGGATGCAATTTATATGAAAATGCAAGAACAATGAAGTCTGAGTTATTTTGAGACAATCGATGAACATTTTGCAAATTAAACATTTACTTTATGATTGTTAGATTTTATTAACAAGTCCTGTAATTTCGTGTTAAATACATTCGATTATCCCCACTGGTGTTCGTGTTCACCACAACTGTATACTTACAAGTGTTATTTAAAGGAACATAAGCTTAACGTAAAGAAGGAGAAATATTTGTTTACCTATTAAAATTATTTATTTAAATCAATTTTTATCCATTTTTGTTTTCCTTATTTTTTTAAAATCTAAACTTCATCAACTAAATCACATTTATCAAAAACAAAAAAAAATTATTTCAGATAATCGTCTGAAAAAAATTCGAGTTTATATGCCAATTTTTGTGAAAAAATTTCCACATGGAATGTCCGACAGTGAAATATCTAACGATGTACAATACACACATGGTGAACTATGATACTTGTCAATTTAGTATTAAGATAATGATTCTTACTTTAAAAGTGTTGTGTTTGTCTAGAGTTTGAAAATGCATGAAGATTTTTTTTTGAATATTACAAATGTGTGCAATGTCTATCATGTTTTTAGAGTTTATTGTTGCACCTTTCTTTACAAAGATAAATGATTTCCCACTTATACTTCAACACAGATTTGTTGTCAAGACGTTTAAAACTACATATATATAGGCACCTTTTATTATGTACACCAGAGTACGATTAGTGAATATTATCATACATACTTTCAAGTTATCATTTTCTCCAACAATGTCTGACCTAATCTCATTACATTTAATTAAGGAGTAATTATTATTTTACATGAACTAACGAGTCATACATTAACATGTTCCTCAGTATTGTATTTTATTTATGGTGTATTTTTTCTAGATGTCATCATGGAACGTGAGTTAACTTTCTTCGCATATAAAAAATAGGTTGAAAAGAAGAAATAACAAATTTAAGAACTAATCGACTTATGTTATGAATAACTACTGTTATATTAGTTTAATTCTTTTTCATGAAAATAGTTAATTGATAACAACTAGAAAAATTATTTATTCCCTAAACGCTGTAATAATAGCAATGAAATCATCAAGTGATCTACTTTAATACACCATTTAAAAAATTTGAAGCACTAGACGAACGTTTCGTCCTAGTATACAACACCTCACTAGTGAGCATCCGTGAGACCCTCATGTCACAATCGAACAAACGATCCTCAGTCTCACACTGGAACACTTAATATCTAAACCACTGAATCGTAATCCGACAGTATCATTTTCTAACTTCAGTCAATCCACAATAGTACACGACCATCTCCCATTGTCTTCAGTAGGTAATTGCCACTCACTCGACACGGTTTAGCTTCACTGATCACAGTCTCTCACTAGAAATGTTGAAATTTCCTCTGGAAATTAGTTACTAGTAACCACATAATAATTGTGTGTTTGTTGAGATTTTTGAATTTCACTGAAATCCTGAAGTGACCTGAATTAGACCACTAGGTCTTTAATGGTGGTCTTTTCAGGATTTCAATGAATTTCAAAGACCTCCACAACATTATAACTAACTTACTTACACCTGTTACCTTTCATGGAGGGGCATAGGCCGCTCGCCTGCATTCTCCATCCAACCCTGTCCGGAGCAATCCTTTACAGTAGTTTCCAGTTGCTATAGTTCCTTTCCATGTCTGCTTCCAATTCTCGGCGGAGTGTGCGTTTTGGCCTTCCTCTTTCCCGTTTCTATTCAGAAGTTCAAGTTAGCACTTGCCTCGTGATGCAGTTTGATGATTTCCGTAATGTATGTCGTATCCACTTCCAATGCATTTCCCTAACTTCCTCTTCAGGTAGAACCTGGTTTGTCCTCTCGCACAGTAAGCTGTTGCTGATGGCATCCGGCCGAAGGACCTTCAATATCCTACATAGACAATTGTTTAGAAATACATCTACCTTTTTGATTATGGTTGGGGTAATTCTCCACGTTTCAGCTCCTTACAGTAAAACTGTCTTGATGTTCGTATTGAAGATTCTGACTTTGATATTGGCTAGCAGTTGTTTTAAGTTCCATATGTTCTTCAACTGTAGGAACACTGCCCTTACCTTGCCAATCCTTGCCTTTACATTGGCACCAGATCCTCTACGTTCATTGATGTTGCTGCCCAGATATGTGAAACTTCCCACCTCTCCCAGAGTTTCGCTATCAAGTGTGATTGGTTTGGTGTTCCTTGTGTTGAAGTTGAGGATGTTGCCTTTTCCTTTGTGTTATATAAGGCCTACTGATGCAGAGGCAGGTTCTACGCTGGTTATCATAACCTGTATTTGCCCGCGTGTATGGGATAGAAGGGTCAAGTTATCTTTGAAGAACAAATGTTTCAATTGACTCCGAGCTGTTCATTGTATTCCTTACTTCCCCTCAGATATCGAGATCTTCATAATCCAGTCAATCAACATAATAAAGAGGAAGGGGGAGAATAAGCAGCCTTGTCTTATTCCTGTCCTCACTTGGAATGAGTGTCGACTGTCTCCCATGAACGACTTTGCAGTGCAGTTCGTCTTATGAATTCCTGATGATGTTGATGATCTTCTCAGGTACTTCATAGTGTTGAAGTTTCCATAATGTTCTCCTATCCACACTGTCAAACGCCTTCTCAGAGTTTAGGAAGTTGGTGTACAGTGATGAGTTCCATTCAACTGATTGTTCAACAATGGTCTGTAGTGTGGCAATTCGGTCTGTGCACGATCGATCCCTACGGAATCTGGCCTGTTTGTTAACAAGCTTTTGTATCGTTGTTTCTTCTTTTTTACAATGACACAGTTAATATAAGTAAGCATAGTGTTATTTAATCCGTTTAAACGCTAACCAGAATAAACAGATTAAACACTGTACTTACTTATATTAACTGTGTTATTGTAAACCAGAAATAGCAGTACAACAGTTTGTTAAAAAGCATTCCTAGAACTCCAAAGTTCAAGATTTTAACAATGGCATGAACTGGTATATTTGTAAACATGGAGTGTTTATAGCTGCCAATAACCTCAAAAGTCGACTACGTGGTTCCTCATTATTATGCTTGGATCATGATCATCATCTGTTTCACAACGACATAATTATTTTTTTAAGTTTAAATTAGAGATTTCATTAATTTAACGTAAATGGGCTTAACAATAACTTCTTTTAACACTATTTGAAATTGGACCTAAAACTTTTAAAATATATGTTAAAATGTAATTTATTGAGGCGTTACAGTTTTATGTATTTAATCCCCCTTGTACATTTTGCTATAACAAATTAGTTTCAATAGCAAATACTCCTAAACGAGCCATCAAATGATAAATAAGATTTTTCAATGTAAAATTACTACAACAATTATTAATTCTAGCTTCGTTAGTTTGAAAGCATGCTTTGATGTTTAGCATGAATATTAGTACATTTATACAAAGAATTATGACTGTTCAAGTAGTTTTCCATGAGTTCATATCTGTTTTTTTCTGTTTGTGTGTTTATATGTGACCTATTTCCCTGTTATTTGTTAGCATAAACTACTCTTGCCTAGGTTATAGATATTATGAATGTTCAATGTTATATGTGTAAAGAATTGATACATTGAACAATGTATTTACTGATCAGATGATTGAAAATATATATATTTAGGAAAAAAGAGCTTTCTTCAAATAACAGATCTCAGATTTTGGCGCAAAATTCATCCATCCATCGGGCTAAATAGAGTTTGGGCATTATAAGTGATGTCAGTTCATGATGAAAACCCTAAATCTAATTCCTAGCCCTAACCGTCCCCACTGTGCTACCTTGTTAAGCTCCATACTGATTCAATTTCGCATGTTTTTCAGCTCATGTGGAGAAAATGAGTATACTACTTTAAGATCATCTGCATATAAAAGGGGTTACCCACACAAATATCATTGATAAACACTAAAAAGAGCAAAGGACCTAAGACACTACCTCGTATTACACCACTTCTAACAGGGACAGCATTAGACAATGAAGAGTTAATTTTAACTATTTGATGTCGATTGCTGAGAACGGAATCAAACCAAGCTAGCAAAGGGTGTTGAGCCCCGTAAGATGCAAGTTTGGTGGTTAACCATATCGAAGGTTTTAGAAATGTCCAGATATACCACTAAGACTAGATATCCTTGGCTATGTAGAGAATAGACTAAATTAAAGAAGTCAAAATGACATGTCATGCGAGAACGAGTTTTAGGAAACACATGTTGAGTATCATTGATAAATTTTCCAGCGAGTAAATAGTTCGAAAGTTCATCACTTATAATTTTTTCCATAATTCGAGAGATAACTGGAGTAATATTTATCGGCCGATAATTGTTCATGTCAGTCTAATCTCTAGATTTGTAACGTGGTATGATGTAAGCGGTTTTCCAACAGTAAGGGTACGAACCTGTTTCCATAGAGTAAACAGCTTTAGAAGAAGTGGAATATCCGGACCACTATATTTGTAGACAAAAGATGAAATCCCATCTGCTCCATGACCTCTCGAAAGCTTAAGTATATTTATAGCCTGACTAATTTTCATGTATGTGAAAGAGATAGATTTTATTGAGTTGCTAGTCACACACATAACTCTTGAAGCAGAGCCATTTATGATTACAACACCATTCGCAAAAATACCACTGAGAAGGTCTGTTATAGTTTTAGAATCCTATATAAAAGTGCTATTATGCTGGATGCACGGTATATCAACATTTTGAGTCGCTTAAGCGCGTTTATTGAAAAGGATAGTTAAGTTTTGTACCTTTGAGTTAGTATTAAGTGCTAGTATCTCCTCATTAATGGCTTTTAACCTATGTTTCTCTTTAATTTGGTTAAAAATTATTGTTATTTGTACAACTGCCGTGAAGTCGTTTGACTTAAAATAACGTTTCTGTAGGCGTCTTAGCTTATTACGATATTTAGCTGGTATTTATAATTCGTAAGGTTTACTAAACCTGTCCGTTTTAAGAGGTAGACAGGAATCTAAACAAGAGTTAACGACCAGATAGAATTCGTCGATAGTATCCATGAAACTATTACATGAAAAAATGGATGTTTGCTCAACATGGAAATAATCGATCTACGAATTAATGACATTTTTATTGTTTAGGGGATTGAAAACCAAACAACATAGATAGCATTAACTCTACTTTTACAGTATAAAAAGGATGAATAACAATTGATTATGTAATAAATTCAAAATTATTTGACTTGTTAAAACTTCAACTAGTAAATAAATGTGAGACAATCCAACGTTAATTTACTTGATAAACTTAATATTTTTAGTCGCTTATCTTCGTAAATGTTTAAATCTTTACATTTCCACGTGTGACATTTACGAATTCTGAGTAGATATTATGTTGTAATTGTTATAAACGTCATTCATACATTATTACTGAGCACTTAAATTTCTTAATTTTATTACTGACCACCTCTAAGAACATCATTAGTTGTATTGAAAAACGTTTATTGAATTCATTAGGGCAATTAATTTGATGAGTATCTGTCAACTTAAAATACCATCAATATTACACCATTTTTAATGCGGATTTGTGATTTTCTCGTTACCCCCTTCTTCTTATACAAATAATTCAGTAACATTAGATTTGTATGTAGTTTTCTTCACTAAGTACACTTGTGTTTGTACAATTTAGGCTTAAATGTGCACTGGAGTATCATACATAGTATTTGGCTTGAGTGTGATTCTACGTATATTGTTATTCCTAAAAAAATCATAATTTATGAATACAATTGCTATTTTTTGTTTGCAGCTCATATTGCACGACAAGAAGCCAACTTGTTAAATGTCGATTTAGGCGATCCAAACGATAAAGATTGTGATGGAATTCCAGATCATATTGATAATGATTTGGATAATGATGGAAAAATCGACAGAACACAAGATTCAGATATGGATGGATTATTAAACCACGTAGACGAAGATGATGATAATGATGGTAGGAATTATTATGGTTTTTTTTAAAGAAAATTGGTAGTTTAAATACATTTGATTAATTCTAGATATTTTGATTATGAATTGACGTTAATTGTGAGAAAAATCAATGAAGAATAAAGAGGAGAAAATGTGTATACCATTGTGATTTGAAACTTTTAAACTATGCGCCTAAGTTTACTGTGTCCAGTATGACAGCCATCGAAAAACACTCTACCGTTGGAAATATTAAGGATTTGTGATGAAGCACTGTTGTAGTTGGATTATGTATGGTTGGTTTTATAATAGTGCTTGACTGATTAGCTAATAACCTCTTATCAGTTTCCTCATCAGTATACCTATATAATATCCTGGTAGTATCATATGTCAATGAATCACTCTATAATGATAAAAGAAATCAAGAATCACAGAAAATAATGTACTGTCAGACCAACTCAGTCGTATGTATAAAAAGAAACGTCTTTTTATTGTATTACTACATTCATCATCCTATTGACCTTTGATTTTATTATTGTTCAGACATGCATGTACTGATGATTTGTAAGAAACCTATGATTTGTTCAGCCTTCTAGCTGTTGTACCAGTATGGCTTTAATTTAATACACTCTTAGTTATGAATATGATGTATTCAGGTTTCAATCCATTTCATGAATTTTTCACAATTTACTCTATAAGAGATGGATTACTTATCTTCAAGTGGATTGGATTGTTTCGGTATATACCAAGAGACTTATGTACTCCTCCTTCTTTAGCATACTTCATTGTGATGTCACAAATCGGTTGATTCTATTTCTATACAATTTGTTTAAAAATGAAAACATTTAGACAATGAAAGTTTTCTTCTCGACGATTCATTCTCTTTATTAATCTGATCAGAACAAATACTAAAATTCCAAATGAAAAAATGGTACGAAATCATTTTATTTCGTGAAATCCCATCAACTGCTTATAACTCTTAGTTGGATTGACAAAACTTACTGATTTGATTGAAATATAACATATTGTTATATAAACATACATAGTTCCCATTTAAATATAAGAACATGAAATTCAGCGAGATCTCTTTTCAACGAATTTATTATCAAGCTGTACAATCGTAAATATACAAGAACTTTCGTCTAAATTTGAACGAACAGTTTCACAGTAATTAAACACCGAGTTTATTTAAGACATTAATGAGGAAGAATATATTTTTAACATCTCACTGATTGAATTTGAAGTAAATCCACCGTTTCGTTCGGTGATTTAGTCCAAGCTTTTTCAAGGAACTATAAGCAAACATCGCTGAACTTCGTGTTTATAATTATTAATTTTACATACCTTTTTATTTGTACAAGCAATAATTTATTGTTATTATTTACACTCTATGACCTATTACATCATCGTGTTTTTAAAATTCCATACACATTTACGATTGTATAACTTAATAAAAAGTTCTTTGAAAAGAGATTCCTGCTCTAAATTTTTCGTCGTATAATCTAAAAATAACACTCATGAATACTTGAATCGAAATAGGGTCATATTTCAAGTTGTTTGATATCTACCAAATTAATAGAAAAAGTAAATCAAAAGTAAGATAGGAAATATACAGAACTGGAATTTCAAACAGGATGTGTCACTTCATCATTTACTTCTTTACAATAGTGACTAAAAAACCTAAGTTAATGCCAGTTGCCTAAAACAGCAACTTACAGCTTTGGAACTAATGACCATTACTTAGCACATAAATGCACCATAGAACCAAAAACAACTCCATTATAACTGAAACAAATAAAACAATAATATAAGAAATAATAATCTTACTAAATAAGGACAAAGGAGGACGAAAATACTAATAAATCTTCAAATTCTTTTATAAAAGTGATTGAGCATAATATATATCGGAAAGCCTTCGTTAGTTCTCCCTAATTACTTATTATTTTAAATCATATTGTACTAATATTTCAATGAGGTAGATTACTAAAATTAGTAGAAATATATAGCTTGTACTGATGAACTAGGAAACCATGTAAGAAATGGGTAGGTTATAACGTGGATAATCGATATAAATGAGCAATATTGTTTTCTTGTAGATCTTTACTAGGTTTTACTCTAATATTTGGTTATGTATATGAAAATATATTTAACTATGTAATCTACTTAATTGTTATGTTTGACTCATAAACTGCCTTGGTTGGTTTAATTTTTCATACACCCATATAAATATTACAAAGTACGATAAACATTGTCGGGATATTCAGGAAAATATCCCAAAAATTATTCTATTAAGTCTAATGCTATTCTCGGACTAGAGATGGTATCGTTTTCCTATTGGTCAATATTTATTTCACGTGTCATCTTCGTACTGATCAATACTTATTTCATGTGTCAAATGTTATTTTCTATTTTATGGTACGATGTGGTCTGCTTGATTGGTATATAAACAGAGTATGCTTGAAATATAACGATTCATATCTCAGAGGCTGAGACTTGCGTTCTGGACTTAACTGGCTGGGCTAAACAGGAAACAGGGTCAATCAGGACTCTAGGCCGTCCTTATGTGTTTACGCGTCTTTGGTCCGATCGATAATGCGCTGCCGTCTAATCTGCAGTCACAGTTATAACAAAGAGCTGACTGAAAACAATGTTGTTTGCTTATATGTGTGTTCTAACTTGCAGTATGGAAATTTCAATACTTTTCAATTTACATTTTTTATTCAAATCCGTCGTAATAACTGAAATTACCGATAGTTTTATTTTATAGTTTATATGATAGACTGACTTAGTTAAATAAGAATTGGAAATCAGTAAGTACTGGACAACTGCTTTTTCATAGCATGAAATTCTTCAGTATTGTTCATTAATGACGCGTTCGATCTTCAATGAAATCGTGGATGGACGCTGCTGATAAGTTAAGCTATACTAGAATAAAACTGTTGTTCAGTAATTCTTGGTATTTCATGCAATTGGTTCCCTTTATGAATTTAAATAAAGCTTTATTTAAATTCTTGGTATTCATGGTTATCTAATTAAAGTCGGTCCATGATGTAAACGATAAAATTTAACAGTTTTCAAAAGTCTTCTATATCAAAAGCTGTGTTTATCGTTTTCAGACTTCTCTTTTCTTATCTACCCTTCTTTAATTTTTGTTTTAAGGTATTCCTGATGTACTAGATCCTGATGCAAATGGTGATGGTATTCCAGATTGTCGACGTGATGGTGGATTACATTATAAATTAGTTAAATCACCTTCTGGTTTAATTAAAAAAGTATTAAGAATACGTGAACCAACACAAGAAGAACAACATCAAGCCTATATGGTTAATGAAGCTAAACGTAAATTAATACGTATTCGTGCTAAACTACGTGAACCTTTACCAAAGAATACAATACAAGCAATTCCATCATTTGATTTCAATGATAACATGAATGATAATCCAGATAATCATCATAATGTTAATGAAATAAAATCTAAAATAAAATCATTTAATTCAAAATCTGTTCAATCTAATATCAATTCAAAAAATGAACATACAATTAAACATCATCCAAATAATAAACAAGAAACTGGCGGTAATATAAATTCAAAGAAAACATCAATACAAGGAATCAAATCTACTGGTTCACCTTCTTTAAAACAATCAAATCAACAACAAATACCAATAAAACATATCAAGGAACAAAATACTGTTAAATTAAATACCAAACAACAAAATCGTAAATTAGCAGAAAGTTTAACACCAAATGAAAATACTGATTCATTTTATTCTTTAAATAAAGACATTTTACTGAATATTCATGATATGAATGATTACCCTGATCATGTTTCTACTCCCTTTGATAATGTTAACGATGATGATGATGATGATGACAATGAAATAGAGAATGATCAAGAAGTTAATTTAGCTGATACAAACTTAAAATCATCAATATTTGGCAGTTTTTTATTGCCTGGAGCAGAAGCAGGAACAGCTAATGAAGTAACTGGATCAAATAGAAAAAATATCAAGAAAATGAAACAAAACGAAGCAACACAAATGAAAAAAGTTGATAAATTAAAATTAAAAGAAAAACAGAAGGTTAGAAGAATTACATAGTTAAACTATTCATCAATCCGATTTCTTATTTAGAAAAAAATTTAGATAAGTATGAAGTTAATAATTTCTTGGCCGAGACTGTAACTCATGGACGAACCAATCAGATTTAGGATAATAGGTCTTAGATTTTGGCACGAAATTCATTCATCCATTTGGCTAAATAGCATTTTGGCATTTTAGCTTATGTCATTTCGTGATGAAAACCCTAAATCTAATTCCTAACCCCTACCATCAACCGAAAATCATAATCCTTATTCTTTACATTGCTTTATAACACTCATTTAGTCTTGGTTAGTAGATGGACATTCTCAAGGTCACTTTAGCGTCGCTCAATGATCGTCCACAAATTATAGTCTCACCAATTCCGTTTTATTTGTTTTACTATTGCAAACTGAAACAATCATTGCCTTGAAATTTATCATCTTACATAGTTCATATACTTCTGAATAGATTCAAACAATTATAGAATGAAACAGTTATTCCGTTGTGTAAATTAGTTTCTAACAGTTATAATTTTCAATAAACCACTTATAAATTTCTTTTATAGTGTAAACTTTTCTTAATTTAGTATAATTTTATTTTATTCTTGTATGTTGATAATAATGTTGACTGATTTATAAAACATACACAGAAACTATTATGTTTTAACTCTAGACATTTCAATAATTCAATAAATATTTATTAGTAACATGACTTATTAAATATTTTTATGATCGTATATCATCATCATTAACTTAAGATCACGTCATATGTAAAAACAAATGAATTCTGTTCTTATGAACATGAATAAATTTGATAACAAACTGGGACAATAAAAGATTGTTCATTTTCATTGAAATCATGAACTGATCGAAGTTGAAACTTCTTTGATACTTCGTTCTAGCATACAATTCCTCAGTAGTGAGCATCCATGATCCCTCACGTCGGAATCAAACCAAGGACACTCGGCTTCACGCAGGAACACTTAGTCTCCAAATTACCGAATTGGCATCCAACGGTATTAATTTCTAACTTTAATCAATCTGCAACATTGCGCGATGATCTTTAAATTTAATTCACTTCAGGATTTTAGTGAAATTCGAGAATCTCAACAAACACACAATTATTATGTGGTTACTAGTAACTAATTTCCAGAGGAAATTTCAACATTTCTAGTGAGAGACCGTGATCAGTGAAGCTAAACCGTGTCGAGTGAGTGGCAATTACCTACTGAAGACAATGGGATATGGTCGTGTACTATTGTGGATTGACTGAAGTTAGAAAATTATATTGTCGGATTACGATTCAGTGGTTTAGATATTAAGTGTTCCAGTGTGAGACTGAGGGTCGTTTGTTCGATTGTGACGTGAGGGTCTCACGGATGCTCACTAGTGAGGTGTTGTATACTAGGACGAAACGTCCGTCAAGTGCTTTCAGCTTCCCAGTGATATTTTAACTCAGATCAGCTCATCAATTCAAGAGAAATCCTTTTTACCAGTCAGGAAATACAGAGTGATCAGAATCATTTTTTCATACAGCTTTTAGTAAACAGAAAATGAAAAATAGTAACAATGATTAAGAAATTCTTATTTAAGTTGGATATTGGTGAGCGCTTGAGCTCAGGAAACACGTTTTATCTTATTTGGAACTTGTAAGCTTGATACAATTATTAGTCACTATCCAACATGAATAAAAACCTCTGGTTGAATGGGAATATCAAGGTAATCCGGTCAACATGTAAGTATGTCGAAAATGAAACTGACTAATTGCAATTCTTAACATTGACAACATTAACTTTTACAGTTAAACAGACTTATAACAAACGAGATAATCATATTTCTTAATTCCGAAGTTAATTTTGCATAATAATGTCATGTATATTTAACAATTGTTTTATGATACTCTCCATATTAGATTTCGATTTACTATCAAAATTACTTTAATGATTTAAAGAATAAGAAATAGTGAATCACGGACATGCACATTTTAGATAATCCCATGACACGTTCATTACATAGTTCGTCTTATTACTTATCGCAATAATGATATTATCAACTATGCACATGATTAATAGATTATTTTAAAAAATGTAGTCCAGATATACATAAGTAAATATGCATAATAATACTGTGATACAGGATTGTCTGTATATGAACGTACCTGAAAAAAGTATTGGGAGGCCTTTGAGTCCTATTGTGGGACTCCTCATCAGTGCGTATCCACGATCCCGCTCGCGAGATTCGAACCCAGGGTCATCTAGTGCTTACAGGTTTTCAATGGTGGTCTAATATTAATCGGTTCATGATCTCAATCAAAAACTTAATAATCTCCACAACCCCATACTGATAATACTTTTTTTCCAAAAAAAGTGAAAAGTTCCTGTAAATTCTTTTCTTCATGGTTAAGTTATTTACAGTGTTCTACTTAATATAACTGATGAACTAAGCCGGAAACTAATTTCAAATTTAAGAAAATTCCATTTATAAAATTTTAAACTTGTATTTTATTGAATTTACAGTGGACTAGACTACTACTACTCTAAAAAAGTTTCTTATTTGAAGTTGTAAAACAGAAAATCTAATGATGCATATTTTGTGAATAGTCCGATTTTTCAAAAAGATGTATTTATAGATCAATAGAAACAGTTGTAACGTTTAAGTTCCTATACTTACTCCATCAGTACTAATCTCAGTTATTATTTGTGTAATTTAATGGATTATTGAGTGTGTATTTGTAGAAACGGACTGTTGATTGGTTGATAATAAATGATTTCGTAGAATGATTATTCATCCTAGGTAACTCGACGTATGTCTATTTTGTCAGTAATCTGATAGACAATTTGGCAAACAAGGAAAAATCTCCGAACTTTTATAGCTTCGACTAAATTTATAGGTGTAAGGAAAACATAGTTTGTCAGTATGTAAATACAATGAAAAGCAGTAGAAATTTAAACATTGACTGAAAAAAATCCAGATGATGATTAAAAGCAATGGTCAGTAAAAAAAAAGTAAAAAGAGAGATCATAGGATCAGTTGAATTAACATGGTTTATAAAACTTCTATTTTCTTTATAATCTGTCTCCTAATTGAGACTCTGAAATGGCGACCCCAATAAAATTAGGCTAGTTTCAGGTTAGGTTATCGAAGTGTGTCAGATCTTTACTCTTTCATGAGTTATAAAATACCAGCTTAATTATGGATGTCTACACTCAAGTTCACCAACTAACAATGTTTGTAAATGAGAGACTTACTGAATTCTCTTTATTCACAAACTATTGGCAGATTCAAAACTGTCACACTTGCAATGGCTATGTAAAATACTGTCTGACAGATTCATGCATTCTTCCTAGTTCTCTGAATAGTTACTCTTTGTTCATCTAATTTTCTAGAGATTGATCTTCTACTTAGAAATCCTTTCGTCGACTTGAAGTGTGTACATGGCATAGTTATATATGATAAAGATGCAGGAAAAATTCATTCTTTTGAACGCCATGAATAACGAATCACGGATACTTGGGATGCATATGGTTTTTTTTAATAATTCAGCTGGTCTATTTTGTTAATTGAGAAAGGTTTTGAGTAAGCTAGCAATTTATTTATTGTAAAAACCATACAATTATGAAAGACTGATAGCAAATGAAATCTAGATATGGATTTGAATGTCTCTCATCCCATTTATTTACTTATATTATATGTAGCACAAATGGGATGACAATCTGTCTATTTGAAGACGGATATAATAAATAGCAATTTCTCCTGTATTTCTTTACTGCAGTGAACAACGGCCTTCAAAAATCGAGATCGCAAGTTCGTTGATAATATTTATTCAAAATTGTATTTCATGCATGATAGAACTAACGGGTTATAATCCTAAGGTACGACTTAGGAAAACAATTAATAGAAAGTGTAAATCAAGTGACAGACCTCCGACTTCATATTGAAACCTATGTAGATTTTGCACCAATTTATAAGCCTTGTCCATTGTTAAATTACTAGTAATACTATCATTTTGTTGCTCAAATGTACGTAAGTGATTCAACACACTGAGGACACTATCCAAAACCGAACCTATCACATTTGGAATTACTTTCAAGAATGACAATATGGAACAGTTACAGTTTATTCACAAATAAATCGTTAAGAAATGTCCATTTACTAAATATGTTCCTTGAATGTTTAACCGTAATACCTCAAAAAGAGATAGTGAATCATGTATATTATTGTTCTAAAAAATTTCATCATTTCTCATCAACTCATAAAACTTCCGGTGTTAATCTTGTTCTCAATATACTCTATTTAGTATGACAGTGAAATATCGGCTACCAAAAAATCTAACTTAAAAGAAATTGAAAGACTGATATGTTTTCTGTTTTTCATTTTGTTCGTTTCTTTACGGTTTCATAATGCTAATATTGGCAGATTGTATAAGTTTTGGATTTATTTATGACCAAATGATCTCGATGTTAGTTGATTTGGGAAAAATATCTTTATGGGATCAATGAAGATATGATCAAACCTGTCACAGTAACTTCTAAATATTCTATACAAATATCATGCACATTTTAAAAAAATTTTTAATCTAAATCTTGACAAATGTTCAATATTATGTATTTTATTCCTGTTAGGTTAATGAAAATGACAAAAGGTTACACTCCACAAAAAATAAACAATCATGTGACGTCCATTCATGTCAAACAACAAAAAATAACCAGGTGAAAACTCACCGAAAATCTCATTCTATCACAAACTATTTATCTAGGCATCATGAAGATGATCATGGTGACGAAGATGAAACATCGTTAGACTCAGATGGTAACGGCATACCGGATTATATGGAAGATGAAAATGGCGATGGTATTCCGGACTACCTAGAAGATGATGATAATGATGGCATTCCAGATCATTTAGAAAGTGATTCAGACGGAGACGGTATTCCAGATTATATGGAAGATGATGATGGAGATGGAATACCAAACTACTTAGAAGACGAAGATGAAAATGGCATTCCAGATTACCTGGAAAATAGTAAAGAGATCAAAAATCAAGGTAAGTATAAAATAAACGAACGTCCAGTTCGAAAACACAAAAATAAAGAAATACGTACAGATGACAATAAAAAAAAAATAATAAGATCCGGAAAAAACAACAATAAAAACATCCACAGTCAACAACGCTGCTCACGCAATGACCATATAGAGGATGATTCTGATGGTGACGGTATCCCTGACCACCAGGAGGATGAGGATGGTGACGGAATTCCAGACTACCTGGAAGACGATGATGGGGACGGTATTCCCAATTATCTCGAAACGAGTCACCTCAAGAGAGCAAGCAAATTACCGAAACACATCGACAGGGACGGTGATGGAATTCCAGACCATCTAGAGGGTGATTCTGATGGTGACGGTATCCCTGACCACCAGGAGGATGAGGATGGTGACGGAATTCCAGACTACCTGGAAGACGATGATGGGGACGGTATTCCCAATTATCTCGAAACGAGTCACCTCAAGAGAGCAAGCAAATTACCGAAACACATCGACAGGGACGGTGATGGAATTCCAGACCATCTAGAGGGTGATTCTGATGGTGACGGTATCCCTGACCACCAGGAGGATAAGGATGGTGACGGAATTCCAGACTACCTGGAAGACGATGATGGGGACGGTATTCCCAATTATCTCGAAACGAGTCACCTCAAGAGAGCAAGCAAATTACCGAAACACATCGACAGGGACGGTGATGGAATTCCAGACCATCTAGAGGGTGATTCTGATGGTGACGGTATCCCTGACCACCAGGAGGATGAGGATGGTGACGGAATTCCAGACTACCTGGAAGACGATGATGGGGACGGTATTCCCAATTATCTCGAAACGAGTCACCTCAAGAGAGCAAGCAAATTACCGAAACACATCGACAGGGACGGTGATGGAATTCCAGACCATCTAGAGGGTGATTCTGATGGTGACGGTATCCCTGACCACCAGGAGGATGAGGATGGTGACGGAATTCCAGACTACCTGGAAGACGATGATGAGGATGGTATTCCCAATTATCTCGAAACGAGTCACCTCAAGAGAGCAAGCAAATTACCGAAACACATCGACAGGGACGGTGATGGAATTCCAGACCATCTAGAGGGTGATTCTGATGGTGACGGTATCCCTGACCACCAGGAGGATAAGGATGGTGACGGAATTCCAGACTACCTGGAAGACGATGATGGGGACGGTATTCCCAATTATCTCGAAACGAGTCACCTCAAGAGAGCAAGCAAATTACCGAAACACATCGACAGGGACGGTGATGGAATTCCAGACCATCTAGAGGGTGACTCTGATGGTGACGGTATCCCTGACCACCAGGAGGATGAGGATGGTGACGGAATTCCAGACTACCTGGAAGACGATGATGGGGACGGTATTCCCAATTATCTCGAAACGAGTCACCTCAAGAGAGCAAGCAAATTACCGAAACACATCGACAGGGACGGTGATGGAATTCCAGACCATCTAGAGGGTGACTCTGATGGTGACGGTATCCCTGACCACCAGGAGGATGAGGATGGTGACGGAATTCCAGACTACCTGGAAGACGATGATGGGGACGGTATTCCCAATTATCTCGAAACGAGTCACCTCAAGAGAGCAAGCAAATTACCGAAACACATCGACAGGGACGGTGATGGAATTCCAGACCATCTAGAGGGTGATTCTGATGGTGACGGTATCCCTGACCACCAGGAGGATGAGGATGGTGACGGAATTCCAGACTACCTGGAAGACGATGATGGGGACGGTATTCCCAATTATCTCGAAACGAGTCACCTCAAGAGAGCAAGCAAATTACCGAAACACATCGACAGGGACGGTGATGGAATTCCAGACCATCTAGAGGGTGACTCTGATGGTGACGGTATCCCTGACCACCAGGAGGATGAGGATGGTGACGGAATTCCAGACTACCTGGAAGACGATGATGGGGACGGTATTCCCAATTATCTCGAAACGAGTCACCTCAAGAGAGCAAGCAAATTACCGAAACACATCGACAGGGACGGTGATGGAATTCCAGACCATCTAGAGGGTGATTCTGATGGTGACGGTATCCCTGACCACCAGGAGGATGAGGATGGTGACGGAATTCCAGACTACCTGGAAGACGATGATGGGGATGGTATTCCCAATTATCTCGAAACGAGTCACCTCAAGAGAGCAAGCAAATTACCGAAACACATCGACAGGGACGGTGATGGAATTCCAGACCATCTAGAGGGTGATTCTGATGGTGACGGTATCCCTGACCACCAGGAGGATGAGGATGGTGACGGAATTCCAGACTACCTGGAAGACGATGATGGGGACGGTATTCCCAATTATCTCGAAACGAGTCACCTCAAGAGAGCAAGCAAATTACCGAAACACATCGACAGGGACGGTGATGGAATTCCAGACCATCTAGAGGGTGATTCTGATGGTGACGGTATCCCTGACCACCAGGAGGATAAGGATGGTGACGGAATTCCAGACTACCTGGAAGACGATGATGGGGACGGTATTCCCAATTATCTCGAAACGAGTCACCTCAAGAGAGCAAGCAAATTACCGAAACACATCGACAGGGACGGTGATGGAATTCCAGACCATCTAGAGGGTGATTCTGATGGTGACGGTATCCCTGACCACCAGGAGGATGAGGATGGTGACGGAATTCCAGACTACCTGGAAGACGATGATGGGGACGGTATTCCCAATTATCTCGAAACGAGTCACCTCAAGAGAGCAAGCAAATTACCGAAACACATCGACAGGGACGGTGATGGAATTCCAGACCATCTAGAGGGTGATTCTGATGGTGACGGTATCCCTGACCACCAGGAGGATGAGGATGGTGACGGAATTCCAGACTACCTGGAAGACGATGATGGGGATGGTATTCCCAATTATCTCGAAACGAGTCACCTCAAGAGAGCAAGCAAATTACCGAAACACATCGACAGGGACGGTGATGGAATTCCAGACCATCTAGAGGGTGATTCTGATGGTGACGGTATCCCTGACCACCAGGAGGATAAGGATGGTGACGGAATTCCAGACTACCTGGAAGACGATGATGGGGACGGTATTCCCAATTATCTCGAAACGAGTCACCTCAAGAGAGCAAGCAAATTACCGAAACACATCGACAGGGACGGTGATGGAATTCCAGACCATCTAGAGGGTGATTCTGATGGTGACGGTATCCCTGACCACCAGGAGGATGAGGATGGTGACGGAATTCCAGACTACCTGGAAGACGATGATGGGGACGGTATTCCCAATTATCTCGAAACGAGTCACCTCAAGAGAGCAAGCAAATTACCGAAACACATCGACAGGGACGGTGATGGAATTCCAGACCATCTAGAGGGTGATTCTGATGGTGACGGTATCCCTGACCACCAGGAGGATGAGGATGGTGACGGAATTCCAGACTACCTGGAAGACGATGATGGGGACGGTATTCCCAATTATCTTGAATATAATGGTGCTGCATCAATTTATTTAAATTTTTTGCGGAAATCGATCATGAATTTCAAGTCGTCGGATTCAAAGGACAATGTTATTCATGATTACCTGCGTGGTGACTCTGATGGTGATGGTGTTCCTGACTATCTAAAAGATAGTGATAATGACGGAGTACCTGATTTTATGGAAGATGATGATGATCAAACACCGAACTATATAGATGTTGATTCTACAGGACAATCTTTGCAACATACAATTTCGTATAAGAAGCACTACGATTTCAATAAAAATGGCATACCAGATGACTTGGAAAGTGATCAGGATGGAGATGGCATCCTTGACTTCATGGAAGATTCTGATGACGATGGTATTCCAGATTATTTAGAGGATTCAGATGATGATGGATTCCCAAACTATTTAGATGATACATTTAACTCCAAACGTGATATCCATTTAAAATTTGAAGATAAAAATAAGAATGGGATACCGGATCATTTAGAACGTGATTCTGACTATGACGGAGTTCTTGACTATTTAGAAGATTCTGATAGAGATGGTATACCAGACTATTTAGAAGATACTGATGCAGATGGTACACCAGATTACATGGATGAAGATGCTGTTACACAATTTTCTCCGAGAAAAATACGCCATCGTGGCAGCGGTCGAAAATTTGCTGATGCTGATAGAGATGGTATACCAGATCATTTAGAAGGTGATATTAATCAAAACAATATCATTGACTATTTAGAAGATTTGGATAATAACAGTATACCGGATTATCTTGAAGATTCTGACAAAGATGGTATACCAGACTATTTAGACGAAGATGCTAATACAAAATTTTCACCCAAAGTATTAAGATCATTGAAACCAGCCAGACATTATGCTGATATAGACGGTGATTACATACCAGACCATTTGGAAGAAGATAATGATGGTGATGGAATTCCAGACTACCAAGAAGATTCTGATTCGAATGGTATCCCAGATTATTTAGAAGATAGTGATGGTGATGGTATACCGGATTACATAGATGAGGATGCTACGACACAGTTTTCACCGAAAAAATATCGTGAATTACGTTCTTCTATGAAATTTGAAGATGAAGACGGTGATGGTATACCAGATCATTTACAAGGTGATTCCGATGGTGATGGAATTTTAGATTTTCTTGAAGATAGCGATGGTGATGGGTTACCAGATTATTTAGAAGATGCTGACGGTGATGGTATTCCAGATTATTTAGATGAAGACGCAAATAGTCAATTTTCACCGAAACATTTCACTGACAAAAATAAAGATGGTATACCGGATCATTTAGAAGGTGATTCAGACGGTGATGGTACACCGGATTATCTTGAAGATACTGATCAAGATGGTGTCCCAGATTATTTAGAAGATTCCGATAATGATGGTATACCGAATTATTTAGATAATGATGTTGTTGATGTGGAAGTTGAAGCAGTTATTGAAGCGTATGATAAAGATACTAACAATAATGGGATGGCAGATTATTTAGAAGATTGGGACGGTGATGGTATACCAAATTATCTTGAAGATGAAGATCATGATGGTATTGTAGACTTCTTGGATAAACAAGACAATCGTTTATTAAGACGATTAACCAAAAATAAGAAATCAAAATTTCAAAATCCAAATGATAAAAATGCCAATTTTATACCAGATCATGTAGAGGATGATTTAGATGGTAATGGAATTCCAGAATTTAAACAAGATTCTGACGGTGATGGTATACCGGACTACTTAGATGAAGATTATTTTCATCACTTCCTAAAGGAGTCAAAAAAACACACTAAAAAGAAAAGAAAAGAAAGTAAAAAATCTTCGAGTAAAATCAAAGCCGTCCCTGGGATCCCAGACAGTTTGGATCATGATGCAACTAGTGATGGTGCACTGAAAGAGAAAGGTAAATGCATACAAGTTTTCCACTTATTAATTTTTTAAACAATAGTTTTTCTGTAGTAGTAAGGTTTATTTCAAAGGCAAATTTAACTAGTGGGATAGGACTCCTAAAAATGATTCAGATTCTCGTAGTTCACAGATAATACAGATTTAAATGGGTAGCGGTTAAAACAAAAAAATAACGTGTAGAATGTACTTCATGAGAATGAGTCATCTTAGTCACGTGATTATTTAGGTAAGGCCACAAAAACTAAACCAATCAGAGAACGATATTATTAAGGAGCTGATCAATTATTAAATCGATATTCACATTTAGAATGTGTTAAGGTATGCGGCAACAAATCGTAGACGGGATGACCTGACATGGCACTACTCAACTATATATTAAATTTAGTTTTAATAAATTTATTGACAATCACATTTCTTCGAAGTTTAGTCAATAATATTAAGGAATAATGTAAATACCATACACTGAAATGTTTCTGACTATGTACGGTTTATTATTTGTCTACAGATTTTTTTTATATTGCAGATTGAGAATGAGAAATAAGATAAGGGTTTTTTTAATCTTACACAATTTTGTCAAACAGGTTATTTAAAGCCCTACCATTAAAAATCTAGTACAACCAGATAATCTATACACGAAACTCATTAAACGTTTCTTATTCATTGTAAAATAAAACTTGGTAGCTGAAACACTTAAGGGTATAAGATAGAACAGTCATTTATGAAATATAATCGATTGTATATAGACACAAATTTAATGCTAAAACTTAGTTCAACAAAATGATACTAAAGAAATATTATGAACGGTTTTTGAAATTGCCTTAGTCACATGTATCGAGAGTTAATAAGCACTATACAAACTCTGGTGATGCTCTATGAAATATGGTTGGAAGAAAGTTAGGGGCGGCCAAACCAAAACGTGGCATCAGTGCTTGAAGTCACTAACTTCTAGTCTGAGCCATGTTGGTAGATGCAGACTACTTAGATGGGGTCCGCGTGACTATCGTAACCAATGGTTGGAGATTCTTGGTGACATGGCTCAGAATCGATCACAATGGCGTAGGTGTATACACTCTCTGTCTTCCCTTAAACTAAGAGATTAAAATCGCTTCATATCTTTCTTTCTACTAACTAATTCTTCCTTCCTGTACTATATCCTTACTGCAATCTTTATTTTATATATTACCACCTCTGAATTAACTACTTTTATGAATCCGGTGTCCATCTTATTGTGTTAATGAGGTATGGCAACTTGGACCGATGCATAAATGTGCCTGGTCCTACGTTGTAGCTGACAGACTATGAAATATTTATTATTCATAACAAAGTTTTCTTAATGGAAATATCAGTGTAATGAAGACATAGAATCATCAAATCACAAAAAGGGAATATCTCTGAAAACAACATCAATTATAAATAAGTTAAGATTTATTTAGTTTATCATTGAATCCTTTACAACATAATTTTGAAAACTTGTCTGATTAATTATTGGCTTTGTTAAAGCATTTGTATATCTGATGAATTTCAATGTATGGATCACGTTTTGATGGAGTTTTATTCTCTGAGCTGGATGGTTTGGTCGTAGAGCTTCCATCGTTCTTTTGAACTCTACATTTCTACCTGAAGTTTGTGCTGATGATGTCGTTCAAAAGAACAATGAAAAATCCACGACCAAATCATCCAGCTCAGAGAACAAAACTCCACCAAAATCATCCACCTGAGGATTCATTAATCAAGACTTCAGTAATAATAAACAAACAAACAATTATTAATTGCACGTAAATATAGAGTTTCTTATAAAATCCTCTCAGTTAAGTTCTAAAGTAGAACAATCATTAAAAATATAGTTTGATAAACCTGAGTATAAAAATTTCGAACATAACCATGATAATTAGAAGCATTCAGATCAATGTTTCAACTAAGAATTTCCGAAATAGTGCAATTTAAGGCAGGTAAAACTAGATGAGTGCAACTGAACGTATTATATTTAGAATTTGTAATGAATGCGCAATCAAGTAGAAAAGAATCATCAGTTAGTACTAGTACCGTAATAACCTAAATCTAAATCATGAACGGCTAGAAGTAAATCTTTCTGACACCTAGAATTTTATATCACTAATGGATGCAATTTTCTGTGAACTAGGCACTTTAATAAGCAATCATTTTAAACAACATCATCGACAACTACTTGATTTAGAAATAAACATTTTTATAATTGTTTACTAGTTCTGAGAACTTTATTTGTGATCGGTTGGTAACCTAGTATTTGATGAGTAATTTATATTCCACTTTTTTATTGTTGATACAGAAAATAAAGTAATATTTGAACACTTGAAAATATACCCAGAATCTAGACATTTAGATTTTTAAACTTACGATGAACAATACTTTTAGTATGGATCAAGTTAGTAACGTTTATACTGACATATTTCAATAAGGTCAACGCAAAATATTACTTGTACAATCTTTGGAAATATTTAGAGACATATCATGGTTAAGACCATGAGTCAATTGAAGCTAGACCACCAAGGGAAACCTGAAAGTACTGGGTGGCCGTTTCGTCCTATCGTGGGACTCCTCAACAGTGCGCATTCATGATCCCGCCCCCCACGAGATTCGAACTCAAGACCTACCGGTCTCGCGCGCGAGCGCTTAACCACTAGACCATTGAGCCGGCATCCAACGGTGTTAATATCGAACTTCAACCAATCCACGAAATTGAGCGGCACATCCACCATTGTCTTCAGTGAGTTACTATCTCACAACGGACCTGGTCGAACTCCACTAGTCACTGCTTCTCACTAGAACTTCAGGAAATACCTCGTGAAGCCAGTCACTAGTGAGCATATGCTGATTAATATCAGATGGGGTTTTGTGGATATTGTAGGTTTTCCATGGTGGTCTAGTTTCAAATGGCTCATGATCTCAACCATTGAAATTACTACAATATCCACAAAACCCTTTCTGAAATTATTTAACTGATGGAGACTAATAAATTCGCTTAAAATAAATCAGATTTTTCCTAAAAAACACAAACTAATTTTATTCGAAATTAATTTGATTTGTTTACTTACCAACATATATACTATTCAAACATACAAATATTCTCAGTAAAACGAATTCTCTATTTTATCTGTATATTTTCAGTTGCCGATCGAAATAACAACGGGGTACCAGATAATTTCGAGATGAAAGACTCTGATAATGATGGAATTCCCGATGATCAAGGTATTTCGTCTTAAAAAGCCATGAAAATTCCTTGCTTCCCCCCTCACGCACCGAAATGCGCTACAAATTGATATTGAATGGCTTAATAACTATTATTACTATTATGCATTTGTATTGTTTCATGAAAGAAGTATTAATTAATGTGTGCGTGCACGTAAAATCCAAATTGTTTGAAAATGCTCAAGATTATCAACTACATGTCGTCAAACATAGTTCCGCTCTAATAACATTCTCTTCTTGATTGGCATCCCTTCATCACCTCTCTTTATATTTTAACGCTTCCTTTTCTGATATTTCCTAATGAGTGAAAAAAATGCATAGATGGAGTCAACCAATACTGGATATATCCCACCGTCTTTCTTCTACGCTCATACACATGTATACGTATTGATATGAACCGTTTTGTTATTGTTTCTGTTATTTTATTTCTACCCATTTGTTGTTAATCAAATCATGACGTACTACCATCTTTGAAGTAACCCAGATTTCTTTAAATGTTAGATGTTTTTATTTTCATTGATTTTCCGTGAATTTCTAAACAACAAAACTGCATGTCTTAATTTCCTCTAGGATCTTATATTGCGTTTGTCTATTTGTATGCTGAAGCTTTGAGCTGTATGTTAAATTTCTTCATCCGTCTAATTTAAAAATGTGATCATTCGATGAAAATGGAACATTAAGATTGCATGTTCTATAGTGGGGATATTGAGTTAAAATGAGAAAAATTCCCCTACCTACAAATATAAAGTTACTTAAGCAGTATAGTCCCTAAAAATATTGAACACTTTTTAGATTTATGTACTCCCATTAAACTCTTCAATTAGTGTGTCTTACAGAAGTTATTGATAGAACATTTCATTACTCATAATGTAAACATTAAGTCAGCAAATATAATCAACATACAGAAGTACACCTAACTGACTACGGAATAGTATACACATAGTTCCCTTTATTATTTAAAGAGGGCAAGAACAAAGATTGTTCTTGCTCTCTTTATGGAATAGTAATCAGTGTTATATTGTCTAGTTCTAAATGCTTATCAAACTGTAATATGGTCACTAGTTGAAGGGGCTATTTGTCCGATACTGAGCAGTAAAACGGAGGGCTCAATAGAAGGTCATGAATCTGGGTCCCACGATAGGTATTACCAGTTAACAAGGCACATCTCTAGTCTTAAAAGAATTGATGCTTCCAGTGAGATTCATATTTAGGTCATTACCCACAATCATAATCAGAGAGGTTAGTTAGATCTGTAGTATAAAATTGCCACCAAAATTGAAAATACGCCTTTCTAACGACTATCAACTAGCATGAAATCCAAGATTCCCAGCTTCCTGCCGATCTCCTCCAACCAATTTGTAGAATTATCTCATTTACATAATCAAGACATCTAATAAGTAAACCATTTAATCTATTCGAAATTTTTTGTATTGATGAGTTACTAATAGTAGTAGTAAACTAACATAAATACGTAGTAAGTAGATCTATATAATTTTATACATACGATTTGGAAGTATGAAGACAATTTGTCAGTATAGCTTATCTCTTTTACGAAGAAGTATCCAAAAACTCTAAAACCCGAAGTAAATGAATCTATTGTCTGAGTTTTAATACTTAGTCCAACATGCTTCTTAGGAGGAATCCTTAGTGTAATAAAGCAAGATTTACATGTATATGTATGTTAAGCACAAGAATTTCAATCATAACGGTGATATTCTTTGCAAAATAATCAGTAAGATTACAGCTTTGAAATGGTAATATTTGAAAAGATTTGGAAGAATAAAAGAAAAATAATTCGACAAACTGTATTGACCACCAGACAGCCAAATCAGTAGCTTGTAAATATTTACGTACATATCTACTAAAAGGTTTCAATTAGTTCTTTAAATAACTTAATATAGACTATGTCTCTAAATTAAATAATGAAGAGATAAAAAGATATTCGGTAAACAGGATACGAAAGTTCGATAGATAAGACTTGTGAAGGTTATCGTTTGTATTATAGACAACTATCTTCTATAATAATTAATCAGGCAATAACATGAATCAATTAGTATCCCTAATAATACTACTGTTGTACTAGGTGTCTTAAGTTAAAAACATTCTCTGCTTATAATTGTCTTATTGTTATGTAACAACGCAAGACAGTGAACCTTTTATTTTTTAACATTGATATACTTGTGTTTCGAAAATTGTTATTGTAAACATTTTCTACAAAAATTTTTTTGTTGGAATGTTCTATTCTTTTTCTACTTAGACGATGACGACGATAATGATGGTATCAAGGATTATCATGAAGATCGAAATGGTAATCAGATGTTGGATATTCTTGAAGCAAAAGATACAGATGGTGATGGCATTCCTGATTATCTAGATGACGACGATGATGGGGACGGTATACCTGATTGCGATGACGATGATGACGATGGTGATGGTAAGCAAAAACTTTCTGTTACTTGCGATGACTTCTGGATTCAGCTACAGAGTGAATATCCGCATTCTATACACTTGCGTACCCATTAGCGAGAGAACTGAGGAATGGTTATGAAGCTTCAACTGACAAACCAAGTTCATTTGTCACAAGTCTTCGATATCTGTTCATTTGTCCCCCTAACCTAGACAACGTTCTGATGTGATAAAAATTCCAGAGATAATCAAGAAACAACGCTAATTTGGGAATGAACTTTGATAACTTTGTTTGACTATATGGTTTCTCAACAATATAAAAAATATGAACAATCATCGACAATACTGAACGTGAATAATTATCATAGAAAATCATTGGAAATTCCATTGCTGAAATTTAATCATTATTACTTCCATAAAGGATAAGGTTGAAACGATTTGATATTTTCTCATCTGCAGCCATCAAAGTCTTTATCTCAGTCAACAAGATTATCTAGGCCTAAGCTCTTGGATAGGTTACTAATCAATGACTAAGTGTCAGCGTTAAGTGTTCATACAGTTCAGGACTTCCATTAGTTTTTTTTTTTCGGAATCAATATAGGATGGCACATGTTTCGAGATATAAGTAGCTCTATCTGTCTCGTTGAGTTTCACTTTCATATGTATTAGAATAAAATATCTAAACTTACTTAAAGGTAGCTTCAATAAGAGTACTAAGACCGCAATAGATTAATCGTCCACGCTAAAATGTCCAACGTTTTCTAAATTTCTCCATAACACCTATGTCCATTTGGTTACTACGACCTCAAACTTAATATTAACCAATCAAAGCTGTAAGTGTTAAGTTAAGCTAATCAGCCAATCAGGTACAAATATGGTTGTATGGTGATTAGATAATTATAATGACAAATAAATCCATCTACAAGCTATAGATCGAATATCATTTACAGCATGGTGATTTCTGTATTTTTTTATCTAAAAGTTTTTTCATCCCGTTTTATTAAATGAAATGATGAGTTATGCAATGGTAATTATTGGTGATTATTTTCTGAAAGTAATGTAAGATGTAAATATTCCTCCAGTTATCACCTTTCCTCTGTGGGATTCGTAATCGATTGGCGGTTATAGGTAAGAGTGGGTGATTAGCCCGATCTCCACCACCCGGGTTACCGCTCACGTTAGTTCATGAGTCATTCGTCTCATTATCCAGGAGGCACGACGCCGACGTGTGAGTTGGATTTTGCTCCAAACTATAAACGTAAATAACTTACAATACGTCAGCCTTATCATTTTAAATGCTATCACGGACATTGATAACATGTTCTTGAGTGAGTTGTATCTGGTAGCGTTTCAATTACTCGAAGAGTTAAAGATCATTAAAAATTTGATAAGCCTTCAGGTACAATAATCTGTATTATAATTACAAATCTGTGTCATGTCTGAGAAAGTTTTCAATTTTTCACAGTTCACTTTTAATTGTTGACTTAAATCTACATAACTGAACAGACTAAGTTCCATTTCTATGTGGTCAATAAGAAAATTATTATCTCTTTTTATCTCAATATCTATTAACGGTCGGTTGTATAATATGATGGTTTAATACTTCCGTAGTCTGTGAAGTTTAGTTTGACTACCGATCCTATAAAACAGATTACAATTTATCATAGAAGTATTTTCGAAGGATGTTCATAATAGAGAAGATTGTATTGATTATGTTTTAAATTCTGTTGGATGAATCACATATCAGAAATACAAGAGATTACGTTTATATTTTCTGAAGTTACATTTACCCATCATTTGTGTATCTCAACAGCAGTACAAGTCTTCAGTTTTACGGTTGTTCACTAACCATCTTAAAAAAAACCCATTAAGTACAGTAAGCCTTATTCGATTTTGCATTTTAGGTATATTAGACATTGATGAAGACGAAAATAGGAATAAAATTCCTGACCATTTAGAAACCGAAGACACTGATGGGGACGGTAAATTTTGTTTAAAATTATTTGCTATCAACTGTTTTCCCCTTGATTTTTGACCAAACAAAAATCCATAAAATTTAGTCAACACTGGAATGCTATGCAGATTATTAGCTACTTTTCAGTCATTGTTTTATCAATTCAGTCTACCTTAGAAAGGGTCAGCTAGTTATTATCAGTGTAGAGTCTAGCACAGATGTAGGTTGGCTCAAGTTGCCAAACTACTTTATGGTAGGACGAGAGGTAACTAACATAGTGTATGGAAAAAGAGATTGGAATAATGTATTAGCTTGTAGCTCTTCTAGGGTTACCGCCAGTACAGAGACCTGGTAAAGGAGGAGGGTTGGGCAAGGTTCAGCAACCCCATCCCGTAGAAAACAACATTGCTAAAAAATGCTGACCATAATAAACAAATTAAACCATTTGAACTCTGCCCTCCGAGTTGAAGAATCTTCATTCAGAAGAACTATGACGCCTTATGGTGAAAGCCGAGATTCTTCAGAAATTAATAGACCTATGCCACTTCTAACAACCAGAGCAACAATTAATGTCGGTACATGGGATGTTCGAACAATGTAGATCGATCAAATAGCTATGGAAATAAGGGGATACAACTTGGAGGTTCTCAGAATAAATAAATGACAATAAAAAAGATTAAGCAGAGTGTAAAAGTATATATGAAGGGATATAAAATTGATAGGAAGATCAAAAGTCGATACTGCTTAAATGATTTCACAATTCTAGGTTAAATCTGTTTTAGATATTTTGGAGCAGTGTGAACTTTTAAGACGTCGCGGGTACCCCTTCAAGTTTGAAACATATTATAAACTATCTTCAATACCTATATCTATGTTTATTTTAAGAACAAGTCTACCAATCTATGGTTTCTGTAGTGAACTTCGAGTCACAATTTTCGATTACGAGTTATTGTTACTAAGGCATAGAGCTGTTTTCGGATATGCGGGCAGTCCACTGTTACTATAGAGATGAAACATCCTTCATCTTGGTGAAGCATTTCAGAATATAGACTTATGATGTAATTTTAATGAGATTTACCTAAAGTTTTGCTTCTGTATGCATTCAAATGAGTTAGTTGAATCTTGTTGGAAAGTGATGTATGGTGAATTAAATCTTCTTAATTGGATTAAATTTACATTGTTCAAGGAATCGTATCTTTAATATCCTTGGTCAGATTGTTGAATCGACATGTAAACTTGAGTCATATAATGTAACCGTACTGTATTGTATTGCATTCCAATTTTCTACCTCCTTTTTAGTTCGTTCTGGGTCGTTCAAACACTGTGTTCTCACTTTTATAATTTCTTTTCAGCCAATGCTTAATTGTTTATCTTGCGGACTTTGCGCTGTGCAAGAAATATTACAGGCACACCTTGTGTACAAGCACCAACTAGCACGAAAACTAAATACAGCATTTTCTGTCGACTACCTAACATCTAAATATAATCCACGTAATTTTGAGTTTCTTACACAAGTAACCACAATGTAACTTGATCAATAAGATTCAACCAGAACCAAGGACTAGACAAACAGCGTCGATATGACGAAATACAATATGGGACCGTAAAGTTTTTATTTCTGTTCATCTGATCACTAACGTCTAAATGGAATGAAACAAAGCAGCTCAGTGATTATCTAGTAATGTTCTCAGAGTAAAAGTAAATTCTTACTAAATTTTTCGTCAGGTTACGTGAAGTCACTTCCCAATTTAACTATCTTATCCTTTGAAGAAACATTAATTGGAACCAATAAACATTTCTTATTTTGATTTTTCATTGTTTTGTAAAATTCCACTTTCATTTTGTCATAAAAATTTGTCTTTTTTTTTAGGAATTATTGATCTACTTGATACAGATGATGATAACGATAATATACCAGACCACTTAGATAGTGATTCCGATGGAGATGGTATTGACGATAAAAAGCAAGACAGAAATCGTCATAAAACTACTAATCCAAAAGAAACTGTCAAGAAAAGTAAGTCCTTCTTTAATCTGTAAAAGCTTGAATTAATTAAATTCATTAGTTATGGCTTTTTTAGTTATTATGATATGATGAGGGTTTGGTTAAGATGACTACGAGGAAGCGAAAGAAGGAATGTAACTCCAATTAATTGTTGTCTAAATTGGTTTGTTAGATGTTACTTAGATTAGTATCAAATATTGAGCTAATGACAACTGAAAGACATTGTACTCTTTAGATCGATTGACCTACTGTCTTCAGGACTTACAGTTTATGTATTACTATTAACCCACTGGGTTCATCAGTCTTTACGTCTTAACTTTATATGATCTGTGAAATATCAATTCTATCATTTAATTTCACTGACAGTTATTCGTTTTTTACTGTTAAAGAAGAGTTTTATTTTACTAGTGCTTCGGTTTAAAATTATGTTTAGTCGTCACTTGAAGTGTTGTAATTCTTAGAGCTTCAGAAAAGCGGTATTCTAGTTATGACTTTAAAATAAATAAGCTTCCTCTTCAGATAAAACCAAATAAATATATTTACTCTGTGCTTATTTGTTTACAATATTCAGCTACACAATTTATCAATATTTCAGTACATTAATATGTTACTGTACTAATATTGTAGTGATAAACAGTTTAAACTTGTTTAAACGATACTTTTTATCCATCAGAAAACCTTTATTGCCAGAACATGAAGATAGTAAACAAAATACCTTAATAATTTAATTTCTTTAGTGTCCATAAATTCAGTTCAACTCAACAAAGTTTAACAACTCTTGTTACAAAATGATTTTCACCATGACTCAGTATTCTATTGAAGACAAGGAAAATTGCCGAATACTGAACAATCTTTACCATACGAGTAGTGAATACTTCATTAACATGACCTATCTACCTACCTAGTCTTTAAATCACGGATCCACAATTGATGGATTGTGTACCAAGTGCTACATACATTGGCCGACCTGTCATGATAAAAGACACATTTAGACTTCAAGTATTCAATCGCATGAGTTTCGTTTTAGACAGTATTCGCATTCCTTGAAACCACTAGATGACCTTTTAGATATATCGGTCGCTTGATAAATTCAAATTAAACGAGAAGAACAAGATTTGCAGAATAACACGGATTTATTATATTTCAATGCTTCTCATCATCTGTAAACGGCCTAAATTTACATTGGTGATATAATTATAAAGTTTTGCATACCGTGACCAATAACCTTCAGTTCGAGAAGAAATAATAAACAATAAAAAAGTCATTAAAAAGGGGTTTTGTGGAGATTGTAGTAATATAATAGTTGTATTCGTGAGTCGATTAAAGCTAGATCACCATGGAAAACCTGGAAGCACTGGACGGCCGTTTCGTCCTAATATAAGACTCCTCAGTGATACACATCCACGACCCCGCTCGCGGGATTCGAAACCAGAACAACAACATATTTGATGTAATAGTGAAGACTGATTAGTATTCATGTGTCGAAGAAGAAGTCATAAAAAGGGATGAAATTATAAAAAAACATATGTGATAGTCAATCAAGGCACCTGGTTGATATAAGATTAATATTTAACGTTGTGAATGAATGTCAGTGGGATTCTTTTGAATGAAAGTATTTTAAATGATTAATTCTGTAAGTTTGTGTGCCAAATAAATCAGCGTCGTTCGGTGAATCAATTTTTGTGAAGAATCATATGACCCCATTTCCAATCTTTCATGTTTGCTACTGTGATATTAGAGAACGTAATGAAAGCTATTCGAAATCCCATTATTTTTTTCATAATCGAGTCATAGTAAAAAACACTTACCATTCATTTGCTGCAAAATATGATTAATAATAAATAAAATTTCCCTGTAATATGAATACTATCTAAATTATATTCATCGTTTATTAATATAAACAACATAGCAGAAACAAATGCTTTATCGTATTGATGAAAGCGTTGTTCTCGCGACTGGTCTTGGTTAGTATTAAAGGGAAGAGAGATAGTTACTCAACATTATTGTTAACATTTATGTTGATTACTCTTACTTGATAAAAACAACCATAAAACATGATAAAAAAGTGTATATATTTATTATGGTCCCGACCGTTGTTGCTACCTTGACGTGGAGGTCGAGCTTGCCTATCGTTATGATCTAATCGAGCTATACTGGCTGGAACAATCATTCCTCAAGGTCTTACCATGCCAGACAGGTCGGCTGAAGAGCGGCAAGACTAAAAGCAGAAAACCCAAGGTCCGAAGGCGAAGTCGTACTACTGACTGTACAGAGGTGTAACGGCAGTAACTGTGTCTCCGAAGCACACATAGAGGGTCCAGTGTGATCATTCACTTGACCTCACCCCGCCAAAACGGAGAGCCAACGAGATACACCCTCCGTGTGTCTGGAGACCCGATAGCTAGTTCTCGTGGACTGTCAGGTGTAGGCATAGCACTAAGTGCGAGGGCAGGACAATCACTATTAGTGTGGAACCCCGTTAACAGTCGTCTATGTTCTGTTCGGCTAAACAGCTCCGTAAGAACTCAGAAGGACGGGGGGACACGTCGTTGCCTTTTCATCGTTTCTGCCTACGCTCCCACTGACTGCAGCCCGGATGAAGTGAAAGATGACTTTTACAGAAAGCATACTTAACTTATTCAGAAAGCTAAACGTTCATACATAGTACTCGTAGCAGGTGACTTTAATGCCCAGGTAGATAGCTCAGACCAAACAGAAAGGGATTTAGGTGGGTATTTTGGTATCCCAGCTCAGCGAACAGATAATGGGGATCATCTGCTGCAACTGCTCAGACAATCGTTTATTTTTAACAAACACTAATTTTAAGCATAAGGAGAGACATCATCTAACATGGCGACACCCTAAACCAGACCAACAATGGACTCGAATATACCATATTGCCATCAGTCATCCTTGGAGATGGTCGATGGAAGATTGTCGCTCATTCTGGAATGCCTGCTTCGACTCCGAACATGCTCTAATACGGACACGCATCTGCTTACGCCTCACTGGACGCAGAAAAGCCACACTAAAAAGACCCATTAGAATTGAATTGAGTAATGAGTAGGTTCCAGGAACAACTGAGGTCACACTTAGGTAGTTCTGAAAACGAGGCTGACCCAGATGTTGCTTGGAAAGATATACAAACAGCTGTGGGAACGACAGTGACAGCTGTTAGTGATTTAAACCAAAGGATTACAGAAATTAGATTAGTGGAAACTATATACTCGGCACCCAATTCTTGTCAAACTATTCGTTCTAATACTGACGAAGATTCGTATAAATTACTTAATTCATTTTTGAGTTAGCGGTAACAATATGATTTCAGTCTTGCAATCCTACCACTGGGACACTAAATACCAGATATTAGCTAGTATAACCAGTATTATCATTAGGACTTGACCATTAGACAATTAGACTCAATACTAGACCAAGTACTTGATCAATACACTAAATGATAGACAATGTATACACAGATATACGAAATTCGAAGCAAAATTGAGAACCAAACTAGATTGGACCATAATTTACTGATACAAATCACAAACAGTCAATATATAGTGAAGTCTGAATAGAAATCAACCTTATACAAATAAAAATAATCTACATATTTCTATCTTTTCTTATTAGCCAACTACAACTGAGCGTCACCTGACAAGTCAGTTTCGTATATAATCGAGATTCTTGTTTATTTTTTTCATTCTAGATAGAGAAACCAAAACGATGGTGCATTCACCTTCACCTAAATTTCAACTACCAGGACATTCAAAAAGCAAATCACTACCTAAAAAGACAACAGAAGATTATGATAATGAAGACAGTGAAAAAACTGATGATGATTATGACAACAAGAAACTATCTAAAATGAAAGACAGTGGTATCAATAGTGATAATGATGATGACGATGATGATGATAACGATGAAGACGAAGATGACGCCGATGGAGCAGATGATGGCAAACCTATGACGAAAACTAGGTCTATAGTTTTGTCTATATTAAAACGAATCGAAAACATCTTTGGTGTTGAAGATGATGATGGTGATCATGATGCTGAAGAGGATGATTCACATGAAGAAATTCATGATCATTAAAATGTTATTTTATCCTCATTTTTATACTAAAGAGATTTCATATGATTTTATCAAAACTAAAGTTGTTTTAGAACCATTAAGTAGTACAACCAACCATTACTACTCATTCTCATGACTTAGTTTGCATCGGTTGAATATACTAGCTCAATTGACAAAACTATTGTTTTGATGTATGATAATGTGCAGTTCTGTACCTTACCATTTTTTTTCCGTTTAAAAGATATTCTTACATACTAACTAAATCCTTAGAATAATACTCTCACACAATAGCTTTACTTTTCATCCACTCAGTCTCTTTGTTCTCCCTCTTCAACCCTTCTTTATTGCTTCATTTTCGAATCAGTTAAACTATCCATCTTGTAACTTATCCAATTTCTTCTTGTTTTTTTATTTGCTTTAGTGGAAATAGAAAGAATTGAACAGGAAAACAACAAACAAGTACACAAAAGAGACTAGATTAGAAAATAACAAGAAATATGGAAAATCAATAGAATAGAGTTATATACAACGTTGATTTTCCAGCTCTTTTGTTCTGATCAAGTAATTTTGCATTTTCGTTGATTACACACACACAAACTAAATACATGTTTTAATGGTACTACTACTACTACCACCGCCTTTCTTTCAACTACTATGAATTAGTTATTCATTCATCAACTGTAATAAACTCTTTGTGAATGTTTATTCCTTGTTTTCTTTCGGTTTTTCAGTTTCACTTCTTCATCATCCACTATTTTTCGTTCGTATACAGTAGAAATATTCTGAAAACCCTATCTCCCTACATATACTGTTTTTATTCTTTTGTCTTCAACTTTCAATTTAAATTAAATATAGACACATTTAAACAAACAAACAAATTACAGCACAGAAATTAAATATTTAGTTGAGTTTACTTATTTTCCTTTAGCATGTTTTCGTTAATAAAATTTACTGGTTTTCTTTTGAAATATTGTGTACTCAGTAAAGTTGGATTCAGAGCACGTTTCTCATCGTATTTGGGACTCGTCAACGAGATCTTTATTCATCCCACTGTTGATATTCATGAAGAAACTCGAAGCTTCAAACTTCAACGCACTGTCGACTAAACTGTTACCTTCAAATGGTCACTAACTCTCCTAACAGGTATGAAGTTATTTATAAAGGCTTTTATTTCTCCGTTGTTGGTATGGGTAACTACAATCAATCATTCTACTGGCATATACACATTCTGAGCGAATTATCTCAATACTACCAGTCACAACTAAACTTTACTAACAATTCGTGACTTCATGGAAATCATACAGGCAATCCTATCAGGATGCTTACATACCAGTAGAAACTCAGTCAATTAATAGTAACGTAGAACATGGAGCTTCTCCATCATACCACTTTATAACAAACACTAGCATAAAAACTGCCCAGTAATACAATAAAATTCGATCTAAAGGTTAAGGAATGTAACTATGATTGAGCGTAGATTAACACATCTGTATTCAAAAATTTGACTAAGAATAAACATCTGATTGATACAGCTACATCTAAGTCTGGAATTAGTTTGCTGTCTGCGATCTGTAGTTAAGACTTGAATAATTAAAAGTATTCAAAAGCTAACGTTTACGAGCAATTTCACTTTCATGTGTTTCACAAGTACACATTAATAACTTTTTTAAAGAAAAGATTTCCAGTTTGCCTGTCCCATTTGAAATTCAATAAAGAAACAACCACTAAAGAAGAATAGTCAGTCAGTTCATTATCGACGAATGGAACAAATGCGTGTTATCCAAAGTTGTTATAACACAGTAGCAAGACTAGATAAAACTACCAAAATGAATAAGAATATCAAGAAGAATATTCTGAATTTGCTTACGTCTGTTGAATGTTTATTAGACGCCTAATATCTTTAATGTTGAGACATTGAATTACAGACAAAACTTCAAATTGTTTTAAGCTTAACGAACCTAACATTGTCAAATTAATTGGCGAATAAGATGAGTGAGTAGTAATACATTGAGGTTTTCAGATTTAAGAGATATTAAAATGTTAAAAAATATGTAAACTTTTCAACAGAAATGAAGTGAAATAAAAGATATTTTGGAATTTCAGATAAGTGATTAGTGGCACTATCTGGCACACTGAATCAACTTAGATGAAATTCGAACTCAAAACTTAGCAGTTCGATCTTGAATGTTTTAATCAAGCACACCGTATTTTAAGGGTGGATTACTTCAATGGATCAATTTAAATTTCATCAGCTTATGATAAGCCACTTCATTTTACCAGCTAATTATCATTTAATTAATCATGAGTGAGCTGCTTGATGAACTAGCAATGATTTAATCTAACCATATTGAGTAGTAACATTTTAATGACTATGCCATTGTGCCAAATAAAATTGCCTCATACATATGTTGTGTTCTTGTTTGTTTATAACCAGCCGAATGTTGACTGTCATTATATAATCATATCGGATTATAAAATTTACCAAGGTAAACGTAAGGATACAATTTTACTTTAAACAAGCTAGTGTTAGCAGAAAAAAATCTTAACTGTTGTACAGTTGAATCAGACGAAAATAGAGAAGCGCTGATTTGCCGATTTTAGATCTAGCATCACTAGTGGATGACTCCAGATACGAGAAGATTCTTACGTAAATTGTCCACAAACTCTTGTGTTTTACCCTTGGATATTTTGTTGTTCGCGTTTATTGAAATATATATTGTTGCTCTCGATTTTTATTAGGATTTAGGAAAAACCGAGTGAAGCATATACCCAAGGAATACTAAACAGTAGAACCTGACTCAATCTAGATCATTTGCTGCTTGTTATTGAAATACACATGTTGTCAATCCTCGTATATTATTATCGACTTAAATCGCGCCAGTGAATAACGGAATTAAATAGGTCAAGTATGAGAATGGATTTCAAATATGTATATGTCATACCATCATTGATCTAGACAGACGATCGAATGAATAAAGCGAAACGAGATGATGTGATGTGGAGAAGGCGTGCGATGAGTAGGCTAAGAAATGCACATGCATACGCTTACATTAAAAACGGTTAAAGTTAATAGGCGAACAAGTGACAAGGTCAAAATATAGCTTGAGAATGGATAAATTAATTTGTCCATAGGCTAGAATAACCTGTGTCGGCTTGACATAGGGCCAGCCACAACAAAACAATGTAGCCATACGTTTAGCTTCGTCTGATTATGGTTGTCCTTATGATTCAGAAAAAGATGTAGGTTTATTTGTTAGTTGAGACTGTAGTGGCTGATACTATGTCAAGCCCACATATGTTATTCTAGCTCCTGGATAGACCAACTTGTTCAATCGTTTCAACCACAATTTGACCTTGTCAATTATTCACTTATTAGCCCTGACTTTAAATATGGTCGTATGTGTGGGTAAACATTTACTGGTGTGTTAATTGCTCACCTTATTCACTGAGTGTCTGCAAATTATTTTGGTAAGAATAAATATTGAGTCACGCTTGATCACAACGAATTGTCTCACCCGCCATCTCCTCTGCGCGTCACTTAATTTCGTCTCGCCGATTGCCTGTTCAGATCAATGAGTATACGAAATATACGAATTCAGAATTCATTCTCGTATTTGAGTTATTTTGTTCCATTATCTCCTAACCATAAAAATAAACGAGGGTTGACAGTATGTATATTTCAATAGCTTGACACCCAGGTCTATCATCAATCGATCCAATTTATCAACCAATCATAAACATTATGGACAAATATAGGACCACAAATTACATCAATAAAGAGAGACACAATCAAACTAAAGAAGTAAACAATAGCCGGTTAAAGGCAAACAATAACCAGTCAAGATCGAGGCCTACAGGACAAGCTGTGAGCCATATGTGGAGAAACCCGAACACTTCATTTCCACCTGAAGTTTGCACTGATGTTCAGAATAAAGATGAAAGCTTCACAGCCAAACTATCCAGCTCAGAAAACTAAACTCTACCATAACATTTTGATAGCAATCATCAAACGAACTGCAGACGTCACAAGCATTCGGGGTTTGACAACGCTTTAACCAGTAACACCTAATATGAAGCGTACCCACCAAGTGAAATCAAAAGACAGAAGCGAAGAAGTTCGAAGATATATTTGATATGCTACCAATATATCGAGGATCGTTTGATCTAATCTGGCTAGCGATTGCAGTGGTTGTTAAACATGACGTTCCCATTCGTGATCTGGTGCGGATGCATGACCGAGCGCCTTTAGTTAGGTGAGTCCATTAAAACATGTGGTCAGCATCCAATGTCGAAAACTTACAGAGCTATTTAACTTGGGGATTTATTTACTGCTACAGAACTCTGCCTGGATCCCCTCTGGGGCTACTGCTGGCACCAAGCCGGGATAAAGGAGGAGGGTTTGGCATGGGGTTAGCGACCCCATCCCTTAGAAAACTAACTCACTAAAAAATGCTAACCAGAAAAAATAATTCAGACCATTTAAACATTGCCCTGTGAGTTAGGTCTCCATTTAGAAGTCATGACGCCTCATAGTGAAAGCCGAGCTCCTTCGGAAGTCACGAGGTTGGTGCCCATTCTAACAACCAGAGCAACCATTAATTTAGGTAAATGGAATGCTCTTACAGTGAGGGAAACCGAGAGTCTTTCAAATTGCTGCAGAAATGAGGAGATACAACCTGGAGGTGCTTGGGATCAGTGAAACACATTGGACGCAAGTTGGACAACAACGATTAGCTTCAAGGGAGCTTCTGTTATACTCCGGCCCTGAAGAAGAAAATGCACCACATACACAAGGAGTTGCATTGATGCTGTCCAAACAAGCACAAAATGCACTAATTGGATGGAAATCTCATGGACCAAGGGTCATCAAAGCCTCCTTTAAAACAAAGAAAGAGGGCATTTCAATGAACATCATCCAATGCTATGCGCCTACAAACGACTACAATGAAGACGCTAAATATCAATTCTACGATAGGCTACAGTCAATCGTCGAGAAATGCCCAACAAAAGACTTGATCATTCTGATGGGAGACTTGCATGCCAAGGTTGGAATGGACAACACCGGATATGAAGACATCATGGGACGACACGGACTGGGAGAAAGGAACGAAATGGTGAGAGATATGCAAACCTATGTGCCTTCAATAAACTGGGCATGGGTGGCACCATATTCCTACATAAAAGCATACACAAAACCACATGGACTTCACTGGATCACACTAAGCATAAACAAATCGACCATATCTGCAGCAATAAAAGATTCTGAAGGACGTGAGGATCGAGAGAGGAGCTAATGTAGTCTCAGATGATCACTTGCTGGTCGCCAAGATGAAATTTAAACTCAAGAAGCACTGAACAATATGACAAAAGTTTAATACGGCTCTTCTTCGGAATACTGACAGACTCAATTAATTCAAGATAGCCCTCAGCAACAGGTCCCAGGCCTTTCGCGATCTACTCGATGTAGAGGGAACTAATATGGAGAAGGACTGGAAGGAGATCAAGGGGGCAATCACTTCAACACTTAAGAAGGTTCTGGGCCACAAGAAGCACAATCACAAGGAATGAATCACTGTTGATAGACTGGATTAGATTCAAGAAAGGAAGAACAAGAAGGCAGCAATCAATACCAACCGACAAGAGCACAGAAAGCCAAGGCACAAGCTGAATACACAGAAGTAAACAAGCAAGTGAAGAGGAGCATCAGGACTGAAAAACGTAAATATGTGGAACACCTAGCAATGATGATAGAAAAGGCTGCAAGAGAAGGAAATATGAGACAATTGTATGACACAACAAATAACCTCGCTGGCAATTATCGTAAACCAGAACGATTAGTGAAAAGCGAGGAAGGTAAAGTAATCACCAACACTGAAGAACAGCGAAACAAGTGGGTAGAACACTTCAAAGAACTCTTGAATCGACCAGCCCCACTAAACCCACCCAACATCGAAGCAGCACCCACGGGCCTCCTAACCGATGTTGGCCCACCAACAATTGAAGAGACCAGGATGGCCATCAGACAAATTAAGAGTGGCAAAGCAAGGGGACCAGATAACATTCCAGCAGAGGCACTTAAAGCAGACGAAGTAATAACTGTAAAAATACTCCACATTCTCTTCAATAAGATTTGGGATGAGGAACAAGTACCAACAGACTGGAAAGAAGGACACCTCATCAAAATACCAAAGAAAGGTGATCTCAACAAGTGTGAGAACTACAGACGCATCACTCTTCTCTCAATACCAGGAAAAGTCTTCAACAGGGTGTTGTTAAACAGAATGAGAGACTCCGTAGATGCCCAACTTCGAGACCAACAGGCTGGACTAAGTAAGGATCGGTCGTGTGCCGACCAGATCTCAACACTACGGATCATTGTGGAACAATCAACTGAACGTAATTCATCACTCTACATCAACTTCACTGACTACGAGAAAGCGTTTGATAGTGTGAACAGAACAACACTATGGGGTCTTCTTCGATACTACGGCGTGCCTGAGAAGATAATCAACATCATACGGAATTATTATGGTGGAATAAACTGTGAAATCACTCATGGAGGACAGCTCGCAGACTCGTTCGAGGTAAAGACCGGTGTCAGGCAGGCTTGTTTACTCCCACCCTTTCACTTTCTCCTGGTGATCGACTGTATTATGAAAACGTCAACATCTGGGGGAGGCATCGGATACAGTGGACAGCTAGGAAGCAACTAGACGATCTAGACCTCGCAGGCGATCTGGCTTTTCTATCGCACACACAACAACAGATGAGGGAGAAAACGACCGGTGTAGCGGCAGCTTCAGCAGCAATAGGTCTCAGTATACACAAAGGGAAAAGCAAGGTTCTCCGATACAACACAACATGCACTAATCAAATCACGCTTGACGAAGAAGATTGGGAAGATGTAAAAACCTTTATATATCTGGGCAGCATCATTGATGAACAGGGTGGATCTGATGCAGATGTGAAGGTGAGGATCGGAAAATCAAGAGCAGCTTATTTACAATTGAAGAACATCTCGAACTCAAAACAACTATCAATCAACACCAAATTCAGAATTTTCAGTACAAATATCAAGACAGTTCTACTGCATGGGGCGGAAGCTTAGAGAACTACGAAAACCATCATCCAGAAGATACAAATGTTTTTTAACAGTTGTCTACGTAAAATTCTTCGGATCCATTGGCCAGACACTATCTGCAACAACGTACTGTGGGAGAGAATAAACCAGATTCCAGAGGAAGAAGCGCTGGAAGTGGGTAAGACACACATTGAGGAAAGTACCCGACTGCGTCACAAGGCAATCCCTCACATGGAATCTTCAAGGCCAAAGGAGAAGAGGAAGACCAAATAACACATTGTGCCGAGATGGAAACAGACATGAGTAGAATGAACGATTGGATAGAACTAGAAAGGAAGGTTCAGGAGATAGTGGGTTGGAGAATGCTGGTCGGCGGCCTATGCTCCACTGAGAGTAACAGGTGTAAGTAATCAGCAAACAATTTAACTGGAATCAAATACTGGACCACTAAAAGACTACTGAAGGTGACTAGACAAAAACATTTAGTCAGTCAATGAAACCATCCTTTGAACTGAGCAATGTTGGTAGGTGTTGTGAGGCGCGGTTTCCGAGGCTCAAAATGGTAGAGGAACTTCCTATCCACAAAACTCAACTGACTATTGAATGAGAAGGTTAAGAATGGGAAACGTTTAGGCCAAACCGAATTATATATATAGACCCTAGACAATAAAACCGTTTCTTGGACAATAGCACGAACTTATCATTTCGGATATTTCTGACTGACATAATATGCCCTTTTCATTCGACGACTTCTGATTGACCAACTGTATCAGTAGGTGCAGACCATGCGTCTGGGGATTTCGGGTGATATGTTTCACGACCAATCGCAGCAGTTCAAGTGAATTCACTCTTCATCTCTTAATTCTTCAGTTCTAATATTATTTCGTACTTCTCATCCCTCAAATTTGTTTCTTTTTTTCGAACAGCAGTCTTCAGTACTCAGTCTTTCGCATTATCATACTGCTACAATCTTGACTTTTGATAATCACTGTTAATTTCACATCGCCATCCTGATGTAGTATGGCAAATAGGACTAACGCATATTAATACCAGACCATATGTTGATCACGACGATAACATTGACGAAACTAATCAATGGACAGATAACTGTTGAATTTCGCATCGAGCTGTATGCAAAACAAGGGTGGGTTAATGTAGGGACCGACGTCACCTGAACTAATATGGACAGTCTGACTTCCTGTTCACAGCAAATGAGACTTAGTTCCTAATGCTTAAAAATTTCGCCACTACTCAATAAAAACCCAAGGTTAATTTCATTGACAAATACACAGAGGTAATAAGTCGAATGGAACAAATAACTTCAGTTCTTCTATGAGGTCAAATAGCCAAGCCTCAATGGGGTCATCCCCTTTACCATAAGTAATCAACAAACTCGACTTTAAGAAGATCAAAGTGTTTTGAGATTAAGATCGGAGTATGTCCTAGTTTAAGAGAACGGCTGAATTTTTATAGCATCTGATCGTTACATTGGGTATCAGCAATAGGTTTTCTGTAGATTACGTCCACCAGACACCTTACATTACTGAAACAAATCTTGATGCACATCATTTGGATTCACTGAGATTAGAGAAGTACTTGTGTTTCTCAATTTAGATAACTCGTCCATTGTGTTGGGTAAAATTGGAGCGTTCACACAAAATTAGCTAGCACCTTCTATTTGAAATGGATATCCATGGCCGCTTTGTCCGACTGAAACCTATGCGAATGGGCAGGACACCTACTTACAGAAGCCTTCTTAGTTGACAATGCAATCAAGAGGAACATGTGTAAATACATGCAAGCAAGTCATTTTAGATTTACACTGAAATGGATAGCATGAGCATTTGCATCTTCATGATCGACACTAAGCAGTCAACCAATAGTTGTTTTCATCAAAATGAAGAGGACACTATGAAACTTTACTAAAGTTATCTACCTGAGTTACACAACCTCTCCATTATCTTGGAATATACACGGATACTTAGTTTTGGTTTTCAACAGGATGCAATGGCTAGCCTAAATGGTAATGAAGAACACCATAGACATTTTTATATAATGAAAATAAAAACCAAAAGACAAATGGCGAATGTTTCATTCAATTGATAGTTTTTTTTGTAGAGGTGTAAATACATTATTCTTATTACACACAGAGAGTATTTTTATGGTACATACTGATCACATCCGACAATGATTACATTATACACACCAAAACGCTCAGGATACTAACACACCCGAAGTCGATGACGAAGATATATTATCTTTTTTCTCTGAACCTGTAGAGTCTTTTTCACCAGCAATTCTTATTTTATGCTCAGCCTTGTATCTTTGAAGTTCTCGACCTTTTTCCTCAAACTGCTTTGACAATGTTTCGATACATTCAGACATCTGGACGTATGAATTTAGAAAATAAGACCCACTTTTTTTACACTATCTTCAAGAGCCGGAAGGATGTCCTTCACTTGACGTTCAATTAATACATTGTCTATCATTCTCATGCATTTACGAGTAGGCTCCACTGACTGTAACACTTTAATGACCATACTTTAAAAAAGTTCAAAACGCAAATGTATTAAAACTGGACGCATATTTAACAAGAAAAGAGTGGTCAGTATCAACAAAATCAAAATTTCATGTGGTTAATCAACAGAACCCTAGGACACAAGTGTAGTCATAGGATACAATACTATAACTTTGGTTCGGTAACTATACTTTCCAGAAATAGAAGACGGGACAGAAGTTGTTGAATAAGATTATTTTTATGTGCTAATTCAATTCATAATGTGAACAAATGCTAATTGTAAACCAATGAAGGGTTCGGTGGGCAATCCCGGTGTCGTACTGAGTGTCATCTTCCACCTGAGTGAGTCCAGAAAAAAATACACTAGGAAACAACCAGCTTACAAAGTGCCGACGTATTATCAGTGTGGATCAATTTAAATTTAAACGATTATTTCACTATTAGCTGAAGCAAAAGCACAAAAACTAGTCCCATAACGAAGACGGGCGAGACTAATTTATGGACGAGCCAATCAGAAGCGTTTTAGAGATTTCAAGGTTACGGCGCCGACTTCAGTGCTTTTATTATTAGTAGTATTAATGGCTTTATTCAATATTATATTTTGGTACAATATATAATTCTCAGCACATGGTATTTCAACAAGTTTCTTACACAAAAAAACAGAAACAAAGACAAAAAAGGGGAAATTTAAAAAAATCTGAAAAACTGTACAACGTCCCAAATTAGAGACATATTAAGAATGCAGATTAGTGACTAGGTTAACTCTGACAACCTGCTCTCACAGAGTATATTTGCTATGTAAGGTATTATAGAACTTCTATACTTTTCCTTGCGTGCATGGATTTTAATGTAATTACGTCTCATTCTACCAGATGATATACAGGGAAAAAGATAAGAGTGAAGGGGATGGTTAGTATCTGAAAAAATAACACCTGCCAGGAGTTCGCATGACTTTAGATGTCTATCCACAACCATATTAATTATGACCTCGAAAGATTCATCACACACCTTGCTAACTGCCTTTAGCACTCTCCGCAGTACAGCAAGGTTTTTTCTCGAAAGCCCGGGAAAGAATAATGGAGAACAGTTAGGAATAGTAGGTGATATGCAAGAATTGACAAGTTGTGAGAGTAAATGACGAGTATTCCCAAGAGCATGCAATCTCTTTATGTAGTAAGTCAGATGGAAAACCTTCGATAACAATAAAACGTGAGAAGACCAAGAGAGATCAGAGGAAAAAGTAACACAAAGATAATTGACCTTCGACACTGGGTTTATCGAAGAGTCTCCAGTGGCACAAGCATTATGGGATCTCAAAATAGTGTTTATATTCCGTTCATGTCTCATGCTAAAGTTAACAGCTTGACATTTAGACGGATTAAGTATAAGACCATTACCAACAGACCAACAGTCAATACGAGACAAAAACTCATTCATTTCTATGGGATGTAAAGAGGAAGAGATAGGCATACATACAGTGAGATCATCCGCATATTTCACAAAAGTGTTTTCTGTGGAAGCTGGCAGATCATGTAGAAAAAAGAGAAAAGAGGTGAAAGAACAGCTCCTTGTGGTACACCTTCATGAGACAGTAGAGACTCTCGACACTTTCCTCCAAATACAGTGTACTGTTCCCTTCCAGAGAGGTATGAACATATCCAGTTGGTTATCCAGCTGTCATTATTGACGCTGACTAACTTGTTAAGTAAACGTTGTCTTGGTATAGAATGCTAACATACGATCGGTTCACATGGAATTTTGTACAAAACGTGATAATTGAGCGGTTATAGCAAATAAAATGGTGACTATAATTTGTGGACGAATCAATCAGGTATAAGATAATAGATCTCAGATTTTAACGCGAAAGCCTTTCATCCATTTGGCTAAACAAATTCCTGGCATTATAGCTGATGTCAGCTCGTGATGAAAACCCCATATATAATTCCTAACTAAGGCAAATTATGAAAATTATTGCGAACCGGATAATAAAAGTACCAGTAACACTGGCTGCAGCCACGTACTACAATATAAACGGATGTTTAGAGAGCGTACAAACTCTTACATAGGCTTGGTTATGTGCATCGTATCGTTATACAGAAGTAGCATTTTGTGCACTCAACAACCGGAGTGCACACAAACAATATTGAAACTATGTGGTCGAGGCTGAAAAGGTTTTTGAGACTTTTTTATGGCTCCAAAGGCCGACTATTCTGTGGCCGTATGGATGATTTCCTCTACTGCATGCATCACGATTTTAGAACCTCTGAACCTCTTCCTAACCTTGACAAGTTTTTGAACAACGTATAAGAAGTGCATACACTTTGATTCCTTGGTTTTGTATAACATATTTTGACTCTATACTGACTGTTTGCTGATTGGCTAATATTTATCAAGGTCACTTAGGATTCGTTCAAAGGTCGTCTATTAATTAGTCTCGCGAAAAAAAACCTGGAGAATTATAACAGGTATTACGACAGAGATAATATCGAGCTTAAGGGACACGAATTCAAAATACGTCAACTTTATTGCAAAGCTGGCAGCAAGGTAAGAGAATGTCAATGCTTAGTAAACATTAAACCCCTTTTATTTTTTTAATTATCTACTCAAGTGACTGAAACGAAAGTCAATGGGAAATTATCATTTAGATAAAATCATTACCACTTCAGGACTTCTGAAATAGTGGGCCAAACGCGATTTATGAAGTTTAAATGTAAAAATGAATAAGAAGAATCATATTTCCATCCGAATATGCATGAATTATTTAGTCTCATTTCCCGACACGACGAAAATAAACATGACCCGTCGTGAAAACAGGCCGAAACACTCGTCGTGAGGCTTCGCTTAATATAATGATAATTTACTTTTTTATTACGGTATCCATAAATTAGGAAATGTACATAATTTTACACGAACTTACTTGTGTTCCCTTTGATCAAGTTCTAGATCATTAATTTTGCTCCCGATAGAGCGCTGTTCGTAACGCAACCGATTGAAACCTTCTACTATCTCCTCTTCTGTTGGGGGTTTTGCTTTACTAGAGGATGCTGAAGACATTGGCCTTAGGGAAATGTCAGCCGCAGTTTCCAGCTTCACACAGTACCGTCTGTTAGATATGGCCCGCGTCTGACTATGCAAAGTTCAAATTCTGCACCGCACAAAAATGCAGATTCGTGTGGTAAGGACAAAAGGATTACGGCATATGTTATACTTTTTCTAGTACGCTACTATTGTGGTGTGCTACTTATATTGACATAAGTATTATATGACGTTAGTTGTGAATAGAATGTCTGGCAGCAGAGAGACATGAGGATCGAACAGTAAAGAATGGAAACATAATGCAGTTTGTATGAAAATGCAAGAACAATGAAGTCCGAGTCATTTTGAGACAATTGGTGGACATTTTGCAAATTAAGCATTTACTGTATGATTGTTCGATTTTTCAGCAAGTCCTGTAATATTGTGTCAAATACGATCGATTGTCTCCACTGGTGTTCTGTTCACTACATTATTAGTGTCCAGTCTTCTCTTGAATGGGTCAATTTAGGTTGCTGACACCACAGCTTCGAGTAACAGGTTTCAAGAACTGATGAATTGATGTGAAAACCTGTATATCAATGGTATTTTCTTCGTTCTTGGCTTTTCTACTCGGCTGCTAAGTCCTCTGTGATGTCCCGATCTAGTGGGAAGAAAAAGAGGTAATACGTTAGGTCCAACATCATTTCCCAGTATTCTGTACATCAAAATTAGATCTCCCCTTAATATGCAATAGGACAGAGTAAAGAGGTCCAGTCTTTCAAGCCGCTCTTTGTATGGTAAACCCCGGTGTTCTGAAATTGCACGGGTAGCTGCCCTCCGAACATTTTCTAGGATATCCGAGTCGCCTCTTAAACGGGGGTTTGCAGCCTGGACGCAGTTCTCAATCTTAGTTCTCACCAAGGATGTGTATACTGTGGTGCACATGGTAGTATCTAACTTAGTGAATATCCGTTTTAAAGCACAGAGTGTTCGTAACCCCTTAGCTGCGACCTCCCGGCAATGGGCCGTCATCTTATGATCATGACTCACTGTCACCACTAGATCCTCGTGAGATCGGACTACGGGTAATGGCATTTCCCCTATGTTGTACCTATTAGCCTTTGAATTCCACACACTTTAACGCGTTGATAGGCATCAGCCACTCTTTAGACCAATTAATCATGTTATTTAAGTCTGTGTCTCCAGTTACTACTCGCCAGACCTTTATATCGTCAACGTACAGTAACATTGGAGACTATGCTATACTTGGAAGACCATTAACATACATTATAGAAAGCAAAGGACCTAGAACGGAACCTTGAGATACTCCACTAAGTACTGGTCTACAGATGGAGCACTTGGAATTTGTTCTTGCTTTCTGTCTACGACCTACTAGGAAATCCTTAAGCCATTTTAAAAGAGATCCGGCAAAACCAGGATTTTTTAACTTCAGTAGCAGTCTATTTGTTGGCACCTTGTCAAAAGCTTTACTGAAGTCGATGTAGACAACATCCACTAAGTTTCCGCTGTCTATCACATTTATCCAAGGCTCCGTTGTTATAAGGTGGTCTGTTATACAAAAAAACCCTTAATGAGACCACGTCGTTCGCTGTTTAGTATGTTCTTAGTTTCCACAAATGTCGTTGCGGTCTTTTTGACTATTGTTTCCAGTATTTCAACCACAACACTGGTGTGGGATAAGTTATTTGACGGACACTATTACCATGTGTGAAGTCCAAGGGAGACGACGAGTCTTGTTGGTCATATCTGGTAGGATCTCTAGTGTGTTGGAATAAACTTAGGGCGATATGGGTTCCTAACACGTTGAAATCAAACGATGTTTCTGATGACCCTACTTCTAAGCTTACGCAGCGAATTTACGGTGCATTAAAGTCGCCTATTAATTCATTATCCTGCCATCTATATTTCGGCAACAGTTCAGATGTCCCTGAGTCAGGCGCACTTTCTCAACAGCTAATATAGTTAAGGTACTTTCACTGTACAGGATAACCCCACCTCCCCTATGGTTTAGTCAGTGAGTCCTACTGGATGAGTAACCAGTCAACTGAATTTCATTATCGAACACTTCTGTCACTAACCATGTTCCCGAGACAGCAATAATATCCTGTTTTTCTATATCCATCACTGTCTTGAGCTCCGCCATTTTATTTAGTAGGCTGCGAACATCTGTGTAGCACACATTTAATTCTGTGGAGAACTTCCTCTTACCACCCAGAGTGGTTTGAGGATCGTTTCGCTTCGAACATTCGCGATTTCAAAGCCATTAAGTAAGGGGTTTACCTCACCATTTCGGCAATGCTCATTTATTTCTACTTCTGCATTTCGTTTCTTAGTACGGCCAACCAGGCTGAGATCCTCATAGACGTAGATTCCGGATCCAAGTAGTTCGCATGAGTTTCACAGTATCGGGTTGTTTTACTTTAACCGTAGCAAAGGTAACCTTTGAGAGGCAGCTTTTCTGAAAAGTGTCAGAATCTACCTCTTGTCCTATTCTATAAAGCTAACAGATGCTAACTCGTGAAACTGTTTCTGTGAGTAGCTTGCATATTAAGGACTTGATATGACTGAGGTCGTGCTCAAATCTAGATTTGGTTTCTCTTCAGAAGATTCTCTTGACTTATGAAAAATGACTGACATCTAAGCGAGGTCCGTCTTAACATGTTGTGGAATTTAAGTTCCTGAAATCGTCTCCTCCATGCAATCCAATTCCAATTTAGTGTCAAACGCAGAATTTACATTCTGTTTTCTTACTTTTCTCTTCCTAGGTGTGATTGAGAGCCATTTAAAGGTGAAACTTCTGTAATCTTCCCTCAAAATTTAAAAACCAACAAAAGGATTTGCGGACATGAAGGTGTGGTATTGGATTGTTCAGAATTAGGTATATCTTGAGGCGCCTATTTTATTTCTCATTTAGTAATTTTCAGTGCATGTCTAAGCCTAAGACTCATAAACCTGATGTTCCTTTACGCGCAATTCTGGACATGTCAAACTCACCATACCATTCAACAGCAAAATTATTAGTAAATTTATTAAAAGCATAGTACCAAGAACTGGTTAAGCATAGTGTTAAAGATGTCTTTGAATTTGTGGATACAATTAGAAATATGAGTATAAATGGCAAAACCATGCTATCACTAGACATAACATCCTTGTTCACTAACATCCCTCTGAATAAAACTATCGATTATATATGTGAACAGTTACTAGAAAAGAAAAGAAAGATACCGATCCCAGTATATAAAATAAAATAACTTCTGTCGAAATGCACTATGAATATCTACTTTAAGTTTAACAATCAGTTTTTCAAACAAGTAGCCATTAAATTCATCAGTGAGGAGGAGAAAGACATTAATGAAGCTTACCTGGGTGTCCTACTTTCTAAAAGGATAGATGGTTCCATAAAGCGAAATATATTTAGAAAGAGTACATGGACGGGTCAGTATACCCATTTCCAAAGCTTCACACCTCTTCAATATAAAGTAAATTTGGTTAAGTGTCTCAACCACAGAATCAAGTTATTATGTTCTGAAGACAGTGTGAATGACGAAATAGATATACTAAAGAACACATTACCAAATAATGACTATCCTGATAATTTCGTTAAAAAATACCTAATAGAAAGTACTAAAAAGAGGAACTTGTGACACAGTCAATAAAAAACCTTATATCTGAGACCAGACTTTAAAGGTAATATAGCGGGTGATATTTTAACACGTCGGTTCAAAAGATCTGTTGAAAGGATGTTTCACGCTGCCAAGCTACACATAATTTTCTCAACTAAACCAATACTCACACAACTAATCAAGTATAGGTTACCGACGATGGGCTCTTCCATGTGTGTATACCAATTCAACTGCTCCTGTGGAGCTAATTACATAGGCCATACTCAGAGCGCTTTATCCTTGCGTGTTTGTGAACATGTATCAGCATGCATGGGAAAAGGTATCACTAAGTCGATCAGCAGCACTGTTTTTTCTCACTTTGAAGATAGTGAGAATCATATCAACATAGGGGAAGCTTTCTCTGTTTTACATCAAGTTCCAAAATATCTACCTCAAGAAGCTATAATACAGTCGCTCTACATAGCCAAAGCTATCTGGATAAACTCCAGAAAACCAAACTTATATATCTAGAAAAGGTATATCCAGCCTCCACGTTTACCTTGGACCACGATTGGATCACCGGATATCTAGACCGAATATTATAAACCTCTTAACCCCTACCTTTTTTATTACTTTTATCTTAATCTTCACATCCATCATTCCCAATTCGTTTACCGTAACTACCTTGATAACACTCCTCTTATTACATATGATATTCGCACAACAATATTATTATTATCTCAATTGACAAGGTGAAATTTCTCCTACTATGCATTATATTCACACATTTTTTTACTTTTTATTTTTGCATTTTCGTTTTTGCTATAATGCTCTTCTACTTATTGCGGCTGGACACTTCACCCCAAATCATCCGGATCTTTAGTTAATGACCTTTCTAATTTTCAAAGAACACACTTTTGAAGTATATATATATATGCCGTAACAGATGCATACGTTCACCATTTTTAACACATAACATTGTCAAATTCATTAATACATGCCTTATTTTGGCTTTCGTAAAATATTATAACCATGGACTTATAACTTTACAGCCTGATGATGAAGTTATTGAAAACAATCGTTTGCTCAAACATTCTTCATTTTTGAATATTCTATGGGGATCTTTAAACTGCTGAAAGATGGAACTAGCGATAGAATCAGAAATGATTGTCTCAAAGCCGTATATTTATAAGACCATAATATTGTCGATTTTCTCTGGCATGATCGAATGACACGAGCCCCACAGTAACCATACCCCACTCGACAATCGACAGTGACGAGGAACTTCATCGGTATCTGACAACCGACCCCAAATAACGCGTTCTGAAAGAAGGGTACATTTTCGGAACACCAGAAAGATAACTACACGTAAGACAACATAACACTTTGTTTTATCACGTTATTATTAATTTTTCG